GCCATAAGCAGTTCCGGTGCATACTTTTCGTTGAACCACTCTGTATATATTGATAAATGACACAGGAGTATAGTGGGTAAACCTCAGAAATGTCTCCTCATTGACTGAATGGAAAAATAAATTTGATAAAACGGTAATTGTAATTTTTATTTCAGATCGAACAAACTCAAGCCATTTTGGCTATCCATCACCGAGAAGGAAACACTCCCAGTGCTGGACTTTTTGTCAGCGGCCCTCCTGTCTGCCGAATACGACCGTGCCTTAAATCGGGCGCTCGCGATGGCCGAGTGCCCAGTTGTGCCCTTTTTCGGAGCCTTCCTCAGGGAGCTGAGGGAGATACTCTCCGCCAGGGAAGGGGGAGGTGGTGTTGGCGGGACGGGAGAACATCCACAGCCTTCGATGGGCAAGCCGCCCAAGGGCGGGGGGCATAGGGACCAACAGCATCAGCAAAGACAAGTGGTAGGTGAGATTTCATCTATTTTTTTTTTAGTTTTTCATGTGTATGAAAGCGCTGCTCTCATCGATAATCCAACTACTTCTGGTTCAACTTCAAGAAGAGACTTGTGAGCTTCGAAGTTCTAACCTCAACGAGTCAATAACTTGAAAAATTAGATATAATTGAACGATACTTGATTAAAATCCATACTAACACTAACTGATACAATTTATCACTACAAAAGTTTTACAGCAGTCGGTCGGTAGTCGATCGGTTCGACGTGGGTGCTCTGTTTACTCACTCAATCGACTGCCGTGTTAGTCAGTGGTTCAAGCCTCAGACTGAACGATCGACCTGAATGATAAATGATTTATAGGTGCAACCGTTTCATTATGAAACGGTAAATAATTTATAGGTTCAACCGTTTCATTCTCCTATATATTAGCTACCACCTACTGTTCAATCAAATAGTTGATTAATTCAATTACCTAAAAAACCAGACATAATTCACTGAGTTCTAGTGAAAACAGACAAATGAATTGATAATACGTAGTCATTAATTTTAGGTATGATTTATTGCTAAGAATCAATCACGCAGAGGGAATTGGTTCGAATAAATCAGATCGTTCATTGAATATTGTGTTTTGTTGAAATGAACAATTTCGATACTTTTCTGGAAGTGAAGTCTCAAACTTTTCTTCTGGAAATGGAGAGTTGTGAATACATGATAAAACTCATTTCCTCCTGAAATGTGATGAGTAGTATACGTTGTGTTTATTTCATTCTAGAAGCTGTTTATATGTTCTTTCATGCGTGCTTCAAATGTTCTTACGATTTGACCTATATAAAACTTCGGGTATTATCCATATGACAATTCATAATTTCCTGCTCTAGTTTGTAAGAACTGTGAAATATTTACAAGATGAAGTATTTTAATTTTCTTCCTAATCTTCCAAAAACAGGTAAATTTCTTTTATGGCTTTCATGGTCCACTAGACTGCTATCATTTGAATAGATTCAAATCACTTGAGAAAGCTACTATGCTAGCGAAACATGCTGTGATATATATTTCAAATAAAGTTTGTGGAGATCAAATCATGAGGTGTAGTTTATGAAATTACTATGGATCTTCATCAAGTAACGGCCGAATCAATCAGAAAAAAACTGTAACTCCGTGTTGGTATAGATGGATGGAATAATTTTGATTGATNAAAAACATTCAAAAGGGCTCTGAGTCTTTTACAAAGATAGTCTATATGTATTTTCCAATCAAGATTATGGTCAATGTGTATTCCGAGATATTTTACTGAACTGGATTTTTTCAATGTTATGTTCTTATTTCTGCTAGTTGAATGAATATTGATGTTTTGTGCATTGGGAAAACCATGACTGTTACTACAAAATGAAATGTAAGATGTTTTATCAATATTTATTGTCAGTAAACTATCATCAATGCAATTTACTATAGTGTCAACAACATTGTTTCTTGTATGAGATATTACATCTTCCCAGGTTGCTCCATCAATTATTGGTACTGTATCATCAGCATATGAGACCACTTGCCCAGAAAGTTCAATGGATAACATATCATTCTAATATAATATAAATAGGATTACCCCTTAAACAGTGCCCTGGGGTACTCCGTATTTAATTTCTTCGGTATATTAATAAATTTCCACCTCGGAACTTGCTATTGAAAATGCTGGCTTCTACAACGTTTTTAATTTTTTTATGACTAATCGCGTGAAGTTGTAGAGTCGTGGTGGATTCAAATTACGGAGTGATCCAACCTTCAGTTGTAAATTATGCAATGGCATGCCTAGCAAATCCAAAACTCTGTTGGGCGATTCACAGCTTTGATGGCATCGCGAATGGATCGCTGGATGAACAATAATAGTAGCCGAAAACTGCGTAGATAGTTAGAGAATGCTTATAGTGTGAGAGAAACAGGAGACCGGCTTCGTTCTCATCACCAGGAGTTCCTTCGTTATCTTTTAGAAGGTTCCCATAAAGACGTAATATAATTATTGAGAAATCTAATCCAATCTTAACGGAGATTACCGAAAAAATGAGCGACAGCGTAAATTCACAAGAGTCATGGCTCACATATTTGAGGATGCATAACTCTATGATTTCTGGGATTTTTCTACGTCCCTACCACACAAAACCGACCAATTTGGATGGAAATGAAAAACCGACGTGTTCGAAATGCAAGGAAAGAAAAAAATGCACAAGGTCCCTATCAATCCACAAGTTTTCCCATATTTTAGTAATTCATTTAAAAAGATTATCTCCAACGGTAAAATTCAGAGGCACATTGAATGTTGTCATCGAATTTCCTCTAGAAGGATTGGATATGAACAATTTTGCAGCAGAAAATGTGGCTACTTGTTATAATCTATATGCACTTTTAAATCACAGTGGGACTACTAACAGAGGGCATTTTATAGCATACTGCAGACACCCCTATACTGGCACTTGGCACAAATACAACGATTCACACGTGTCACCAATTTCACCAAAATCGCTTATGAGTGGAGAAGCGTACGTCCTCTTTTATGAAAAGGATGGAACAAAATCGCACCTTCGCGATAAATGAGGGAAGGTTTCTTCATGCTCCTGTACCAATATATTTGATATTAATATTGAAACATGTATTTGTATCTGTGTACCTGATAAGTTGAATTTATATTGTTTCATTTTTATAATACATTCTGTAACAATGAATTTTCAGAAATTGATATGGCAAAATACGTCATCTATCAAAGATGACAGAGTAGTCATTGTGTATCTGGAAGAAGATTTATTCATATATAAATGGAAATCCAATAATTTGCTTACAGATCCTTCACCATGGAAGTACATGCGTTCTCTGGGAAGGCATCGAGGGTCCCTCGCAACCGACAGGTGTCAAAGGCTTCTTGCTATATCTCAGGTTAGATAGATCATTAACAACCCTCACTTGGGTACGGCCAAGATACTTTCAAGTGATCAATCTGTATTGCTGATAATCTAGCTTTCCATCATTCTCGTCTAGATTGGAGCTAAACTCCGCCAACAGCTTCAATTCTTGTATATTCCATAGGTTTATTTGTATTTGAAGCAATGGCTACATCTATTATTTTTTTTACCTAAAATGTTGCCCCGGTCGAATCTTGTCCCAACGTTCCGTTTAGCACATTCGGAAGGCGCGCCAGCATTACCAACGAATAACAACTCCTCACACCGTGAGGTAGATGATCATTGGGTACAAGAATCGTGTGCCCTAGGTCGACGCAATGAACCATGAATGACAGCCTTCTGTATCAATCCGATCAAGATTTTTACGGTAAGCCGGCATAATCTTGAGATGAGATAGGAGAGAGGGCGTTATTCCACCAATTAATCCGATAATCAGAACAATAATCCTAACGGAGATTTCTGAATGGAGTATGCGGAGTTGGAAAAGGATATTTGGATATTTCATCTTATTTTCTCCTCTTTCAGTACGATATTTGTCCCACCCGGAGCTGACTCCACGACGAATATAATTTTGCTGTGATATTCGAGGATGACAGGAATTTGGATCCCCTTCTTTGCATAATCCGCGACCATGAGTGAGAAGGAACTGTAGCATTTCTCTTCACGGCAACTGAAGGAGCCGTTAGTGAACTTGGTTTGATTTTCCACACTGAATGGCGTGATCACAACTCTGTAAATAAATTGGAACCCGTTCAGCAAAAGGCCCATATGGAAGTTTCAGAGATCACTGTGGTAACCCAACATGGGGTCTTCTTCCACAACATTGTAGGCATCAGCTCGTAAAAGCACCGGATCTTGGCTCTCCTCAAATCGAGGGGGCTATATTTGGAAACTGAGGAATTTACCATGGCCTGCCACGATGGTATTTTGAACGTATGGGGATGAGAACTGATTAACGAAAAAACAGATTTTAAACAGGTTTTAAACACCTTAGTTTAACGTAGTCGCGTAATGGATGAAGAGGTTCCTGACAACAGGTGCAAGTCCTGCCGGAATATGGTTTTGGGTGATTGAAAAGTGGTCTATTCAACAATACAATACTATTTCAACTTTTCAAATAGATTTTTAACATCCCCTGATCAGATTCACCAGTCAAATGGCTTTCATAATCCACATAATTTAGAGTTTGAATAGGGCTAATTGGATACCGAAGCAGTGACCCTAGCCCAAATATCTCATCCATTGAAATATTGACAAAAAATATTTCATTTGTAACAATTTGTGGTCTTTTTCTGTTGTTTCAGTTTTCTTTCAACTCAAATAATATTCATGACTCAAATACGTCTTCGAGTTGAACAGTTTTCAAAACAGTTTTCAAATAATTGCAATAAACGTTACATTTTGTTTCATTTCTCTCATGATATGTAATTTTTCTATATTTTCAGGTCGTCAACCGTAAACGTACAACGCGTTCTAGCGTTCAGGCCCCCAGAAAAAGTCGAATTGGATGCCGAATATGACTGTGATGTAGACGAATACCACCCTGTACAGCCCCTAGTGCACGACCATGGCGTTAGCTTCGTCTGTCTGTCGTCACCTCTAACGAAAATTGATCAACACGTTATACAGGTAACTCAACCACATTGGATACTTGTAAAGACATTTTTCAGCTGTAAAAGTTAAACATATTTGTTTTTTACTGTTGAATAATAAAAGTAGTCACAATTCAGAAATTACTTCGGAAACATGTCCGTTGTTCTTTCCAGAAAGTTGCTGTCGTAGATTTCGGACAAAGGAGACCGCAACTTGTTTTTTATTCTATTTAATATTTTCACATATTATGAAAGTGTATTATAAAATGTAACTCTCACAAATCGAAGCCACAGCCAACTAGAAAAATACTGTATTTATTAGAAAAATACATCCATGACTATACATATAATGGACTTTATATTCATTGATACATATTAATACCTGTGAAATATATCAGCAGGAAAATTCTGTGCTCAGTGGTCCAATCTACCATGTTGTATGCCGCGACAGCATGAGCAACGGCGATTGAGGTGGAGAAACACTGATGGTTTTTGCTAAATGTGCAGCGAAGAATGGCAATATATGTAACCAGGTCATACAGAACTACCTCAACAAGAGCGCTATTGATTATAGCACGCATCCCTTCTATCCAACTCCGTGTGAAGATTAGAATAGAGGATCAATCAAGGAAAATGCGGCACATCAAAATATGCTGAAATGGTGGCAAGAATGGTGGAATATTGCCGTAGAAACGGAGAGATGGACCAGAATACTGATCACTGATATCCAAATCTGGGTGCCAAGAAAACAAGGCAAAACAACTGCCTTCGAGGCATGTTTGTTTCCAAGTGAAGAAGACAAGTTTTCTGTGAGGAAGAGAATACGGTGGAGCATACATTTTTCAGGTGCATAAGATGGGAAGAAACCGTATCAACACCAATCAATTAATGCTGGATAAGTTGTGAATATAATGCTGGTGAGCAAAGAAATTGGAATGCCATCGACAATCTGGCACGGAAGATTATCAACACAAAGAACGAAAATATTGAAGCACAGGAAAAAAATCTACGATAAGGCAGTCGAAAAAACATCAAAAAACTTCCTCTTTCTGAAGTAATGCCATAAGCAGTTCCGGTAATAGCATCAAGAGTAGCTAAGGGGGGTTTTTAGCTGACACTACCACAGAGGCAGTCCGGAGGATTTTCCGGTCTCGAAAAAAAACACAATAATGTGATTTTCAGTATTCCAAATATCGAATTCCATTGTCTTTCCATGTTTATGGGACAATTCATCAGAAATAAGTACCTATTACACGTTTAATTCACGACATAAACTGTAGCCATTTGTCATTGATTGAATTAATTCAGGATTGTGATGAGCTTATTTTATGACCTACTGTTTCCAACAAAATGAAAAATTACCTCGTTATTATAATTTACGAACAATTCGTTTAGCATCAAGCTTTGGACTCACCATTCATTTGTTTCAGAAACAAAACCTTATAATAATAGATCATCGACTGAAAATATCGCTAATTACAAAATGATCATGAAGTCTCCTTAGTCTTTTGATTATCTTTCCCCATATATATATGATGAAATGAAACAATCAACATCTGTTCGAATTTTCATCAAATCTTCGATCATGTCAATAAAATACCATCATCGCTCGTACATCTAATGAGAACAGCAGACAGAACAAAACGGAAAGTTGGAGAATTGGGTCAAAGCCATTACTCGTCTGGCATAAAACCTTTAGTGGAACTAGAGCTTATCATGTGGAAAATGATTTGAATCATGCGATATTAGCTGGCTCTCCAACCGACAATAATGTATAAAATATAGGGGTATAATTCAAAAACGAAATTAAAAATTTTGTTACGCGAAAAAATGGATTAGTGAAAGTAGATAATACATGACAGAAAATCTGTCTACAAAAAACTATTTCCTCTATTCTGGTTCAAATTAGGTCTTCCTGAATATCTGTTTTAAAATCCCTTCATGTCCATGTTCGATTAGAACTATAATATCCGCCAATCAATATATAATTGTAATTTTGTATGTATATTTTGGTTCTTTCAATTTCAATTGTTCACTTCTAATTGTCTTATTGAAAAGTTATGAACGCTGCAATGTTGTAATTGTGTTAACATGAATATGAGGAAGACGTTGATGAGGGGAGATGTAGCTTGATATCACTTTTCTTCAAGGATATCGCGGCAAGATTCACGTAATTGAAAGGACAGTTAATATTTTTGATCAATTTAGATTTCATCTGGTACTAAAACTGTTACCATTGGAGAGGTGGAATGTGAGGCATATCGCAAATCGAGGAAAGATCTCGAATGTAAAGTTATAATTGAATTGAAAGGGTTGAGTATTCGGAATGAATCATCTGAAGGTGCGATAGTTCAATAAACTGAATTTTTTTTCTTTGATATCATAGAGATTGCACAGTATCTGCCACTATTTCGAATTCAAGGTCAATATCATTCTCTTATAAGAATTATCCGCAGAATGAAGAAGTCAAGAATGGAGAAAATCAACTGACTTCAGAGTAATCTAGGCTCTCCAACCGTGAGTTCTGAGGTTTGAAAATAGCAAAAGCGTCTCTAATATCATAGAACTGCAATCATCAGTTACCAGCTGAATTCGTGGAAAATCTTACGACTGGTTCAATTCATATTTGAAAAACAGAAGACAAACAGTAGAACTCAATCGAAAAGACAAAACGACAAGATCGGGTGCTGTGGATGTGTCTATGGGTGTCCCACAGGGTAACATTCTCGATTCAATATTATTTATTATATTTATCAACGATATTAATGAAGTTATAGCAGACATAAACACAGCTCACATGAGCAATTATGCTAATGATACCAACCTTTTATTAACAGGTGCAAACTTACCTGATACTATAAAATAATAGAACAATTCAAAGATTATTTTTTAGAGAATAAGTTAGTTCTGAACGATTGAAAAACAAATTGTATCATGTTCAAAATCAATAACCACTAAACATAATTATGCACTATCAAAAAAATCATTTGCAATACTTCAGTGGAGTTTCTAGGCATATACATTGATGACACTTTAAGTTGGACTAGTCAGAGAGACAGCTTTTGCCATAAACTATCCTCGGTAACATACGCCATGAGAGTTATAAAAAAAAATGTTGATCTAGAAGCACTACTTACAGTATATTATGCGAATTTTTACTACGCTATGAGACAAGGGATGATCATCTGAGGCTCATGTCATGGATTGAATAGAGTTTTCCTATGTCAAAAAAAATTATCAGACTAATCTTCATTATGAATACAGGAGATTCCTGCAGAGGAGCCTTTAAGATCAACAAACTACTTACTGTGTCAGCAATCTATATCTATGAATCAATAAAATTTATCGTCAATCATCAAGGCCACTTTGACATACTGACAAAACTGATGAATATTTTCTGGCCTGTAGAAATATATGAACCAAATTTTATTTAGATTTGCGCTATGTATTTATAGAAATCATCTCTACTTTCAATAATCATGCGCAATATGACGCAAATTTCAAAATGTTTGTAATCGTGTTTGAAACTTGAAGCTATTCATTTTAAATATTTCATTTTAAGATATGTACCAGTATACATGTTTGCAGTGACGGCTCGTGCATTGGAGAACAGGGGAGGCGAAAGTCATAAAGACTATATACACACAGAAAAGCCCGCTGGAGGCGCGAAAATTTTTATGTTGTTGTACGCTTTGTCTAAAGTTAGGGCACGGGCATGACAATGCGTGAAAAGTGCATGAGGAATTATGGACTTTGGACTTTATTTTAGTTTGAAAACCATTTAAATGGCCGGCCATGACCGCAGCCCCATCACAGGTTTGCGCAATTAACTTTTGCCGAATATTATAGGTGTCACACGTACGAATTAAAAAATTAAACAAATCGTCAGCTGTCCGCCCAGATGAAACATCATGAAAATCCATAAAACGTTCTACCATATTACCATCTTTGACATATCTAAAAACGATTGAAAGTTGTGATGGTCGGTCGGTAGCCAAGCGGTTCGGCGTAGGTGCTTTGTTCACTCACTCTAATTGACTGCCGTGTTGGTCAGTGGTTCAAGCCCTAGTCTGAACGATCGATCTCCACTTGCTATCGTCCATCATGTGTTAGGAATCACACGTTAAAAGGTAAGACCTGGTTAATCCTTAGCTCGCACAAGTTTCGACTTCTGAGGGTTGTCGTTTATAGGGGAGCGACAGCTGGTTAACGAAAAAACAGATTTTCAACAGATTTTTTTTAAACAGGTAATATCGGTAGTTTCATCAATTTTCCATACAAAAAAAGAAACACTTTCAATCTCCTTGCTTATATTTTCCTCAATAATATATGCCATACTTTCTATAAACTCATTTTGGATGGTTTTTGAGGTGCCCAAAAAACGCTACCGCCAAATTGTGAATCATATTTGCCCCATAACATTTAAAGTTCCTTGTAATTGCCGCGATTAATCGAATCTTCTGTTTCATCGTGTCCGCGAAAAGCTAATTCTTGGGAACCCAAATAAATCGTAATATCGAATTTAAAAAATGACAATCTGAAAATATAGTTTCTATTTCTTGTCTAGGGAAAAACTTACATGAAAAAAATTATACTAATTCAAAACGGCAAGGGGAAACTAAAAAAGCACAATATCTATAAGGGTGTCAATAATCGAATTCGATACATTTAGAGAGATCACTTTGGAAATTCAGCAAATTTACTTTTAAAAACAACACTGCAATACACCATCTCAAAAAACAAGTGAAGTTACGTTTTTTTTGACTATCTAGTTTCTATTTTTGTCTAGGGAAAAACTTACATGAAAAAATCATACTAATGCAAAACGGCAAGGGGAAACTAAAAAAGCACAATAATTCGATACATTTAGAGAGATTACTTTGGAAATTCAGCAAATTTACTTTTAAAAACAACACTGCAATACACCATCTCAAAAAACAAGTGAAGTTACGTTTTTTTTGACTCGGTTATATATTTGATATGGTATTTATCTTGCACAAAGATGAATGACCTTGACCCAATTTCTGAATTGAATCGCAGGCCTTCAATTTGTGAATTGTAATAATCGGAGTAGTGTACTGATTATCTGGGCCTGAACGGTTTCTTCAAATTTACGTCAATAATTTAAATAAAAAATATTGAGTTTATACCAAGTGTGTTTCATTAAATTTGCAACGATTGGGAATATTTTCATCAATGAAAACCAATTGTTTCAAAGAACATTTGTGGCAGGTAAAAATACCTGTAATTTTTCAAACAAGGTGTACGGCCGTTAAAACTGAAAATCCGGAATGAGCACATCAAATTACAGAAACTAACCATAATAAAAAACTTCAGAATTTGAGGATTTACACCCCTTCAGCGATAAGCACATCAAACGAATCTAATCATTCAGTCGGTTTTTTATGATATGATAAATGAGTAATATTGAAATGCTTGTTTGGAAGTAATTTCGAAACATTTAATCCTTACTTGAACGACTACGTTCCACCAATACTCAGCAATTAGTAAATTAATAAAAGCTCAACAGAAAAATTGAACTGTAAATTCAATATCAGCTAAGTAAATTCTTTCTAACTTATATCAAGGCTTCATCATAATGGATGGATGAGGTTAGTTGGATTTCAGTAACGGAAGGGAAAATCAACGGTACACAACATTCGTCCCGCCAGTTGTTGTTTATGGATGAGCGTAAAGTTCTGAAGTAATAAGCTGTTTACAACATTCTCCGATGTGAACATTTTACGTTGCCGGAACTAAATAAAGTACATATGGTATAGTACAGTATTAAAAGTTTGGAAGGAAAACTGGTGATCTGCAAAATGCAATGAAACTCTGAAATGTTTAATCATAAATGGAATACAAATATTAGCAAAGGTTGACTCCATGCTATTCCTAGCACTAAGACTGGTCAATATTATACATTAAGGAAAACTTCCATTTATTGTGGTCAACAAGAAATAATAGTAACAAAAAATGTTCGGGAATAAAAATGATAATCTGGTTTTCTTTTTGGTTGCAAATATTGAATGTTCATAATATTGAGGTAAAATAGAAGAAAGGGAAATATGAGAACTGAACTGAAAAAACATCTGAAAATTGTTCAAGAAATTGTCCAACTAAATTATTTGTATAACAATTTTATTAATTTTTGGGAGACAGAGTTTTTGGCTTTCTACTACTCCATCTTGATATAAAAAAGGGTGGGAATCTTCCAAAGAAAGGAAGGAAGCAATCAATTTCAAAAGAAGTACCTCTATACCTANATTTTTTTTTATTTTAAACTTGAACGCCAAGTAATCTCAGAAACGAAGCAACTCCGGACATATGTTCATGAGAACTTTTTTTCTTGAAACGACCTAACGCATCACCCTCTGAAGTTTGGTACTGTAGTTAGGAATCACCCTGTTTAGGAGCTTATATATTAACAGAGAGTTTGCTTTCAAAATATTGTAGTCATCTTGAAAACGCAATTGAAAATGGTTTTTCAAGTTGGATTTGAAGCTTGAGCGGCAGGAATGGAACCGAAGGGTTCTTTTGAAGGAACCATAACCTAAAAACAAATGCTACATGATCCAACAACAGGTCTCAACATAGGCCTCAACAGCGAGTAAAAACAGCTCTGTCTAGTATTACACTACGAATGCTTCGTTTTTCGGCTCTGCTTTCATATAGTTGCCTTGCAGTGGAAGCTGCAGTAAGAGACAGAGAACGATACAGATACATTCACAACTTATATGATTGTAGAGCCCAGATTCACGATTAGAGAGCACAACATTTGGGCTGGCAGGCCGTGGACCTTGTAGTACTAAACGTTTCGTATCCTACTGCGAAGACGAAGGTAGTATCTCAATGTCTCAGCAACAACTATGCCTTGGGTGGATGATAATTTCATTTTGAACTATAATACACAAAAACATTTACTTGAGAGCAAAAATTTTTTGGACGTATTTTGATCGATGGACCGTCGGTGTATGGGATAATTTATGTTGAGGTCATTCCCAAAAAGGGGAAACAAAAAACAAAAATCAGTATTTTTATGAAATTCCAAAAACTATATTCATCTGTCAAAAATATTATTGTTGACTGTTAAACTCTATATGAGCTGCCTAGGTCTCAAATATATCATCTTTTTTAGACATTGTGGAAAATAATTGAATCATTTGGAATTGATTTCGTTTAAACACGAGATGGTGATTGGAATATTTGCAAAACGATGAATTCATGAAAGATATCAATACTAGTATTTCTAATATGCAGGGTGCTTTAATCAAAGCTTTTGCAGAAGTCATCAAGGAGTTGTGGTCAGAAGATTCATTTGATAGAGTAGTAAATACAGTCTCCTTAAAAAATCAGATTCAAAGTTTCATTCCTTGATTCATGGGTAATGCCCATCAAGACGCCCAGGAGTTCCTTCGTTATCTTTTAGAAGGTTCCCATGAAGACGTAATATAATTATTGAGAAATCTAATCCAATCTTAACGGAGATTACCGAAAATTTGAGCGACAGCGTAAATTCACAAGAGTCATGGCTCACATATTTGAGGATGCATAACTCTATGATTGTAGATAATTTCGTTATTCAATTGAAATCCATGATGAAATGCACACACTGTGGACATTCATCAAAAACCTTTTATGATTTCTGGGATTTTTCTACGTCCCTACCACACAGAACCGACCAATTTGGATGGAAATGAAAAACCGACGTGTTCGAAATGCAAAGAAAGAAGAAAATGCACAAAATCCCTATCAATCCACAAGTGTTCCCATATTTTAGTAATTCACTTAAAAAGATTCTCTCCAACGGTAAGATTCAGAGGCACATTGAATGTTGTCATCAAATTTTCTCTAGAAGGATTGGATATGAACAATTTTGCAGCAGAAAATATGGCTATTTGTTATAATCTATATGCACTTTTAAATCACAGTGGGACTACTTACAGAGGGCATTATATAGCATACTGCAGACACCCCTATACTGGCACGTGGTACAAATACAACGATTCACACGTTTTACCAATTCCACCAAAATCGCTTGTGAGTGGAGAAGCGTACGTCCTCTTTCATGAAAAGGATGGAACAAAATCGCACCTTCGCGATAAATGAGGGAAGGTTTTTTCATGCTCCTGTATCAATATATTTGATATTAATATTGAAATATGTATTTGTATTTGTGTACCTGGTAAGTTGAATTGATATTGTTTCATTTTTATAATACATTCTGTAACAATGAATTTTCAGAAATTGATATGACAAAATACGTCATCCATCAAAGATGACAGTATAGTCATTGTGTATCTAGATGAAAATTTATTCATATATAAATGGAAATCCAATAATTTGCTTACAGATCCTTCACCATGGAAGTACTTGCGTTCTCTGGGAAGGTATCGAGGGTCCCTCGCAACCGACAGGTGTCAAAGGCTTCTTGCTATATCTCAGGTTAGATAGATCATTAACAACCCTCACTTGGGTACGGCCAAGTTGGAGCGGTCTTAAGTCAGGAACCACCAACGAGGCAGATCCATTCTCAACGGATTTCAACTTGTCCTTCAACCCCGAAGAGACGTTAGCTCCAGGACTACTGACCAAGTTGGCTTTGCAATCTACCGGCGAGCAGAGTACGGGAACCACGTTAGATGATGGGTAAGTGACACAGTGATTGTTATATGAAAATAATACTTCATTTCCTTTTGATTGACCCAAAATGTTCAAACGAAAAAAATATATCTAAATCTATATAAAGTATTACTTAGATATTCACTTTCACTTCTCACATAGATCAGGCTATCTCATCAGCGAATCGAATGTTGGGCTTTATCATAAGGAGTACAAGAGAGTTTAAGAATATTAACTAAACTAGAATATGTCATGTTAAAATGGTATTCAATTCACAATTACCACATACATCATATAGATGATGTTCGAATAAAATTTTTAAAATATCTGTCGTTCAAGGTCACAGGAATGTATCCTCAGAACGGAACCGACTATTCCATCCTTCCGGATATATTTAATGTAATATCTCTGAATACACGTTGGCTTTTTGTTACCATCTCCTTTCTTCACAAACTGCTGAATAATAAGATCTCGTGTGCCACCCTTTTACAAATGATCAACTTCCGCACTCCACGCCTGACTTCCAGATATTAAACGACATTTCATTGTAATCTTAGAAGAGCAAATAACAGTTTCAAAGCATCAGTGTCAATAATTTGTAACAACTACAATTCAATCTATAAAATGTGCAATATTAATAATAGTTCTCTAACTTATATTTTAAAATGTATTCTCACTAAAACCTTTCAAGTGTGATCTCTTTTACTTTTTCCTTCTTGTGATATCTTCTATTTCTATTCTACTCCATTTTATTTCTGTTAACTGTAGCTATTTTTTTTAAGTAATTATCCTGTTTTGCATATATTTTGTATCAACACCTTTCCTGTAATTGGGTGAATGCTTGTACGTAATAAAGTGCTATCTATCTAACCTAATATTTACTAAGAACCTACCTACATTAAGTTATATTGAAATTTCACTGATAACATTTGAAGTTGATTATGATTCATGAGATCGTTTGAAAAATGAAACATGTCATTTTTAAAATTTGTTCAGGCAAAATTCAAATTTTTTCATTTCAATAATACACTGACTCGTTATTTATTGAAAATCAATAACACTGTCCATGGTAATGAGACAATTTTCACACTATTGACTTCAATAAAGACGCACTTCACTGCACAGTAGCTTTTTCAGTTGAACTATTGCATTGAACTATTCTACAATGCATTTTATACAACAGTAGTAGTGGTTAATAGCGAATATTCTTGGAATTTCAAGAAAATAACTGAGTGAATAAATCTTTGTTGACCGTTTGGTAGGGTAATTGACTGTTTTCGTATATTGATTGCCAAGGATTTCAAAAGATTAAATTTTTGTCTTTTATTTTTTTATGTAACTGTAGTTCTTGTCGAAATCGTGATTGTTCTCTGAAAGGTGGCTTGCATAGGTGGCATTGATCTTCTTTAGGTCAAATATTCATTTGTGTTCTGAAATTCTTATTTTCTAACCGATTTTTCTGTATAAACTTACAGGACTAATCCACCTGTTAACTTATTGTTTTGTATATGTCAACGTTGATACCACTCTTGTATGGTATGTTATTCTTCTGTTTAGTTAGTAGTCTTTTCAGTTTTTTTATGATGATTTTTTGGTATATTTGAGTGTTATATATATTTGTAGTACGGTATGGTGTTGGTATATTTGTATTGTTTTCAATGTGAGGGTTTACTTGGTTTAAGGTCTATTTGAACAGTGTTTAGTGAATCATGTTTGGGTTGAAGTTGTAATTTACTGCAATTAGTTTCGTCAAATTCGGTACCTTATTAAAATTCTCTGCGGACTTCGGGATCCTAATGAGTCTGAGGATCATGTTATGGTGAGTTACTGATTTACGTTATAATAATAGTAATAATAATAATTTCTCAGACTTTGTCCAAACCACTCTATCTAGATGGTTGTTCTGATTATTAAAGTCCTTGGTGGAATCATGCCCTTTCTACTCTCGAATATTCAAATCATACAGGCTTACCGCGCTGACGCAGAATTGTAGAAGGCTGTCATTCTGGGCTCACTGCGCTTGCTCAGGGCTCATGATTCTCGGACCCAATAATCACTTACCCGACGGTGTGGGGAGTGGTCGTTGGTTGATAATTATGGCGCGCCCTCCCGAATGTATCGGGGCTTCGGGAGTGGGGCTTGACCGGCGCATATTACGGTAAAATACAGTAATAATAATATTTTTTTCACTACAAACCCGAGAAATTGTTATTATTTACTCCATTCCCCTAACGAGAATTAATATTTCTCCCCCTTGGTAAATAATGACAATAAAACAACACCTAAGTAAATAATGAGAACAATTCTATAATTTTAACTTCAGGCGGGGTACACATCATCTCTAAATCATCGTCACTTGAATTTTTACCTATTTTCAATTAATCAGATTGACGTTTTACTCATATAGATCTTTTAACTACTTCAGAATGACATCTGAACTTGAATTAAAACCGTATTTGGCAAACTAACAGCAATAATAATCATTGTGCAGTGTTTGGTTGTTCATGGCCTAAGTAGATGTTGCGCGCTTATCATCGACATCGGGTATTCAGCATGGAAACTGTACCGTTTCAATTTGACATGCAACAATTCATAGCTGCCTTGGGTTATCATATATCCAAGGAAATGTTTTTCTCACTATAATGCAGAATTGAGAAATTTTAAGTTCTGAACATACAGAAGCGATGAGAGAAGTGGAACATTGAAATATATCAAAAATGCAATGAGATATTTCCTAGATTCATATCAAAATTTGACACATGCCAAATTTTCACATAAATAAAGCCAGTCTGATTAGAAACACGTTCCACTCTACTTGATATTCCGATATATTCAACAAATTGTTAGAAAATTACTAATGTCAAAATTAAAATTGTTAATATACCAATGTTAGAAGTGAAAAAAATTCTATATATACCTCGGCTGAGAAAGCTATTATTTTCCTCGCACATTATATCCCTCGGCGCTACGATTTATATCCGTATCTGGAGTTGTTCGGTGTGAAGTTACTACTTTTTTTGCGTATATGCAGAATTCAAAAACTAACAGTTATGGAAGCATGAGGATTTTTAGATTCATGAAGTGATCACTACAGGATGAGCGTTTCGAAATTCCAACAATAGTACAAATACTGCGCTTCTGCACAATGAAAACATCTGATGATGAGGTGGATAGGCTTAAGAAGCGCACCCCATATCTTACTCTGAAATCAATTTGAGCATAATATGATTTTAGGAGTTGTTTCTTGTTAAGGGCGAGTTTGAAATTTCTGAATTGATATGTGTATCAGTTCAATTTGGATTGTAGAGTTCGACAGTGATTATTTCATGATAGACACTTATTCACTTCAAGACCTAAAAACCTGACTTTTTGAACGATTTCTACATTAACGCAAGTTGCTGTTGATACTATCACATCAGAACAACTTTTCTGACGATTATGGAATCTAATGGGTTTCGTTTTTTACATGTTCAGGTGAAAGAGGTTTGCACTGAAGCAATCTTTTGCACTCGAGAAAGTCTCATTGCATTTATCTAACAGAAGTTTGTATGATTTATCTTAAATGATAATTGATATATCATCTGCGTACATAGTGAAATAAGACTGAACTGGTGAGTCATCCAAATCATTCAGGTGTTATATAAAAAGAATAGGTTCCAGGTCCCAAAGCGAAGCCTTGACGCACAACAATTGTGACTGCTCGTTTTGTAAACATAATATTGTCGATAGAAACGTACTGGCTTCTTGAATCGAGGAAGCTGTGCAGCTAATGGTGAGGAATGTCCCTTATTCCATATCTCTGAAGTTTATCTAGTAAAATACTGTGATCTACACAGTCAAATTGTGTGCTGAGATCGCAAAACTGCTGATTTTTATTTAGGAATCCGTGCCGATTATTGGAGAGAATTTTAAACACATTGTAGTATGTTAATAACCTATTAAGAATGGCATACTCGAATATTTTTGAAAAGTTCGTGGGAATTGTTATTGGTCGATAATTTTTTACAAGCTGCGGATCACCATTTTTATAAATTGGCACCAATTTTCCAGTTTTGAGAAGATCTGGAGATATTCAGAGATATGAATTGACAATATGTGTGAAAGGAGAATTAAGAAATGGTAGGGATTTTTTCAAAACAAACATAGGGACCTCGTCATACACACACGTAGATTTATTTTTCAGTTTTAGCTGTAATATGTTAAGTGATTCAGAATACGGATCGAGAAAAAACGAATTCATTCTTGTTCCAGAACATCTTTATGATCTTCTACAGGGTCATCTTCTTCATCAATTAGGGTGATTTTACTTGACGAGAGTGTGTTGAGTTCTCAATTATTCCCCCTATATCCAGTTCACAGTTATTAACAGTGAAATGGCTGTTGATAGTTTCGTCTGTATGGGTTGGTTTGTATTAAGTTGTGAAATCATGTAATAATAATAATACTTCTTTATTATTTTTCACATACAGTATATCTATATTGAGAATATTTGTAATTGGAGGTCTTAAATGTTTATCGAATTATTGGTGTCTAGTTCTGTAGTGAATTATATGACTTGATTGGATACACTGAAGTTTTTAATTTGAAAATTGCACTTACTCAAATTTTCTTTCGGCTTCATGTAGAGAATATTATCATCATTCACCGTTGTGAAATATAGTTTCGCTGTATAAATTCACATGTAAAACTATCTTTCAGGACCATTCTTCGATTTTTCATTTTACCCCTTCTGCTTTTCAGGAATTGGATGGTGATTATATGTTCAATGTAAACAATTTCTTCAATTTTTTCTTTTTGTTCGTTAATCTTCCCATTTCTCCAAAGTTTTAATGGTGTTGTTATCAGTTTATTCACGGATTTTAGCTTTCGCGTTTCTTCCATCTCTAAATCTTGGGAAAAGCCTCATTGTCTGCTTTCGACTTCAGTGAAAAATATTCGCAAAGATTTGTTGATCATGCTCAGAAGTTTTGATATAAATTTCCACTCAATGACTACTCCTAATCCTAAGAAGTTCCAGTTTTCAACTCATCGGTGAATGTTGGATACTTTTCGAAAAATGTTTATGGAATCGTTGCAAAATACTTTACAAATATTTTGACGGTGCGCACAATAGCAATAAAAGTTCTTGAGAACCATATTCACAACTAGTCACTCCCAATCTCAATCAACTAGGTACTTCGCTTCGAAGTCACTAACGTACACTTTGAGATTAAGACCTATTCCTCCAGATAAGGGAAATTATTTATCAAGGTTTATACAATGAGTTTTATGTAACTCGACGTCTTTGATATGAATTTGATCGCTTTAGATTCAGACATGATCTAAACGTTGTCTTTTTCATGAAAAATGAGGATTGAAATATTTTGTGCTTTCTACCACTTTTGTTTGTGATTAACGTTACTGCAGTTTCATCCTATGAGAACATTTTCATACTTATACATTAAACTAAAAATGATTGATTACATTAGCCCTTATATAACACCACTGTAGTTAATAACAGAGGTACTTAACTCAATTTAGTACCTGAATTTTGTTTACCTGTGACAATTTGGATACGGTGATTTGAAAACCGGTGAATAAACTAGATCGATCTGATCATTCATTTCTAGTTTAATCGGATTCTGCAGAAAATAATTTCACATCAAAAAAGACGAATGAATTATTGATTCAATTCAGTCACTTATTGACACAAACCCCTTGAAAATGTGTTATAGTTTGATTTTGAATGAAGCCACTGTAAGTAACTGAATGTCTCAAGTTATACTCAAATGATAATAAATAAGAGTTTTTTTCATGCTGAAAATGCCTTCTGATGTTTGTCTTGTCTTGGAAAATCAATAAATGATATAGAATATTAGGTCAACGTTCATTTGAAACCGAGTATTTCACCATTTGCATTTCCTTCTGAATTTCATTATTCATTTCCATCGCTTTGTTTTTCTTCCATATTACTTGAACTTGAATCTTTGAAACATGTCGTACATATTTTCACCAAATGTTTCATTTCATGTGCAATACAAATAGTCATTACACACATCAAGTGAATACGAGATGACCAATACTGATTCAGATGTTACATACTTGGTATGCACTGTTTGGAACCTTTGGTGTAGTAATGAATATTACTGGAGTTTTTTCTAACACCAAACTGTTATTTTAACACATCGGTACGTGTTTCGATCACCCCTTGATTCCTCTTGAAGTTGATCACTTGGTGATCGACACACGTGTCGAGGTGTAAAAATAACGATTTGATGTTGGGATAAAATTCCAGCAATATCCAGTTAGTTGTGAAGTCTCGTAAAACAAATGATAATATGATAATAATGATAACAATAATGGCTTCTTTGATGACTTTTTCAGGACGCTGGAATGAAATACAATGGAAAAGAACTAAAAAAATTTACAAGACTTAAAAGTAATCTGAGTTTTACAATTGAAAATTGAATATTGATAAAAAAATTCCACAAAAATGGCGCATTGATGTCAATAATGTCATTTTCAGATATCTGATATTAGTAATGTCATGTTCAAAGCTTACTATAATGATAAGAGTGACATTATCATTGAAAAAATTTCCATTTTATAAATGCTCATTAAATGAATTATATACAACNTATAATCTCGTTTTTGTAACTCCTTTCAAGAAAAGTTCTGTTCCATCTGTAACAACATTTATAATACCAGGACAACAAATATCGCCGCTGTTCTACCAAAGATCATGACATTAGATTTCGATGCATTAACAGAAAGGCAATATTCAGTTAACAAGTTTAATATCATATCGAGATCGGTATTAATTTACCATACGTCCTCGTTTATTGAATTCTCGTCGAATCCCATGTACAGCTGAGTATCGTCGGCATAACAATGCATGATTGCAAATTGCAGTAACCTATGGAATTGAGATGAAACGAACAAGAGAGGACCCAATGTTGAACCTTGAGGAACACCATTTTTGAATTGTATCAAATCAGATTTTTCGTCATTATACACAACTCCTTCAAAACCATTGTGAAGGTAATTTTTTTTATTGCTAAAGCATGCATTGAAATACTTAGGTTGCCCAATATAGCAAAAAGGAGTTCATGGTATTCCTCAGAGGTATTAGTGAGACTTGTGGGAAATACCTTTCATCGACTAATTTCAGTTGTGGAATAAAGACAGTTACGTGTGCTTGAGCTTTTGTACACATTTCTCCTACAAGAAAGTGGCTTCTGATTCGATTTGTTCGACAAAGGGCCCCGCTGAGCACTGCACCATTCACGAGTGGCATGTCAACGTATAACTGACAGAAACAGTTGAAACTTCAACCGAAGCTTTGAGTTCAACTCGTTAATTCCATATCTTCCGGGAACAATGAACATAATATTCAGGATGACTGTATTTCAGTGAACAAAACTCCACTTAACAATAAATAGAATGCTGTCACTGCAATACACGAAAATTAATGCTGTTACAAAATAGCAGGTAAATTGGAATGTTGAATTATCTTCGTCTCCTTTCATATTCCGATCGAATATAATTGCTATTTGTGCCGATATAATGCTCGTCTGATTGAATTTGCTGGAACGGTGACATCAAGGACGAGTCCTTGTACACTAACATATATTCTTCTCCGATCCATGATACGCCCGATTGGCTATCAATCCGAGAAGAATGCCTGTTCTTAAGTGAAAGATAATCGAATCATCGGTTTCATTTCTGTCTTCCTTCGTCAGTCCTTGTTGGTGAATATAAATATCTTGACCAAAGAGGTGATTGAAAACAATTCTAAAATTGTTTCACATGTAGTGAAAGAACCTTCCAAAAAGTTAAACCTGCTGTGAGATTTTTAAACAGCCATGTAGATAATAATAATAATAATTTGGTGTAGTAATGAANTTTGTTGAAAAATATTGAAAAATATCTGTCATTTCAAAGTTTTGGGGTGTGGACCATCGGGGGTAGTCCGTTCCTGACTTTGTAGCAAAACAACTGACTCCTGCATGAAAGCTCATCGACGGAATTCATTTGTTTAGTCAATTACCAAAATTTGGATGATTTTGAATATTCACTTGAAAAGTTATCAAAGAAAAACATTTTTCATTTTGTAACTTCGAGGGCCCGTAACTTGGTTACGAAGACTTTTAGGAAAAAAAGTTATATGAAGTACTGGTGATATTTTGACCCCATCTATACATTCCCGAGAGGAAAAGAGGAAGTCCAGGGACACCCTGTATATCTAACTTATATCGTATTCAGTGATATCGATTTCCATTGAAACCAACAAAAATATTGGAACACTATCGAGTGGTAAAATCTTCCTCATCAAAGCCGTGAATAATAAGATAATTATAGAGAAAAGAGGTTTTGTCATTCTACTTCTCCATCTTTATACAAAAAATTTGTGGGAATCTTCCAAAGAAAGTAAGGAAGCAGTTAATTTAAGGAAACCTTCCTTTCCCAAAATTTATTTTCTCCTGAAAGAATACCTCTTTTAATTCAAATAAGATAATCATAGTTCCTTTGGATTTTCAATCTATTACGTCATTACTCCGTCTTTCAACTCCATAGAAGAATTATTGTTTTCCAAGAAATTCACCTTTCCATGAAAAACTTCGATATCAGGTTTGATTGTACTTGCTATTTATTTTAAATTTTTTTTTTTTGGAAATTCACCAAGCTCATCAACACGGTAGTTAAGTTCTCTTATAGTAATGTAACCTCTAGGAATTTCAAAAAGTCGTAACACAGTTATCAAATAGTTATATAAAGATATGAATAAAAAAATTATTCATTTATCAAATGTATCGGAGCGGACACAAACCGTTCACCCAGTACGGTGGACCATTATTAATGATAATACATTTTCATTTTGAAAATATGTAACAATTTTTTGAATATTTCAATTCTAAAACTCAATCAACAAATTTACAAGAAACTCAATATATGGTATCTATCGCTATCCAGCAATAGCAGTGGAAAAAAACATGAGGAGCCATCTGAAAAAATTTTCGATGTGAATTGCTGAATTTTTGGATACTACGCCCTGATTTCAATTTTTTAGAGCTTTGAAAAACTATTTTTGAGGACAAAAAAATCCGTAAATCAAATTCCATTGAATTCTATTACAGTATAATACTGCCAACAAGCCATACAAAATAAAGTTCTCAAAATTAAACTTTCTGGTTTCTAGTCTAACGAATATACAGAGGGGAAAGTTGGATTTTTTGAAAAGTTTCGAATTTGTTCAGATAAAGTTTTTGTTTATCGATTCTTTCATCAACATGTTATATTTTATTTAATATAGAAAATCTCCTACCGTCAACAGTTTTGAAAATACGAAAATAATTTGTTTTTTGGTCTGGTCTGGTCTGAATCTGGTTAAATGTATTTCGCCTATTTTTAGATAGCTGACATAGGTGACATAAGTCCTTCAGTTATCTCCTGATGATACTTACTTTAGCAAACGCGGTTAGCAAACCGCGGGTCGAGAGAAATCATTTTTGTTATTAATGAGGTAGAAATGTTTTCAATAGTTTCATAACACGTCATGTTTCAAATTTTAATTATCAACTCGTAGTTTTATTCGTCTAATTTTCTGTTGTGGTTCAAAATTCTAACATTCAAAATTGAAATAGAAACCATTGTCAATCAATTTGTTCCTCATGGATAGTTCCATAATAACACAACGAAATTGCTGATGAAAATTTATTGAAAAAATGAATCATTGAAACAAACTGAAACTACTCTACTCTACTTTTCAGGAATTATATTTTTTTATTTTTCAACGCACTCAATGCTTTCAGATTTCCATCATCTCCTTCAATAATTTCAGTTCCTTAATTTTTCTAATTTGATATTTTTCAAAAGAACGGCAAGCTTCTAACTCGCCCTCCAGTTTCAAATATCGTAATTTCAATTCTCTCGCATCTTTCGTCATTTCAAGATTGCTTTCCTTTTTCTTCATCGGACGAGAATGTTTCTTTAAATACTGGGTAGAGCTTAGTATGAAATCATTGATTTGCTGCCAGTAAGATTTCTGAAATTTCAAAGTGATGAGTATTGTTTTAATTCAATTAACTATAGTAGGTATATTCATCAAAAATATAAACCTGAAAATTTCAATCAGTAATGTTGACAAAATGTTGGGAAATACTTAATGCATTGAATTTGGAAACAATTCTTGTTTCATCTATCACCATGTGTACAAAATTATGTTCATCTCATTTCACGCGTCGAGAGATTTTGACAAAACAAAAGCTGAGAATTCGCCGGCCATGGTTTTCATAAGACAGAAAGAGTGTTGAATGCAACATTTTTTTGATAATTCAAGAAATTAGTTGGAACATTTCAAAAAATTTGAAGTGTTGCGAGAGCAGATGAAAGAAATTCTATCTCGGACAAGAAACACAAAAATCGTTGAGCCTGTAGTGAATAACCTCCTGCAGTCCACGACAATATTAACTTGACCTTGACAGAAAAGTTTTGTGAGTTAATGTCCAAACGTTCGATTGCAAATCGAAAATGCAATAAAGTGTACTTTTTTCTCAAACAGAAATGTCAATTGCCAATATGTGCCATATTGGTGACAATAAATTTCTGGACAGGAATATTGGAAAAATATATGGTTGGTCCCATATATCTAGAGGAAAATATGACTGGTGATTTATATTTGGAAATTCTTCAAGACCTTATTTACTCACATATTCAAGAAATTAGGTCCAACAATCCGGATGAGTTCGAAAATTCAGTTATTTTCCAACAAGATTTCAAGCCTGTAAGGGATTGGTTAGATCAGGCATGGACTGTGGATTGGTTAACGCAGTCCGTTGGAGTGGCCTCTTTTTTCACCAGATTTGACTGATTTTGATTTTATCTATGGGGTTATATCTATCAAATCGAAAGTTTGTGTTACGAAACCTGGGATAATACGGGAACTCGGAGACAGAATACCGAAATGCTAGCAATACCCAGAGATATTGCAAAGAATAAGAATAAAAATAAGAAAACTTTATTGACTACATTGTGAATAACTTACACGAGTAGCAGTTCAGTAACAGTACACATATGAATGTAAAAATAATAAAAGAATATATATGAAAAGAAGGTGAATGTATAGCAATGTTAGTGTCACGGGTTTCAAGGAGAACATTTTGAATATTTGCGCAAATGATTTTTCAATCATAAGTTGAATGAAAATGAGGTTCAAATGAAATGCTATCGTTTTATTCCCATGAAATTATAATATAATTTCATGGCAATATTTATTTTCTCATACACTGATATCATTACATGGAGTGCTATCGAAAATAAACCAGATAATCACAGAAGCCATAGAAATCTTTAGATTGTTCGTCATGAGACTATGTTGTGAATTGAGTGTATAATTACTTTATATTTCATTTAAAAATAATGATTGGTCAATCGATTAATAGACAAATGATAAATGAAACTAATAACAGAAACAGTAGTTACAGACAGAATACATAGTTATTTTCATCTACTCAATAAATGCTTAGGTCAAATTGCTGTTTGAAATAGTTTGGTTAATGAAATCAGAAAAACAAGTTCTTTCGGTATTCAGAATAAATTTCTTCACTTCTCTTTTGAACATAAAAGAACTGTTGATATTTTTTATTTCTCCTGGTAATATTTGGTATAAGCGTGGTCCCAGATATGTTGTCCTATTGTTTTGTCACATCGTGGTGCATTTAAAGAGTTTCCCTTTTTTCTAGTATTTTAGGAGTGAATGATTGGTTCTATTTTGATGTTTCCTTTTTTAACATTACTCAGTTTGCTCATACAAAAAGTTGTCGAAAAGTTGTCGAATATCACATACACTGCCTCATTTAAATAAGGCCTCAGTTGGATGAGTTTTTTTTCTATTGAATATAATTTTCAGTATCCATTTCCGTATGACATTTAGATTCCTAAGATGACACTTATCTATTGCTATTTGATAGTGAGATAGTACTCATTCAATTATTCTTCCATTGAACTTTCATTGCAAACAATTTGACATGGGGTAACGGAGTTTCGAAACGCCTAGTCCCAAATTCAAACACCAGTAACTCCGAAACCGGTTATCGTAATTTAAATTCGTGAAGGAAATTGTACACTCTGTCCAAGATAAGAATGAAAAGCATGACATATCTTATATACTGTGTCCAAGATAAGAATGAACAGCATGAAGATATCGGAAACGGTAAGTGATACGGGGTCGATTAAATCAGAGAAAAGTAGCGCATTTATGTGCCTAGTAATATTTCATTCAGAAAGTTTAAATATTCCGAGTAGTTTTGGAGATATCCCAGAAAAACCAAAATTTGAGAATTTCATTTTTATTTTCTCCTAGCTTTATTTTCAAAGAAAATGTAAAACAGATAGTACTTTTCCTTGACCACTTTTTAAGCACTACACGATAACGTGAGCATAATTTTTCTGCATCGTTTCGTCTTTTAGAAAACATTATCAATTTTGTATTTTTATATGTACCGAAACTAAAGTATACTCTGTATACGACTCCATTTTTTATTGTAAATTCAACAATGTATTACACAATATGATTTCATTATGATTTCTCGCGCAAAATGAAAAGTGATTACTCAACCTGATTTTCTTCAATTTTAGATAGTACGAGCTGGATAAAATTTCATATTTTGATACATGAAGTAAATTTATTAGTATTATTTATAATGGGATTTTAACTTACCACTTGCCGGAATTTTTGCGCTGTTGAATACAAAGATGAGTGGCAATATCAAAATTTCAGTTTATAAAATGTAATTATAATGTAAAAACAAGGAGCTAATATGTATAACAGGAAATAGGCAAAAACACACAAGTGTTTAACCGCCGTTATTTTCTAAGCACAACTACGCTCGTCACACAGACAAATTTAAAACTTGAATTAACATATTCGGAACAATATTGTTGAAGGATGAAGTAACCAGTCTTAGCAAATTTTTGAAAATAATGAGGGTACACTTGATTCTTGAAATATACCCAAAAGAAAAAGTTTAGTGGGGTTAGGTCAGGAGACCTTGTAGGCCAGGATGTATCACTATGAGTACCAATCCACTGTCTTGCGCAGCGACGGTTGAAATAATCACAAACAATTCTAGCGTTATGTGCTGGAGCACGCTCTTTTGTTAAATTGTTTTGATAGATAAAAGGCCCAATTACATTCGTACCGAGAATCCCAACCCACATGTTAAAATCGAAACGATGTTGGTGTCTGGACACATTGTGTACACACGGATTTTTTTGTGATCAATAATGAACATTCCGCCTATTAAAAATGCCATTGTTGGTGAAAGGGAAATTTTCATCGTCTTGGCATTTTTTAATGTACCTACCATTTACAAAAGGTTGTTCGCATTGCATCGTCACCTGGTCTGAGTCCATGATTATTCCTAAATTCATATGGATGATATTTATTTTTTCTTAAAATGAAGTGAGCGTTAGATTTGGCTACTCCAATAATATGTTCAATGGTGCGAGTGGATATCTCAGAATTTTCAACAACGGCCTGTAACACATCACGCTGACTTTCTTCATAGCTTTTGTCGGGTAACCACAGGTTTTTTTAAAGATCCGTATTCTTTTAAATTAGGAACTAAACGTCTAAATATTGATTTACCAGGTTGTCGCCTCTATGATACTTATTTGAGTACGCACGTTAAGCATCAACACACTTTTTTTGGCACAAAATGTAACATGGAAACATATAAAATTTTTCAGTATTCGGAAAGGTGCCGTTTTCCATTTTTCAACACAAATTATGCAGGTAACGAGATGTAAAAGTAGAAACGGTAATATGCCAAAAATTCTACCAAACAACGGTATATTCATGACAACAATCAATCAATCAAGCATTTATTGAAACTGTTTTCCTTCACAATCACATTAGACAAAAAAAAACATAACATTATGCATTATGTAATTTTTTCCAGCGCGTACTACCTAAAAATTGAAGAGGTTAAGTAATCACTTTTCATTTTGCGCGAGAAATGGTTATGAAATGCTATTGTGTGATACGTTTCTGAATTCACAATGAAAAATGGAGTCGTATACAGGATATACTTTAGTTTAGGCCCATATAAAAATACAAGGTTGATGATGTTTTCTAAAAGACGAAACGTCGCAGAAAAATTCTGCTCACGTTATCGGGTAGTGCTTCAAAAGTGGCCATTGTAAAGTGCTATTTGTTTTACATTTTCTTAAAAAATAAGGCTAGGATAAAATAAAAACGAAATTGTCAATTTCGGTTTTTCTCGGATATCTCCAAAACTACTCGCAATATTGAAACTTTCTAGTTGGCATATTACTAGGCACCTAAATGCGCTTCTTTTCTCTAATTCAATCGACCCCGTTTCACTTACCGTTTCCGATATCCCCGTGTTCTTCATTCCTATCTTGGACACAATTAATAGAGAATGGAAATAAGTACTTTTTATACGAAATATCAGAGTAATCCCCTTTACATCTGAAAAAAAGTTAATGGCACTCTCTTGGCGGCAAGTGACGTCACATTATTGTTTTTTCATCAAAAAGTACTGAAAATTATTTTCTTACAAAAATTTGGTCCGTATCTGATATCTTGCCCCGTTGAAGAGGGAGGGGGAATATTTACATGCGCAATGTATAAAATATTAAAAGAAAATAATTTCCTGGATAAATTATTCGATGAATCAGTCTTTAATATAACAGTTCATCAATATAACAGTAAAACATATTATTACAACAACGAATTATCGTCTAACATCGTGAATGTGTTCAAACAAGAATCTCATATCAAAACTGCAAAGCAAAATATCAACATATTCAAAATATATACTCCACATTGAGAGTGTCAATGAGTATAAAATTTAATAATGACATCAAGTCAAAATTTTAGTATCCCATGTGATGAACGACATTAAGAATGTATAGGTCAAACTAGTAAAACTTTAAATCAATGGTAACTGACAATAAAAGTTATTGTAGACTTCTAATTGTTCAACACATTACAACAAAACGAGGATGTTTCACTTTTTAGTGAATCTTAACCTTTTCCCCGGTACTTTCCACCACTTGGCAGCAAAGAAAATTCAATCCTTTTCATTACGAATACAATCGTTTGACAAATTGATAATGAAGATATTTTCAAAGAGTAGGCAAAAGTATTCTTGAAGACACAGTACATGTGAATGTTAATTCATAGCTGAATCGAAAAATATAGTGTAATATATATTTATTTTCCTCAGTCCTGCCCTGTTCACCTATTCAAGATCTAAGTTTGTTTTCTTACCTGGGCATCTTCAGTTTCTTTTTCAGCTGCAACGACTTGATGCACCAATTCATGAACAGTTTCTTTTGCAATCTGTTCTTTTGCTGTTACGACCGATAACTTACAACTAAGACTGACTGTTTCTTTTCGAATATCTGTCAAATTCTCTTTCTTCACCTGCAGCATCGTGTTTGCGTCTTTGATTTTCCTCTGCAAATCGTACTTTCTTTCGGTCATTTCATACATTTTCTTGGCTCTTATTTCAGCCTCTCTTCCGTTTATCGCAATTTGGTTTAACTCTTTGGACAAATCCATTGGATGAACGAATATTCACCAACTCGCAAATGTGCACCGGTTCAGCTTGTTTGAGAAAATAAATTAGGGTTAGAATTTCGCGTCGGATTTTGTTTGCATGGCCGTGCGGATTACTCATAGACTGGGGTTTACATGGATTTTCTCTGTGACTTCGTGTGGGTGTGAGTAAACTCAAAATTTGTAATTTTAATATCAGACTGAGTGTGACGGGGAGTTATAAGTTTACGGGTTGTACTTGCAGTGGCGGAACTATATGGTGGCAGAACTGGCAAAATTCTACGGGCCTCCGGACCGAAAGGCTGCAGGCTCAGAAGTGACCGAATATTTTTTACAAAATACAGTGAAAAATATGAATTTCATATGAGTACTTGAAGTCAATTGAAGTTAGACACCATCAATTGACATGTACAAATCCAAATAGATAATTAAAATTCAAATCATTCATAAGAAAAGAATCAATTTTTGAACGCATCAATTAGTTGCTTTTTTTCCATAACTAAATTGCTTTCATTGATTGCCAGTGAAGAAGACGAAGTTCTTAAGGCATTTTTTGCACTTGTACAGAGTGGACCAAATTGGACACTTTTATAGGAAAACTCTTGTTTTCAAATTAGATAGATCAAAACTGGTGGCTGTTTCTGAAGTCAAATTTCATGAAAAACTTCACAATGGAGTATGAGAATTATGAAAAATGGGACGTGATAGTCTGTTTTATACAAACCGGGAAAAAAGCAGAAGCAGCAAGAAATTTCTATATTGAGAGGTATCCAGGGAGAAGACAACGTTTTAGAGACTTTTTCGCAAGATTGCGACACAACCTAATTGATGGTGGTCAATTTGAGGAGAAAAGGTCGAAATTATATAAATCAAATAGGGATAAGGAGTTGGAAGAAATAGTCGTTTTAGGAGCTATTGAAAATAATCCCAAAATGTCAACGCGAAAGTTTAAATCAACAGGCCTACCAAGAACTAACGTTAGGTGCATTTTGAAAAAATACAAATTCGAGCGATACAGAACCAAAAGAGTTCATCAACTCAGACAAGGAGATTTTGAACACCGTATGGCTTTTTGTCAGTGTTTTCTTGAAAGTCATAAATAAGTGCGTTATTTTTGTTAAATGGTATCTGGACAGCAGTGCTGGCATTTTCAACCGCTACAATTCTTATATTTGGGCACAAAAAATCCTCATTCTATTGTAGAGAAGTTAAGGAAGATTTGGATTTAGTGTGTGTGGTGTGGTGACTTGATCAAAGTGTGCGTTTCAAAGTCTACATGAAAAACCTAAAAGTTCTGTATTTCAAAGATGACTCTAGCAAAACATCTATTGCTCTACATTTTTGGAAAGGTAATTTTAAGCTCTATTGAAATATGCAGGAATATACAGGGTGTCACATTGAAAAAAATAGTTTTCCATCATTAACCATTTCATTATCCCATTTGCAAAATAAGTTTTTACACCATTGAATTTTACGTAAAAATGTGCTTTGGAAAAAGATATAAGAAATTGACAGGAAAAAAGTTACAGCAACTTTTCGGAAAACATGCTGTGACTCAGAAATGATGATAGATATCGTAATGTGGTTTTCACCATTAAGTTTTCATAAAATTTGATCCTCAGACACAGCCATCGGTTCTCATCTATCTAGCTAAAAAACAAAAGTTTTTTTTTAGAATTGTCCAATTTAGCCCACTCTGTACCTGTACCTGTGCTGGCTTCGATACCAATGATACGTCAGTATATTAATACTGTGCTTGTTTTTTTACATTTATACCGACGACATTCATCAAAAAAAAAGTAGCAACCAACTACATAATGTTAGCGCAGAACATGAAGAGTATTTTAAATTACCTCTAGATTATGTAACAGATTTTTGCTGACACCACCTCATATTATAATTCAATACCTCAGAACTGGTTCGACGACGAGTGAGGAGCCACCGGTAGACAGCTGTTTCAGCCTATTGGGCATCATTCGAAAATGAACTATCGATTGTATGATTGAGTTTGACGTTTGAGGTGATTGGTCTAGGTGATTGGTCTAGAGGGGTAGTGAGTTATGAAGGTTTCACGAAAAGTGTACAAGTGACTTGGCACATTTGATTCCACCAAGAGCGGTACATATCAGAAATACGCGACCGATTGTGGCTGCTCATCGTTATGAGGTTGAACTAATTACACTACGAACTTCACTGTTCAAGAACTCTTTCATTTGGAGAACTGCGTTTATGTGGAATAAACTTCCTGAGAACGTTTTCCCAAATGGAGTTGATCTCCAAGGATTCAAATCCAATGTGAAGCACTACTTTCGCACATGCACCGCACTTAGAACTCCTTGAAGATTTTTCTGTAGTGCTTGTGTTTTGTCTTTTAAAAAAACTATTGATGCTTTTCTCAATAGTCAAAATAAAACAAAATATTCTTCAGATAAAGTCTAGTTGTTAGGTTCATGTTAGTTAATGAATCTCATCCTCTCCATACTAACACCAAGAACGACTGAATTGAAAATGTAATTCTGCTCTGTCACCTTCAAATACTCTTAGTGAATCCTGGTCAGGTCACAATTCTTCAGTTTCCTTCTTTTATAGCCGCTAATTGACTCCTTCAAATTGTTTCATTGAATGTTTTTATTTTACAAAACTTTACTTTACTTTTGTTTCAGCTTTCTCGATCTTATGGCCATAAAAGAAGTCCATCTTGGAGGAAGGGATGCCGAAAAGGAGTTTGAGTTATCGAACATGGCAAGGCGATATGGTCTTATTCACGAATCCGGTAACGAATGTGCCCTAACCATACTTTATGGTTATGGTTTGAGCGACAACAGGCTTTTGTACATAGTTTGTCCACCTGTAGTATGTAGGTAAGGAAATTAAATAATATTTATCTTGTATACGAAGCCTTTTAGTGAAAACTTGCCAAGACTGTGACTAATACACCGCAAGCCCAAGCTGAAGTTTTGGGGGTAATATAGTATATCTTGGAAATGTTGATTTTTGGAGTCCTGAAGTAAAAAATGAGTTTTCGGTGATGTTGGTGAACGAAAAATTCTGGAAAACTGAAAATAATAACCCAAGTGGGGAGATAAATTGACAAATATTTTTGTTATTCAGTACAGACTTGCGTCCATGTGATTTTTGTAGATCCACCCTCTGCACGCCTCCTGTTCCTTCTTCAAACATATTTAAAGATCAGATACCTTGTAAGTACCTCATCCAGTGAAAAATGAACCTGAATTTCATATCAATCCAACTACGTTAATCAATATGGCACCGTGTCACTATTTTTCGGGTTTGACGGCCGCGAAACATCAGAAAGAAATTCCAAAAATCCACGGCCTTCAAACCCAAAAAAAAGTCAAACTGAAAACCTTGGCCGCGAAAGCCTTGGCCGCGTCAATATGGCATCGTCAATTTTCTTCAGAGATGAACCTTAAATATTTCCAAAATTGGTGAACATATTCAGGCAGAAGGTCATCTATTTGTTTTATATGGATGATCTTAAACTTTATGTCTTTGTAGAGAAGGATCTCCATCAGTCCTTGAGGGTGGTGGAAGAGTACACGCATGCTATCGTTATGGAATTCGAGTTAGACAAATGTGCAATGATCCATCTCAAAAGAAGACAATGTGGGGACTACGGAGAGGATGTGCAGCTTATAGATGGAAGCATCCTACACCATTTAGATGCCGGAGAGACCCGAGAAATGATGCATCTCTATAGGAGTTTGCATCCTAAATCGTCCGTTACACGGTTATACTTCCCCCGACTACAGGAAGGCCGTGGACTTATTGAGTTTTAGAGTATCTACATGACATAATGAATGTAGATACTGAATGTAGCCTGTAAAGTCGTCAGGAGTTCGGATCCTCTTCTCTGCATGGTCAGCGACCATGAGAGAGCAGAAATTGGAGTATTTCTCTTTAGGGCAGCTGCCCGAGCTGAACGAGGTGATCACAACTCTGTTACCGATTTGGAAACCGTTCAACAAAAGGCTCATATAAAAGCCGCAAAGACCACCTTCTGTGGCAACACAAGAATAAGCCAAAGCATGGGGTCTTCTTCAATAACATTGTAGACCTTGGCTTATCAAAGCGCCTGACTTTCGCTTTCCTCAGGACGGGTGGGCTGAAGATGGAAACTGAGGGGTTCATCATGACATGTCAAGATGGTGTCTTCAACACCTTAGTCTACTGTAGTCAAGTGACGGGTAGATAAATTTCTGACACAAGGTGCAGGGTCTGCTGCGAGGCGTCCGAGACCCTAATGCCTTGCTATCAGCATGTCCAGCATAATATATGGTTTCGGCCTGTATCCATCGATTAACGCGGCCCTAAGAGTGCTTTATTACCATCTACGGCATTCTAACAGAATTGGCAAGACACCTGCGTTGCCCTACGCTCCAGGGAATATTGAATTCGTTATGGGGAACGAGAAGTGCCGAATTAATTGGAACTATTTGTTCCCCATCCTCAGGCGCAAACAGGCTAATAAGCCTGATGTAGTCTATCTCGTCCACCAGAGGAAGACGATATTTTTCGTGAAGTTTTCAGCTCCTGGCGAGACGAGTATCGTCCAAAAAGAGGAGGAAAAACGAATTGAATATCGAGATTTTTTCTTCGAACTCCGCAGACCCTGTCCAGACCACTCTGTCAAGATGGTTGTTCTGATTATTAAAGTTCTTGGTGGAATGATGCCCTCTCTACTCTAAAATCATACCGGCATATCGCACTAAGGCAGAAATCTTAGCCGGACAGACGCAGAAGGCTGTCATTCTTGGCTCACTGCGCTTGCTCAAGGCACACGATTCTCGGACCCAATGATCACTTACCACACGGTGTGGTTATCAATCGAATGAACCAGTTTAGGTTCAATGATGCTAGCGTGCCCTCCTGAATGTATCGGGGCTTCGCGAACATAACCCCGATACATAATAGTAATAATGATGAGTAATTATAACTATTCATTTCCCATCCTAGGACTCGAACATGTTAATGAGCCTGATGTAGTTCTCGAACACGACAATATTCGTTGTGGAGTTTTCAGCTTCGGGTGAGATAAATGCAGTGGAGTAATTAATGAATGGGATATCGAGATTTTTTCTTCACACTCCGCAAACTCTATCCAGACCACTCTGGTAAGGATGGGTTTTCTGATTATCGGAGTCCTTGGTGGAATGATGTCTCCCCTACTATCAAATTTGAAAATCAAACTGGCTTGCCGCACTTGTGCAGAATTCATAGCTGGACAAATGTAGAAGGCTAACAGTAAAGCAAATTCACATATACAGGGTGTAACTAAATGAGTGTAAAGCATTCAAGGAAGTGATTCCTCATCGAAAAAAGACAGAATCTTTCATATAGAGAAATTTCATTGGGGCATCCCTTGTTAAGATATAGCTCCTTAAAGGAGGTACATAACAACATATAACAATTTTTTTCACAAGCACTAAAAAAATTATAATATTGAAATCAACCTGACNATATTACAAAAAGTTACATTGGAAATAAATTTTAGGGGTTGCGTTTTCCACCCCTTACAACCATGGAGTAAACCAAATAAATTTCTGCCTAAGTGTCTTTTTGGTAGTACATAACGTCAGGTTAATTTGAATATTGTAACTTTTTCAGTGCTTGTGAAAAAAATTGTTATACAAATTTTATGTACCCCCTTTAAGGGGCTGTATCTTAACAAGAGATGCTCCAATGCTTCTTCATATGAAATTCATATGAAATCTTTTTTTCGATGAGGAATAACCTCCTTAAATGTTTTACACTTATTCAGTTACACCCTGTATGTTGTATCAAACTATAAAATAAACAGAGAATTTGGAAATATTGAAATTTCAAGAGTGAAATTTGAAGAGTAGTTACTCATATTTGTGAGAAAACGATGAATTGGCGCAGTGCACCCAATTTTTAGCTAACGAGAATTTATACAGGTAGAATTCTTTAATAAGAATTGAATTCAATGAAGAAGTGTTTAATCTGTAGAGATGCTCCCTGTATCTCATTTTTATGTATCATGTTGGAAAAACACCTAAAAATGAGACAAGAGATGCCTATTTTATAATTTTACCTCATTTCAGGGTATGGTTTAATGGATTAAATTGGTTAATCCGCGGTTTATCGAGACAACAAGCACTCTGTGATAGAAGACTGTTATGGTTAAGAGAACAATATATGCAGCTATACCATGAAGATGGTTACTGTTGCGGTCCATTGGCTGCGGATGCAATCCGGGTGAGCATATACGGATTTTTACCAGAATAATATTTTCATCGCTTAAAATATCGATTAATTATTTTATCACTCTAATTAATAAAAGTGTATAGCTCAATAAAATTAAAACGAACCACTCTGAATGAGGGTCATTTAATACTGTGACTGTGAAGGTCATTCAGTTCTGTACTCGATCCTGTGAGATTTTTGACCCTACACCGACAAGCAATGATAGGAAAAAATAAAATACTCTTGAGTTTTCATTCAATTTCAAACTAGGACGTAACATAATTTCACAATTAGAAATGTTCAAATAACCTAAATAAGAAGTCACGGTGAAATATTACATGCCATACCATAAGTACATACCAAAATAATATATTTTGTGGAGATCAAATCGTGAGGTGTAGGTTTTTGAATTTTCAATGGATCTTCATCAAGTAACGGCCGAATCAATCAGAAAAAAAATATATGATGGTTATTTCAAAATGATATTTTCTTGAATTGAAGAGGTTATATTTTTTAGGAGTGATTAATTTTTGGGAAAGAAAGTTTTTGGCTTTCTACTACTCCCCAAAAAGATATTTTCTTATTTCACGAGGTGCCTCAACACAATAGTACAAAGCACAAGTACATGTTCAAATAACAACTCAACATTTACAATTAGCGGAAAGACAGCATCATTTTCTAATTCAAAATAAAGTACATTGCTCATCCTTGTAATGTCAAAAATGTTACAGGGTTGGACACAGACTTGAAAGATCTTTCAAGAAAGGTATCAATCAAATATTATTCCTATTTGAAGGTTTCGTCAAGTGGATTATTATTTGGAGGGGGGTTGATGGCCAGAGGTTGATAATTACGTAAAAATCTGTTCCTCTGAAGTTGACGTGTTTCACAATTTTCTTACATTATTAATATCAGATAACTGAAGGGTGGTTCGTTTCGATTGGAATACACTGTATACTAAGTGATAATGAAAGTCTTAATTAATAGGAAACTCATTATTGTACAGAGAATCCGATGAAGGAAATTGAAGTGGGTTCAATAGAGAATAGACAATAAAATGACAACAGTTGTAGATTATCTTGAGTTTCAATTCGTTATGACCAACTGCAGATCAGACTGGATCTAGATAACTCTTACTGAAGGGTCTTCAATGAAGGAGATTGAAGCGGATTCAATAGAGAATAGGCAATAAACTGATGACAGTTTTTGATTATTTAAAGTTTCAGACAATTATGACCAACTGCAGACCACATTGGATCTAGATAACTCTTACTAAAGATCCAAAAATGCATGAGAAATAGTACGACAGCCTTGAGAATGAGATCTCTGGTCTGAACAATATTGTTTCAAAATGAACTACTTCTGTGCTTGATCAAAATGAAAATAGAATTTAACGAAAAAACTATTCATTACTAACAATTCCAAGAGAAAGAGTAACACTGCGTTCTATGATTCCAAGAATAAACCTGAAGGAATAATCNTTCCAAGAAAAAGAGTAACACTGCGTTCTATGATTCCAAGAATAAACCTGAAGGAATTGATAAAGTGATGTAATCGTCATCTTGATGACACCGTTTAGAAATAAACAAAAGTATATCCATTGATCTCACCAACAGTAAAAAGACATATGAATGGAAAAGTTGTGACGGAGGAATCTTCATTTTGGCTTATAGAAATAATATTCGACTTTTCATTCGATCCTCTGTGCTTCAAGAACAGAGCATTGACCTCAAAACCTGTACAAAAGAACAGTAGCAGATTGACCATTAGAGAGAAGGAGATGTGCAAATATCAAGAAGACATCAAGAATACTATAAACGACTGAACTGCATACCAGAAGGCACGGTTCCACATCAAGAAATATATAGCAAGACAATTATACTAAGAAATCACTGTATGTGTTGAATCAACCCTTGAACAAAATAATTATATCAATATTCTGTTATATTATCTAAGAGAATATAACATATTTTTCTGCGAAAAAGTTATGAAATCAGTCTTTTGTCGATTGAATGAAATGATTACCATTCATATGAATTTCAGTCTTTCGGTGGAAGAGATTGGTCTCTTGCTGGCGTGACGAGTTCTGGCGGACCAGCTGGTGAATCCTCAGGAGCATTGAGGAGAGAAGTATCAATGAAAATCAAGAAAAAACAACTTTTAAGTAACCAAACATTCAAGGTTAGTGAAAAATTTATAATTCATATAATTAGTCATCAGATAAACTAGCTGTTCATCATATCACGATCTTTCATCATAGAACTTTCAATAATTGTGCGTATTCACATATAATCTGTGTTAGTAATACAACATCTTTCTGAACATCTAAGAAGTTCATTTTCAGTGATGTGAGTGCATTGAACAACTTTTCTCAAACTTCTACAAGTTTTTTTGTATTAATTTCAAGGACCGGAGTTTGCGTTCCCAATTCGTAGAACCAACGACTATGTGCATGGAAAGTAGTTATTGGAGAAATCCCACACATCATCGGCAATCGACCCCGACAACATTTGCTGAACATCAGCATGACGTTTATAGACATCACAGTCTGGGTCAGCTCGCCTATAACTGCTCACAACCAAAATTCGACAGGTAAGAGTTGTAATTACCTTATCATAACCATGAATTCAACGGTTGTCAAATTGATTATCATCCGAATGAAAAGTTATTTCCAAAACAGGGTGTCCGGTATAATAAGTCATAACCCAGTAGCTATAGCAAGTCCTTTCCATGAAATAATTATGAAAAATATTCGAATTCAGTAGCAGAAAAGTTGAATATTTTTATAAATTTCAATATTTCAAGTATCTGTTTTCTTCCAATTATTCCAATAATGAGTCAACAAATGGAAGTATTATTTTTTGTTGTTTCTTCGAATAGGAACGGTTATTAAAAAAATCAATTCGGAAAATGGAGAAAGATTTTTTGAAACTGAACTTTCGTCACTGAACAAAAATAAATGAAGCAATTGTAGCAATTTTTCTAAAATTTTTTGGTTAATGATAGAATATATTCTGGTGAAGAGTAATTCTTACGTACGTTATTATATTTCAACTGCCTGCTAAACTAATATTATATATACAGAGAATAGTTTTATTCATTTTTCTAAACTTATGAGGAGAAAATATTTTTTCGTTCGTAACTGATATACTCATAAACTACTCAACTGATTTAAACATTTCTTCCATACATATAAAGCTAGATTATTAGCGAGTAATCTGTCCTATGTTAAAAACATTAGATTCCTAATAAAATGGCAATAAATGTAACACAAGGTATAAAAGTATCTGTTACGGTCATCATTGGGCGTGTGCTATANTTTGAAAAATCAAAGTTGCTACTGCTTTCTAATAGAAGCGGCAACACCGCATTGTCGAAAATATTTTAGTTGGCTAGAGAATGTCCGAATATGCCCTCCATTAAATTTTCAAAGTGATCCGTTGTCTGGTTCACCAGAAACGTCTAATGTGCCATGGCGAAAAAAAAATTGAAAAACGACGATATATGACAAGATCCGAGATTGAAACCATGATCTCCGGCACACTACCACAGAATTGTAATCACTACGCCAAGAAACTGCTCAGAAGTTGATTGTGACATAGAGCTATTTCAGTTTTTATTACCTTTCGTTCTGTTAATGAATGACGACCTTTAGAGAAATACCAATTTCTTGGCCACAATACAAATTTCTGGTGGGGCATACTCGTCGATGTTCTTTTTCTTGTTTTTCGATAAAATTTATACATTCGAAAATGAACTATCGATTGTATGATTGAGTTTGACGTTTGAGGTGATTGGTCTAGGTGATTGGTCTAGAGGGGTAGTGAGTTATGAAGGTTACATTTTGTTTTTTCATCTGGTTGCATGTTTGCAATGGAAGCTGTTGCAGTCAATTCAAAGCAACTTGGCTTTGCATGAGGTTCTTGAGGATCCCATAGGTGTCGTCTTTGAAATTTCTCCCAGTTGTTTGTGTTGAAAAGGATACAATTGAAACGTTGCCTTCATAACTCAGTCTAATATCACTTATGAGACCCATAAAAACAATTGAATAATTGAATAATCCTTTTTTTATTCAGGGACAGACACGGCTCAACAGAGCACCTATGGCATGGCAGGCATCCACGGGTCGGCTCAATCCTGTACGATACTCAACTAGATTTCATAGATTTCGTAACGCTTTTTCGTTCCTTTAGGTAAGACTGTTTTCAATTCCAATTTTCTAATTTATTGACTATTTTTTTTTTTTTTCAGTTTATTGATTCGAAAAGATTTGAGAGATCTATTCGAACAATTGGCAATATCTTATAGAAGTATGGCTGTGAATACAAGTAAGATTAACGGTGTGAAATCCAAAGTCGATCAACCAAAGAAACCACAAAGATTCGGTAAGTAACCACTTGAATTATATAAACGATTGTAGTTTCTTGAAAATAAATGAATGTTCATTAGTATTATTAAAATTCTGATGTTTTTCAAATGTTGAGAGAAACCTGAATTACAGTTATGTGCAAATACGTTGTCTTCAACAGACGCCAACTTGGTTGGTGAAACGAGCGTTAAGAAGAGTGTTGCAGTCCTAGTGTTGAAAAGTGCAAAATAGTCGCTCCTCTTTGAGCGACTATCAGAAGACTTGTATTACTTAAATTAAGGCTGCGGTCCTAATTTTCAACGTGTACCGAAGTACCGAAAAAAATGAGTTCTAGAATCAATCATCTGACATGTGACATCTAAATAATAACTGTTTCTGGCGATTTATTCACATTGCAATCAAGATAACACACTAAAGAACTCACATGTGTTAAGATATTTTTTGCATAAATCATCTGAATGGAATATAAATTCACGTATATTTCATACATTCTGGCCATGTTAAATCGATACCTACATTTGATGCTGACATTATGTGTACTCAAGACTTGTGAAAAGCCAACTTGTGTATAATCAAAGAGAACAAAATCGATGCTAGTAGGTCGTGGTCGAATGGAACCTGAAGTACCAGTTTCGTCTGGTTCTGTGGCGGATATCATCAATGTACGTTAACTGCGAAGTTTATATGGCGAAATCTAAGCAACACCTGATCGGAGAGCAACGTATTCACTACTTTTGCTGATTCGTTCCGATTGTTCTGCACAGTTAACAACCTACCAATAATGCGGACTCTCATCAAACTAGTAACAGTGCGTACCAATCGGAACTACCCAGCAGAAGTTGGGATCAAACAGAAGAGAGCATTTGCAATCACACCCCTTCATTCCCCCATAATCAGTTCCATCACCATCCCTATCATGACCCCCACTCCCCTCGGAAATTGTAAATACTACTGAAAAAGCAGCTCGCCAATCAATCGTTGCTGAGACTTCGAGATATGCTGTTTCCATACTGTTGATGTAAACAAAGCAGAACACACTCTGTTAGTATCCGATTTCCGGTGAATTAAATTCCTGGAACGCATTCCGCGTTTGGTGGTCTGGTTTTCGTGAGGCTGGTTTGGATGGTGTTTCCAGATTCGAAGCAGGTTCTGATGTTGTACTTGGACCCAGTTCTTCTTATCCTTTCCGACAATCCTCTAATGTCGGGAAGGACAAGAACTGATTGTGACGGTTTCTCTTCCTTGTGAGGCTCTTATTATCTTCTAGCCAAAATATGTTCCATCATCACTTAGGAGTAACCATTCCGTTGAAGATTTTTTTTGATGATGCATAGTTTCTTCTCGAGACCTTCCTTCGTATTACAGAGCCCGAAAGCACGATCCACTAGAGTCTTAATGATTTCTCTTTTGATAGATTGATGGTGGTTGGATTCGTGATTCAGATACTATACCGTGTGAGTGAGTTTTCGGTATGCAGACGTTTTCTATTTAGTGTCGGTCCTCTTTTTCAAAACTTCTAAAGGCCGAGACACACTTCTTCATATACCTCTCCGATCCGACTCCGGTTTGATTTTGCCCTAAAAGCGGGTCGGTGTAGGATCACCAGTGGGTAATCACACTTGTCATACATGCTTCCGGCTTCTTTCCGATTTACCGCTATGGCTTGATACAATTGCCACTATCGCCAGTGTCGACTCAAACAATATTTCGGAAGGTCCTCTAAGCAAAATGTTCAAGAATTTTAGCAACTACGATTTAGCCATTATGGCACTCTGTTTGAAAGAAGATGAAGAAAATCGGAGAGCTCTCATAGAAAACAGCAGTACAGCTCTTTAGTCTGGTCATACAAAACTGAATATTTTCTGACTTTCTCAATAAGCTCCTTTGGTTTTAATGACATTTTTTAAATTTGAAAACAAAAATCTCAAATATCATACAAACTCCAAGCGATAAGTATCCCGCAGCTGGAGAATAAATAGGCTGTACGATCGGATCATGATCGGATACAGGAACGGAGTCGGGTGGGAGCGGGGTTGGCCACGTATCGGAACAATGTGAACTACTCTATTCGGACTAAAGTACAATTTCCCTCTCAGACACTCGTCCGAATGTATGAAGGGAGTATGACAGGTGTGTCCCGGCCTTAAGAATTGGAATTGGTTGCGGACTCAATCAACTTATCTCAATCAGACTCGGAGCTTCTTGTGGGCTTTTTCAATGGCCAGAGTTTCAAACTACTTCATATATATTTCGAAAAGGATAAGAAGAATTAGTTCCAAGTACAACATCAGAACCTGCAACAGATTCGGAAACACCATCCGTAGCACTCTCACAGAAACCAGGCCACCAAACGCGGACTGCGTTTCCAAGAATTGCATTTATGTGAGTGCGGCAAATCCTATATTGTTGAAACTAAGAGGCCATTGAAAGTCTGCATTGCCGAGCACGAAAAAAACACACAGCGAGGAGAAACCAACCCATTGGAAATGACAGAGCATGTTTGGACTCGTCAACACAATATCAAGTGGTCCCAAGCTGATAGCATCCACAGCGAGGAACACTGATTCAAGAGGAAGTTCAAAAAAGCTGCATATGTGTTGTCCAATGATGCATTCAGGGAATCTAGCGTAGAGATATGCAACATATGGAAACCTGTTATCAAGCGGAAAAACGGACGACTCCCGCTAAATCTGTGAAGCGGAGAGAAGATAGAGGGAGTAGGTGAACGCGATCGAATGACCTATAAATAGTCATCTCTCTCCAGGTCGTCGCTATTTCCAGGCTTAAGTATCACTTCAGCTTCTTCATAGACCATCAGTCTATCTCTAATGGCTGTTTCCAGACCAGATACTACTGATAACTTCTACAAACAGCTTCTGTTGAAAATGTAGATTTTCATTACTGACCTCGTTCCTCCAGTATCGAAGGTGAAAAGGCACGGCATATAACCTTCTTCCTCGCAGTCAACGCACATACCACTGATAATGTTTTCCACAGTAGCACCACGGCTTACCAACCCGAATTTTGTTTTCTTTCACGATGACCCGGCTGTGAGAGCCTACGTTCTTATATTGTCTAGGATATGGTCAAGTCGCCTGACTTTATCATTTTTCATCTTCGGAATGTACCGTGGCCGCATGGGCTTGTGCTTTTCTCTAATTTTTTCTTTACATCCACTCCAACAATCTTGTTTCTGGTATTGGTTTATACAGGTGATTGATTGGATACCTCAGAGCTGCCTCTGTTTCTTTGAAGTATTGTTAACAGAGGCCTCCGTTGTGTTGCCTTTTTTTTTCAGAAGCCCTCCACATAAACAGTGCTCAATGAAAAATCCCATTATTCTAAGCCGATCCCCGCCCTGTTGGGGCAGTCATTTGGTTTTCTCTTGTGTGTATTTGTAGACGTATTTGCCACTCAGTATAGAGTGAATCTACACCTGTCAACTAGTTCTCTTAGTTCTTCGAAGCCTTCCCAAACAATTCTCGATGTTACTCTTGATTTTATTATTACTCTGAGAGTTCAGCTACCTGTAAGTATATCGATCCGTTTATTCTGAGTGCTCAAATAATTGTTCTTTGCACATTTCAGAACTGCATACAATTCCACTTGCGCGACGGATATGCCTTGACCAAGCAGTATATTCCAGCTCCTCTAGTCCTAGGTTCGCCGAGCTATTTTTTGAATAACTACTCATGATCCACCCTTCAGGGGATGAAGTTAGTGACAGAAATATAATTCAATTGAATTATATTGAACTCCGGAACTGTTGATATTCAACTAAATGCAGTGTCATTTTTCTATCATCTACACGCTAGGCTAATTACGGTTACAAGATCGACATGGTGTGTAACATATATCCATTTACAACAGAAGGTACTCGTTTTGTATAATATACTAGGGGTGAAGCAAATCCCCAGGGTCCCATCCTCCTCACCTTTTCTTTTCTGAGAGCATTAAAGAAAAAAATAATTCGACTACTGAGAATATAAATAATTCCACACTCAGTAGACTACAGTATTTTATGAGAGGTTGATTAAATGAAAATTTGTCTGAGAAATGAGGACTAACGACTCTTCAAAAAAGGGACTATAGAATCTGTTGAATCCTGATATTAGTTGTTGATAGCCGAGGTATGTTATACTGTGATCTGCTCGTTTACAATTGGCAAAATTTCCGCAACTCGTTAAAACCCAAAAAAGTATCGACATTTTTAGACGTGTGTGTGTAGCCATAACGAGCCGTACTTGAAAGAAATTCGAAGTTTATCCATTTTTAAAACAAAGTAATGTAAATGACCAATAGGTAACCCTCACTGACCTCATCTCAGTGTCAACTTCCAACAAGTTGAAAGAATTTAAACTTTCATGGCCGGAGATAACTGTGTGAAAGCTATATTTCGGGTTTTTCAGCCGTAGCCTGCCTGTTTTTATGGTTCACGTTTCGTCTACAACTGCGGTAGTCATTATCAAAGGTGATGTGGTAATAGTCGCAGTTCCCGAGTTAGTGCTCGAGTTGTTGTTCCTTTTGTTTCGAAGGCTATAACTACGATGCTAGTATTTGACTCTGGTTTTATATTCTTACAGGTTTATTAACAAGGAATAGTAGACAAGAACTAGAAGGTGCGGTGATGAATTCTCAAAAGAAGATATTCGATGCCATTGCGGCTGCAAGTATTTTCACGAATTGCGCTGGAATTGACACCAACAACTCACAAGTCATCACAATGTCTACGTTCACAAAATTTCTGGAAACGAGGCAAATGGAGATTTGGACCGAAGATCAAGTGAAAGCTCTGATATATGTGAGTTACACAATTTTTTTTTGTCCAATTTTTTCATTGGTGTGGTAGAGTAATAATTTTTCAACTATGATCAATTGAAAATGTTTCCAATAGAGTACAATTAACTATCTGCAAATCAAACTAACTTGGCTCTCTAACTATCGCAAGTGGCCGTTGTTTGATATCTCTCGAATACTTTTACCATCAACGCTAGTGTTCTCCAGGGATCTATATTGTCTCCAACCCTCTTTTTATTGTCCAATATATTGCTTTGCTGACGACAGCACACTTGTTTCGTCATTCCATTTGGATTCCAGGACATCGGCTGCGGATGTATATCTTTATCAGCAGCAGGTGGTTGCATATCTCAATTAGGATCTAGAAGTGATTTCGAGTTGGGGTGAAACAAACCAGGTTCAATTCAATGCCACAAAAACCCAGGCATTGGTTTTCTCCAAAAAGATAAATGTCTTCGAACGGGATATAATAGTATCAGTACAGACAATTCTGCTTTTTCCTTCAATAAGTTTGTTGGGAGGTAAAATGGACACCAATATGTCTTAGCACAATCACGTCGCTGGAATTGCAAAGACTGTTTCTCAGAAGCTTGGAACACTGTTCCAAACCAGAAAATTGTACACACTTCTGTAACTTTTGATGCTTTATAAAGCTCAGATCAGACCTTCTTTGGAGTGTTGTCCTCATGTATGGAGCTCTGTCCCTAAGCATACCTTGAAGCTGCTGGATTCCATCAGTCATCCGCCTGATTGTAGACGCGAACATCACTTACAGCCTCAATAGCCTGGAACATAGAAGAAAGGTTTGGGATTTGCCTCTCTTCTATAGATACTTCTACGGAAAGTGTTCAAGTAACTTGGCACATTTGATTCTACCTAGAGCGGTAAATATCAGAAATACGAGACTAATTCTTTAAAGTGAATCAAAATTCAAATAGTTTTCAGTTGGTTCTAAGTGTGGAATTTAATTGATGAATTTAATCTAGTCATTCTTAAAATTTTTCAATGGTTTACAATACGATTTCATATTCTACAAAATATACCGATAACCGGTATGTTTATTCGAATTAAAATTTTCATCAATATAAAATCCTTGAAATTTGGGGTGAAAGTTGATATAGGATACGTCGACATTNGTACTACGTAGTGAGTGATAGTGTTTTTCGGGCATATCATGTATTTATATTGAAAATTAATGGTAAAATTATGATACCCAAGCAGTTTTAGAAAAAAATAATGATAATTATTTGTCAATATCTTTTAATTTATTGCGATGAATAGCCTCGCATTTTATGGGGAAGCTAAGCCTCCCTTGCCTCCTCTGACGTACCGCCGCTGAAAACAAAATTGAATTAAAAATATTTTTTGTTTACATACTATTACTAATACATACTATTCAATTTTCATTTATTTTTTAGAGGCATGAACCAGATCCTAGCCTTCGTGTCCAGAATTGTCTGTCATTCGAAGGATTCGCTAGATACCTCATGGACAAAGACAATTTTGCATTCGTCTCCGAAAGGGAGGTTCCTAAGGAAAGTGATATGGCTCGTCCTATGTCAACATACTACATATCTTCATCCCACAATACGTACCTAACTGGTCATCAACTCAAAGGTGAATCGTCTGTGGAACTATATAGTCAGGTAAAGTCATGTTCAAACTATATTCAGTTTTTTCGAATAAAAATTATTGAGGTCTTTCTGAATGTTTTTCCAACTCAACTCGTAACGAACACATTATTTTTCTTCAAGGTTTTACTGACTGGATGCAGATGCGTAGAGCTAGATTGTTGGGATGGGGATGATGGATATCCCATGATCTACCATGGACATACTTTCACCACAAAAATTCCATTCAGTGCTGTTGTCGAGACCATCGAAAGGAATGCATTCGCCACATCACCGTACCCAGTGATTTTATCGATTGAAAATCACTGCTCCTTGCAGCAGCAAACAAGAATGGCCCATATTTTTCAGGTGAATAATTTTCCTTATCTTCTGCATGAGAAAATCATCATTGGGTACTTTTGACATTATATACTTGGACTGTTAAAAAAATAAGAGGAATTTTTAAATTTCGCATGCTACGTTCATTCGATTAGCCATTTTTTTTTATTTTTTCATGTTGGTATAGTCTTCTTGAACATACGTTCAAGGTTTCAGCAGTTTATCATATTTATTTTGTTGGTACAAGGCATGAAATTAATAGTTTTGCTTGTTCGGCAATTTTCTGCTATCGAAAATAATGGATCAAAGAATTTGCATAAAATTTTGTTTGAAAATGGAATTAAGTGCCATAAAACACTCGAAATGTTGACAGTGGCATAAGGTGATTGTACCCTGAGTCTAAAAAATGTTTACAAGTGGTACAAGCTTTTCACAGAAGGTCGAGAAGATGTGAATGCCGACAATCGCTCTGGACGCCGCACACATCAACAGCCGATGAAAATGTTGAGAAAGTGAAGGGCATTAGTATGGAGAATCATCGAATCATTATTAGAGAACATGCCGAGGATGTCGGTATATCGGTTAACTCATGCCATGTAATTTTTTCAGAAATTACACATATACAACATAAATCGTTGCAAAATTGTTGAATTTTGACCAAAAAAACTGTTGCTTGAGCATCGTTCAGACATTGTCGAATGAGGTCAATGGCGATCCAGATTTACTTAAAAGGATCATAACTGGTGACGAATCGTGGGTATATGGTTATGACATCGAAACCAAAGTCCAATCGTCCNAAAGTACGTGATGCTTTGACAATTCAGACAGCACTAAATGTAATCTAGACGACGCATCTGTTGAAATTGACGAGCAGGATTTCAAGCTGGAATAACTTCGACTGCGGACTTTCGTGACTGCTACAGGCAACGAAAATAATTAATGCAGACTCACTTGAATTATTAAAGTTTATTGTGAAATATAAGCTGAAAGACACTCTGCCCAATATTTTAATCATTCTGCGAATTTTTTATACAGTTGCCACCATAAGCAATGCCAGCTGTGAGAGAAGTTTTTCGGAATTGACATTAATTAAAAATTTTTTAAGGTCGACAATGAGTATTCAAAACTGACAAATTTGGCTATCTTGTCTATCAAACAAGAGGTATGTGATGCTATAGACATTGATGGTGCAATAAAATACTTTGCTCTTTGAAAAAGTAGACGTATACATTTTTAACTAAAGCCGGTGGTTTTGTTTTTAATTCTAACAAGTACCTACTTATATTATTTTTCAAAAAGATATAAATATTACTTAATAGTATCATCCTAGTTCTAATCAAAAACTTATTTTCGTTTTATATTCAATTCGCTAATTATGTAATCATGTCGATTGAATAATGCCTATGTACCTGTTATATCAATGGTTGAAGTGAAAATTTTTGTATTAATAAACGTGATTGTGAAAGAAATAAACTTTTTGTTTAAAATCTATAATGTATAATATACATTAAATTGAAATACCTAATTAAGAGGGCGGCAAAATTGTCTTCCGCCCCGGGCAGCCGATACCCACGCTACGCCACTGGGAATGAGAGTATGAGTATATGCGTATGAGTGTATGCCAGTTTGAATATTACATTCGAAATATATTGAATGTTGATGTCGTGAGGGGGTAGTAACCTCTGTTACCGCCCTTGCCAAGGCCGGCTGATCGTCCAAAAGTCGACTTCAATGTCAAGTTTCCTACAATTCCATGTATGAAGTCAAAATTTTCTAGTTATGGAATGAAGACAAATGGCATAACTATTCTGCGAATTTTTTATTTCTTGTATATTCGATTTATATTTTCGCTATTAGAATTCACTGTACGTTCTCTGCATCTAAAATATTTCCAATTGAATATTTCCGCCTGCTGACGTAAATATCGTAAACACCTACACTATTGCGATATTAACTTCATTTCATCGCATATCAATAGTGGGTGTAAATGGTAGTTCCACTGTGTTGAATTCCGTTTAGATTATTACGAGTATTTGACACAAATGGATGCAGAGGATGGAAAGTCTGTTTTGGTACATCCTACTCATCGAAATGAAAAGAGGATGTTTCATGAATGGGGCTGTTTGGCTTCAAAATGAATTGAATTTTACCAATTCGAAATCGTGGGATCTTGTGTGGGACTAAATTAATAACTGGATATTATTTAACTTATAGATATGTTGAAATGCATCACCATGATTCAATCAAACCTATTTGATATACTTCATTGATATTTTCACAACAAAAGAGTTTACAAAACCGCAACACATCTTTCACAATACTACTATATATTTTTGGGAAAGTTTTTGGCTTTCTACTACTCCATCTTGATACTTCTTTGCATGATCTACACATCCATGTATAGAGTTACTTATTTTCAAATTGATTACTTCCTTCCTTTTTTTGGAAGATTCCCACATCCTTTTTTTTGTATCGAGATGGAGTGGTAGAAAGCCAAAAACTTTCTTTCCCAAAAATTAATCACTCCTAAAAATATAACCCCTTCAATTCATACTATTATATACTATATACCAACTAAGACATACAATACTATATACAATACTAAGACAGATGGCACTAGTCTCATTGCATTTATTGCGTTTTCAGTTAATACTAACCTTCAAAAGCTGTTGAAATTTCATGAGAGTCTACTCATGAGTTTGTGAGTTATTGTGCTAAGAGCTACACTACTTTTGCTTTAAAAAAAAAATAGACCAAGCGAAGCAATGGCTTGAAGAGTGTTAAAATGAGGCAGTAATACCGGTTAACACCACAAAATCGTTTTGAATGATCGAAAAGTGAAGTTGTGTGAGTTAGCTAACATTGTAATGGTATTAAAAGAACGTGTTGGATTTATATTGCACTAGTTGTTGCCCACGGCTTCGCCCGTGTACAATTTGGTAATTGTAGTACTAATTAGTACTATGTTGCTGTATCGTTGCTGTTCAAATGTTTTGACAGAATCAGAATCAACAAACTTAGGCGAGCGCAGCGCTATAAAACAGTGCTTTCAAAAAATTGTTCTACTGCGCCATCTAGTTACAGAAAAATTGATAGCCTAAAAACCTCTATGAAAAATTACTTATACAAGTTTCATCACGATCGGTTGAGCGATGTAGAAGTTTATCACTTACCAACCAACCAACCAACCAAGAAACATCCATTTTTATTAACTAAGACATACAATACTATATACAATACTATACAATACTAAGGCATAGGTGGCACTAGTCTCATTGCATTTATTGCGTTTTCAGTTAATACTAACCTTCAAAAGCTGTTGAAATTTCATGATAGTCTACTCATGAGTTTGTGAGTTATTGTGCTGAGAGCTACACTACTTTTGCTTTTTTCAAAAAAAAAATAGACCAAGTGAAGCCATGGCTTGAAGAGTGTCAAAATGAGGCAGTAATACCGGTAACACCACAAAATCGTTTTGAATGATCGAAAAGTGAAGTTGTGTGAGTTAGCTAACATTGTAATGGTATTAAAAGAACGTGTTGGCTTTATATTGCACTAATTGTTGCCCACGGCTTCGCCCGTGTACAATTTGTTAATTGTAGTACTAATTAGTAGGTACTATGTTGCTGTATCGCTGCTGTTCAAATGTTTTGACAGAATCAGAATCAACAAACTTAGGCGTGCGCAGCGCTATAGAACAGTGCTTTCAAAAAATTGTTCTACTGCGCCATCTAGTGGCGAGTTACAGAAAAATTGATAGCCTAAAAACCTCTATGAAAAATTACATCGGTTGAGCGATGTAGAAGTTTATCACTTACCAACCAACCAACCAACCAACCAAGAAACATCCATTTTTATATATTAGATGAGCATTTGACTATGAGAAAGCTCTGTTCAAAGTGGGTGCCGCGTGAGCTCACTGTTGACCAAAAACAAGAACGTCTTGATGATTCTGAGTAGTGTTTGGCCATGTTTGAACATAACACACGGGAATTTTTGCATTGGTACCTATGTGACAATGGAACCAACACCTCACTCCGGAATCAAAACGGTCGTCATCTGAGTGGAGAGCGTAACTGGTGAACCTTGTCCAAAGCTCCTGAAAGCACAACAATAGGCTGGAAAGGTTATGGTCTCGGTATTTTGGGATGTCCGAGTTGTAATATTCATTGACTACCTTGAGACGGGAAATACCATCAACAGTGAATATTATATATAGCGTTATTGGAGTGTTTAATGGCCGAAATTGCGGAAAAACGACCTCATTTGAAGAAAAAGAAAGTGCTGCTTCATCAAGGCAATGCACAGTGTCACAAATCAATGAAAACGATGGCAAAATTGCATGAAATGAGGCATGTGCCCAATTTGGCTCCCAGCGACTATTGGCAAACCTCAAGAAAATGCTCACCGGGGAAAAATTTCTCTCGAATGAAGAGGTTATTGCTGAAAATGAGGGCCTATTTTGGGACAAAAAATAAATCGTTCTAAAAAAGTGGCATAGAAATGTTAAAGCGGCGCTGGAATGATTGTATGGCTCTTCTACGAGATTACGTTGATGAATAAAGCCAATTTTGAACAAAAAAGCATTTTCTTTCTTGGACCCGGGACTCTTCAGTCCAGGGTTACAATAGCGCCCTCAGGCGTGTGTAATATCGTATTATGAGTAATAAAGACACCTGAAGAAACCTTACAATGATGCGGTTTCGTAAACTATATAGTAAAAATCCCAATAAAGTATACCAAATACGTTTGTCATGAATTTTCATCAATTATCTGTCAGTTCCTTCACATGAAATTTGTTTATTTATCGTGACAATCATCCATCATGATGGTCAAACGACTCTATCCGTTATCAAAATATACTTCACACTGATGCGGTTTCAATCAGTTCAGAATTCATTCGGGATTTTGAAGAACTTCAGCAATTAAAAGTGTATCAAAACTATAGTTCTTTCCAGTTTTGTAATGAAATCTTAAATACACAAAACTTATTGATACAATAGTTTTATCAAGCAGGGAATTATCATTCCTGCTATTGTATAACGAAACATGTGTCGCGGTTTTGTTAACCTTTATAGTGAAAATCTCATAGTAAACTGTTTTAGTTACTTTTGATATGGATTTTCAACAAGTATCTGCTAGTTCCATTCAGTGTTTCACAAATATACCGTACATATCTGAATGTTAAGAAAATATTCCGAGTGTTCATCGAATAATATATTCACCTGTCTTTGCCATTTCCTCTAAAAGTGATCCAAATAACGTTCATTGAATGCATGCATTTTAGAAACAAAAAGAAGTTCTCTACGATGTAGGTCTAGTTAGTGTGAGGATTACTCTTTACTCTTAGGCGTAATGCCAAGCACGAAATCGAATCTCAACTCCTACTCAAAATGTCCTTGATTTACTTCTAAATGTACATGAAGAATTTATATCGCACTGCTTGTCACGTCAGGTGATATATCAAAGCAAACATTTATTATTATTTGTCCTGATTATTCTCAATTTTGGGGTTTGGTGGGGTGAACTAGTCTGTTTATGAGGCTGTAAAGACAGAAGGCAGGTGAGGCAAGATCAGGGGACTTGGCTGTCCACACAATAGTTTATCTCCAACCTATTCACTAATTATCAAACATAAGTTTAATGATCTAGAAAATTCAATAATTAAATTGTTGAAAAATTGTTTTCGTAAGCGCCAAGGTCGATGTCGTAATCGTGGAGATAATCAAGACCATGTTGGGAGGTAAAATTTTCCACTCTTTTCAAATCCGTGATACAAAATATAGGTTTTCGTTTGAAAACATGACCTTGACCTCAATATGGCCATAAATTTAATGGTCAAAAGTCAAATTTAGCCAGGAAAAATCCTTATTTTTTGTCTAAAATATGCATTACTTGAAAGTTATTCCACAGTTTTCATATTTTTGGGATACCCTCTATAATAATATTTTTGTGAATGGATTAATAGAATATTTCATATTTCAGATCTATTTTTAATTCAAAGCGAATTGTAATAGTTGGACTAGGAAATGAAACTATTGTGTTATCCACTCTACTCAATGCAAATTAAGCTAATTACGATAAATGCAGTGAACCTCCAGGTCGCTCACGGTCAAAAGCGCTGAAAATATTAAATGAAGAAGCCCCAAGGCTATACGTTAATTTACATTTTCATGATTTTTGATATCACTGATAGTGAAGCAACTGGCCTATTTGCCTTTTTTGGTATTGACTGTTTTTGTTAATGTTTTGCATTGTCACTTCATTTTCAATGTTTGTCATCTGAGATACAAAACAAAGTCGCAAAATCGTTTTATGACTCAAGATCAGCTGGACCAACTTTCATGTCAGGAATAGCAGAATAACTATTGAAACATTTAATAAAATGATAAAAAAAGCATGTTAGTTACACCATTCATACGGCTGATCCGAATTTTTATGTTCTCACCCGAAATAGTGATTTTTTGATGATTTTTAAAAATAAGCTACGCTTTTGGTTATTACAGATGTCATGGTGTACATAAAGACAATTGAGGGTATAATATTTTGAGTTGTGTGCACAGGAATAACTGTTATATCGTAATAGAAGCCATCACAGTGTTATATACAATGCCACAATCGAATCTTTCACAACGGAATATTGCGAATGAATCCACTGCAGATAAAAAAGAAATCGTACGAAGAGCGCCATGTTCGGTGATGCCAAGTCTACTGTTTTTTTATTAGATCTCCTGATTTGGCTCCAAGGTATTGTTCTACTTTTTGAAAAGTAATGATTCAGTTCACTTTCTATAATAATCATTAAATTATTGTAAATAGTTAAATTTACCGTGTTATGTACAATGTTTTTATAAAATAATATTTCCATCTGTTTTTTGTGTAAATTTGATGTTTTTCTGACACACAAGGAAAATGACCTGGTCACACTGGCCGTGTCAGTATGACCAACTTCGTGCTGAACAAACACAATATAAAATAGTTCATAGAACTCACTTAATAACTCAACACAACATTTATTAATTCCAAAGCGGTACGAAGTTCGCCGTATCAGCTAGTAAAATACATTTTCGTTCTTAAAACATTGAAGTGTTGAATTATGACCTTCAACTTTCAATACTTTCAGAAGTAACTTCAAAGTAAAAAGTGTAGTCAGATCAGACAAATTCGCCAATAATTCTCCTAACTGATTTTTTCCAGAGAATATTCGGAGAAAAACTCGTCACAAATTTCCTTTTCGAATCAGATTATAGTGATGAACCATCGTTGCCTTCACCGGAGCAATTGAAACATAGGATACTAATAAAAAATAAGAAGTTAGTTATGGAAGTGCCTGCGCCATTGAGTTTCGCTACAATGTCGACCCCCATGAGACCTGGCAGTGGAGGATTAAGACACTCCGTGCCCGGCAGAACCAGTTCTATCATCAGCAATACCAGTAGTAGCTCGTTCAATGACGATTTCAGCGATGATGACTACGACGATGATGACGATGAAGATAACATAGACGGTAAGATAACAGTGTATATTAAACATGAGTACATAAATATCATACTTGAACATTGAAATTTTCTGATTCACAAGCAAAAATGTTAATAATAATAATGATAATAATAAGAACAATAACCAGAGTTTTCAACTCATGGCTGGACGGAAAGCAACTGATTCCGGATTGGTTTGTCGAGGGGCGGACCGTTCTTATCCCCAAAAGCGGAGGTTTCTCGATCCCTAAGAATTACAAACCGATAACATGCCTAAATTCGTCTTATTAGTTATTTACGAGCATCTTATACACACGAATACTCATCTCAGTTAACGGGGATATATAAGCAGAGAGGATCGAAGAGCGGAGTCACTAGTTGTAAAAGGAACCTATTGGTCGATAGATGTGTAACGCAGGATTCGATACAGTATAAGCGTAACCTCTCATCTAGGGCCTAGATCGATTGCCGCAAGGACTTGTTTGAGCTCAATTTGCATTTGCACAGATGTCTTGCGGTACCCGACAAAATAATGAGATGCCTTGAACAACTGAAACCACTCTGGCGAACTCGCTCTGCTATAACATCTGGTCAGGGGGGGTTATTTTCGAAAGGGGTGTATTTCCTGCATCTAAGTATTGGCATTATCAGTTGCGCACAGAAATACTCGATGGTATAACTGTGGCTTCCGTGGAAACCCGATAGTTTGTCACTAATTTGTTTTATATGAATATTTTACTTTATGTATTTTGAACTTTATGCCTCTGGAGGAAAAAATCTTCATCATTCTTCGAGGGTGATGGAAGAGTACATGCGTGCTATCGGTATGAAATTCGGAATAGACAAATATGCAACGGTCCATCTCAAAAGAGGAAGATGCGAGGATAACGTGTTGGATGATCAGTTCGTGGATAGATGCATCTTGTGCCATCTGGATGCTGGAGAAACATATATTTTTATCGGAGTAGAACAACGCCACTCACAAGAGATAACAGCATTGAAGAACTTTTTCCGCGACCAGTATCAGAACAAACTTCGACGGATCTGGTCATCGGAACTGTCGAAGAATAATAAACTAGCTGCTTCGAATGTGCTTGACATTATAATCTTACTCTACTTGGAGTCGTGAAATTGACTCTAGAGGAACACTATCAACTAGACGTTGAGACCCGAAAAATGATGCATCTCCATAGGAGGTTGCATCCCAAATAGTCCGTTCTACGGTGGTAGTTCTCCCAACAATAGCAAAGCCGAGGACTCTTGAGTTTGAAGTATCTACATGACAGAATGATACTGAATGGAACTTGTAAAGTCATCATGAATTGGGGATCCACTTCACTGCTTGGTCCGCGACTATGCAGGAATTGGAGCATTTCTGTTTAGGGCATCTGTCCAAGCAGTTGATGAACTCGGTTTAGTTTTCTACAGTGAACGAGGTGATTGCAACTCTGTCACTGAGTTAGAACCCGTCCGGCAGAAGGCCCATATAAATTACTCAGAGATCAGTTCACTCCTGCGGCAACAAAAGCTAAACCATTGAATTGGGTCTTCTTCAACAATAATGTAGATCTCGGCTCATCAAAGCACCTGACGTTCGCTTTTATCAGTGCTAATGGTCTGACGTCGGAAACTGACGAGTTAATGGTGGCTTACCAGGATAATATCTTTAACACCTTAGTATACCGCAGTCGCGTAATGGGTATGGAGGTTTCTGACACAAGGTGTAGGGCCTATCGTTGAGATGCCTGAGATCCTAATGCATTTGCTGTCAGCATATCCAGCAAATGCGGTTGCAGTCTATATCCTAAGAGTAATTTATTACCACTTATGACACTTTCACGGAATTAACTAAACTCTGGTGTTGGGGGATATTGAATCCATTTTGGGGAATGGGAAGTGCCGAATTCATTTGAAATATTGAGCTAATATGTCTGATATATTTTTTCACGACTATCAGAGCAAGGTGGAGTTTCCATCTCTCGGCGAGACAAGTATCGTCCAGAAAGAGGAGAAAAAACCGATAAAATACCGGGATTTTCTCTTCGAACTCCATTGACTATATCCAGAATATTCTCATGAGATGATTGTTTCGACTATTGGATTTCTTGGTGGAATGATACCTTCTCGCATCTCAAGATCATACCGGATTGCCTCAAGGCATACATTTTAGCCGAACAAATGCAGAAGGCTGTCATTCTTGGCTCACTATGTCTGCTTAAGGTATATAATTTTTGGACCCAATGATTACTTATCCACGGTGTGGGGAGTGGTCATTGGTTGATGATGCTGGCACGCCCCCTTAAAGGTATTGAGGCTTCGGGAATAGGACCCAACCAGTGCAACCTTTGGGAAAAAATAATGATAATAATGGGCATTTGTCCGGCAGAAATATTGGCCGGGCAAATGCAGAAGTTGCTGTTCTTGGTTCTCACGTCTAATCTCAACGATTTTGAAAATGGAATAATCCATTAACCAATTCTTGTCCCCCTACGAATAGCAACCCTCAAAAGTCGACACTTGTTAGAGAATTAAAAAAGTTTTACATTTCATCCTACAACTTCAGAGAGTGAGAAATGTTTATTGGGTAGTACGTCTGGCCCGCCTTCTTTACATGAGTTTGATTGCTTCCAAACGATACTAACTTTTCAGAGAAAGAAGGATGCAGCAGGGGAGGTTACTTATATCACGGGGACTTGTCTGCCAAATTAGCAGACGAAATATCGGATCTAACCAGACTAAGGCTGTTGAACTCAAAAAAAGCTAGTAATTTATCAGACTGATAATTCTCTATATTCTATTGAATTAACTGAATGAATTGAACTCATAATGACTATATTAGCTGGATTTCGAAACATGATTTTGGTTACAAATGTATAGTTGAAAAAACATTTCCACTGTATCAAATCTCATAAATATATCTCTTGTCGAATAAGAAACGACATCATACCTTCCGTGAATACTTGATTTAGTCCGATCTGATTATTAAAACAATATGATGCTCGAATTGCATTTAGCCGACTCTGAAATGTATTTCTGAAGAGAACAATCTTCAAGACACTACAGAAACAAACAAGTCGACCCAGATAATAACTACACTAAATTAAATTGCTCCCTGAAAGGCTTCAAAAGTTTTCCAACTGAATTAGGGGGGATAATTCGATTTGAGTAAAACTTTTTGTGATGGGATTCTGAGAATTGTCAGTGACACAATGCATTCCAATTTAGCTTTCACCGTCTCAGTCCTAAAACTGTGAATAGAATATGATTCCAATCATTTGGAAACAAATTTATTTTGAGTTTCTTATTCACACCCACAATGAAAATTATATTTCCAAGTATAGTATTTGGGATGACTTGTTTCTTTTTACAGAGAAGCCCATTCATGGAATAAACATAACAGATTCGCCCAGAACATATGGAGTAGCCCATGCGGTTTCCAAAACCAGCTCCCAGAAAAGAACTGCTCCCGATGATAAATTGAAGAAGAAGAGTAGTCAGATATCGAAAGAACTATCCGACATGGTCATATATGTTCAGGTTAGTAATTCCAACTTTAGTCACAGGAAATAATCGATAATACTTGAATAGATTAGATCTGTTATCACAACAGTATGTTCAAAGCAACCCAGCTATCAATTTCCTATGTTACTTACTCAAATGCTAAAATGTTCTTTTGATGTCTGGTATCGACTTCCAGTGGTGATCGTTGTTCACCTGTCTCCAGACGTTGAAATTTATCGCTTAGGTGATTCATTACCTTTGATCACTATGTTAATTAGTTTCAATTAGTATTTGACACAACGAGTAATAGTTTATGAAGTGTTTAATTTTGTCTTCGATATATTTTCATTGTCCAATACATTCTCTGAGCTGCATTTGCACGAAGAAGCATCCAATTTGACCTAGAACAAAATAATCTAAACAGCTTATGGAATTATTGAGTCTTCTGTCGATCTTAAAGATGGCGTCTTTGTAAGGGCAGCCTGTTACTCAGGCTTATTATTTTAGGACAGTCGAGTCCAGTGATGCAAATTCAAGGGGGGCCCAAGTTTAAGGGTCACGAACAATGCTATCTAACAAGCCATAACTCATACAGAGATGAGCGACATATGACAAAAAGTCGCCTGTTGAACTTTGCGATATTAAAAAATATGTGGATTTTATGCCTCTGCTCTCTCCATGATTTTTTATATCACTTGCAATGCAACTGCAGCGTGGGCCATTAGAATATCTCTACTGAATGAGGTGTCACTCTGTGCCCAATAACTGTCACTAACGGAACCTTTAAAATACTGGGTGTCCTTTCGTCTTATAAAGCCGTATCACGGTAATGCGGGGCTTTGACGTGGTTGACCTCCTTGTGGGATGCTTCATGGAGCTGGGTCTGTGAGCCTAGGGGCAGTCCCTAGGCCTACAGACCCCAAACGTCCTCCATGTAACATCGAGTCAAGAGCTTCTCAGTTTTCCAACTCTTGCTGCTGTTAACAAACCTAGGAGACTAGGTGGTGAAGCGGAAGCGATTTATTGCCTCTTCAAAAGCAAGATATTTTATGAATCTTCCATGGACCAAATTCTTGAGCAACAAACAGAAGAAGAGGAAAAACACTTCCTGAACAGGTCAGCACGAGCTTACGCACAAACGATGATTCAAAAAGGACAGAGACAAAAAAGCCTGTACAAGAAAAAGATTACACAAGAACACGTCAACATTGTTTGGTTGTTTCTCAACAATGAAGTTCTGGTCGGACAACTTCAATGCAGACAATATGAAATTTAGGATTGGTTGAGTATAGATTTAAATAACCAGCAAAATCTCCATCTTACTCAAGCATTTTTCTAGGCTATATAATCTGGGTAAAATCGCTGCTTTGCGACCTTTGTCGTAACAGATATTTGAAGCGCTAGTTGATGTTAATAAATAGTACCATATAGTGTGTATTCGATGAGTGATTTTATTTTATCTCAAACCACATGATATCAAAATGCCTAGATATTAATTCGGTGTTTTCTTTGCTGGCAAGGGAGGTCGCTTCCGATGAAGACAGAAAATCCAAAGTTAACACTGACAGTAAGTTTCAGAATTTGGGGACTCATTGTTTGCTGATGTTAGTGCACCGAATTAATACTTGAAAGTATCTACTGAGTATACTATTCGCAGTGACCGTGCTTTTTTGTTGAGAACTGAAGTCGAAAGGACCTTGGTGACTGTCAGAAATACGGGATGGAACCCTTGAGCCTGGATATCGGCCCAAATATCGAATTGATGGTCTATTTTACCACCGGAGAATTTTGATCTCAAAATTGATTATTAATTTTACCAATAACAATAAAACAGTTTTGAAAATAATACTTTTGCTCTGTATTTATTCCTGTATTTTCATACGATGAAGTATTTATTCAGTGATCCATATCTTCACAGGCCATAAAATTCCGCGGATTGAATACAATATCTCCAAGTAGTTCGGTGAAACAACGTCAAAAAGCGATCACTTGTTCAGTGAGTTCCAGCGCAACTTCGGGAATCAGTTCAGCATCCAACATTAGCTCTGGAACGACAAGCGAGTCCGACACCACAATTTTCGAATCGGAAATCCAAAAACCTCGACCGAACGTAAACCTTCCTTGCTACCAGTGTTCTTCCATCAACGAAAATACTGCAAAAAAGCTATGCAGGTAAGTTTACTGTATTCAAAACATTCAAATCTTAAATGTTGAATGATATCCAGCATTTCTCTAAGAAACCTTCTGAGAAATCTAAGACCGAAGAATTTTTGACAAACTTATTGCTCCTGAGTTGTTTTCACTTTCCCAAGATTTTCACATTCACCACTTTCAACTGACATTAGACTGATATAAAAATCATACATTTTCCAAAGGTACCAGAGGACCCCCTAAAAATTCAGCATGGGTATGCATGCTGGGTATGCATGGGGGTCTAAATGGTTCGTGCTTTTTCTTATCCACCTTTTGCCGCAATATGGAGCAGTGTGGACTCTTTCATTTTTAGAAGATTAGATTCAATATAACCATTGACGAAATTTCAATCTTGAAGAAAATCACAATTTATTTCCTCTCATATTTTTTTCGCCCATTTTTCGTTTTCTTTCCAGAGTTTCTAAAAGTTCGAACTGAATCAGTTCAATTAGAAAAGTACAGATAAAAAGTAATTGAATTTTCTTATGTTGACTAGAACTGGCCAAATACTTGATGAAAACCCTTGCTACAAACTGATACAATTAATTGTATCATTAATTATTTACAATGTGGGGATTTTACAAAAACCGCGTCACATGTTAGCTCCCTTTTGCAAGAATGACCATCTCGCTATTAGATAGCGAAACACGTGTCACTGTTTTGTAAAACCTTTATTCGATATTGTTTTAGAAAACAACCTCTAGCATTGATAGCACACACCCAAACTCAACTTATGCGAACGTATCCAGCTGGTATGCGGATAGATTCATCGAACTTCAATCCGGTTATATTTTGGTCTTTTGGAATACAGATGTCTGCTTTGAATTACCAAACTGAGGACACAGCCATGCAGCTCAACAACGCCCTTTTCGAAACGAATGGAAAATGTGGTTATGTTAGCAAACCTAACGTCATGTGGGACCGATCGCATGTAATGTACAGAAGATTCAACCCATGGGATAAGGTAGGTTTGAAAAATAGCATAGCTCGCAATATCTAATTCTGTTTATTCAAGCTTCAAAGCAAAATGAATATTTTTTCGATGTGAAAATGCATTAAAGCAAAAGAAAATTTAATATGATGTCTTACTATGTTTGTTTCAAAAGTTTTGTCCGTTTGAATGTTCTGAATTCAAATCTTGCTGTTAGCAGGATTTGAATCCAGAAGAAATATTAACTCCAGTTCAGTTTTATCCTGAGATAATTCTGACTGCTACTCTGAACTAACATCTGTTCTCTGTTCATTATCATAGAAGTTTTATCAACGAAAGTTGAAATCTTTCTCATAACTTTGGCGTGATTCAAATGGAAATAATAAATTTGAAATGATATTTTTAACACAATACATTTTATCGTACTATATAACTAATACTGAGTGGTTATGATCCAAGAGCATATTTCATGACGGCCTACCATTTATATTGAAAAGTAATTTTCGCTTCGTATGATGGATATTGGATATTAACTGCGTTTTTGCTATACGACTCTGATTTTTTGCTTCGTGATTCATTTTTCAGTTGCTCGATAGACAAATTGGAGAAGTAGGATAGATCGAAATGCTTGTGAAAACTTATTAGTATTGTCTTGACTTTCCTCGCTCTAAGTGATTCTCGTTATTCTACTGATGCCGATTGGACATCAAAAAAAATAGTTTTAATATCGTCAAACGAGTAATTTTTTGTATGTTATTACTGTGACGAAATATAAACCAATCAAGAATGTTCCCAATTTTATACTTGGAACTTATTTTCAATCCATCATAGAAAACCAATTATGTCAATACTACGACTGAACCTAAACCTGTTAGTAGTCAATTCAATAAACACTTTATTGTGAGATTTTTACCACATAGATTCACAAAAATGCAACACGTGTTTCGCTAGACAACAAGCGGGCTAATTGACAGACGAAAGAATTTGTCAAAAAACTTATTTTCGATTTTGATCAACTTCTCAAAAGTTCCTAAGGGTCTTTCTCATCAAATGAACAAGTTTGGGGTCCGATTTGAGGACCGTAGCATACTATTATCTAAAGGTCGTAGTTGATTATGATTGTTGCTGTATGAGAGGCTTATTTAATTATTTTTTCATTCCAGGAATTTGATGGCATACACTCGTCACAAATAGTTATCAACATTGTATCTGGCCAATATGTTAGTCAAGGAAATGTCAATCTCAGCACCTACGTGGAAGTAGAAATAATTGGTATACAAGTTGATTGTAACAAACAAAAGACAAAAATCATACAAAAAAATGCTCTCAATCCCATATGGAATGATACTTTCCACTTCAGAGTGATGTTCCAGGATCTGGCCTTCTTAAGATTCACCGTGATGGATGCTACCAGTAACCACCTCTTGGCTCAAAGAATGTTGCCGCTGAAGTGTCTCAAGCCAGGTTACAGACATTTGAGGTTGAGGTCACCCCAAAATAAGAGCCTCAACATGTCAACTCTATTTATTTATTCAAGAGTTGAGGAGGAAAGTTTGGAGAATACTGAGAGTAGAGATGGCATTTCAGAAAGACCACCTCAACCGGAAACCAATCTTTGCGAATCTGCTAAACCAGATAGCACATTTTTGGGTACAGTAAAACAAGTTCTTTGTAATGAAATATAATTCATGATTTTTTTTTCTAACAGGTATTTCTGGGACACCCCTGTATGTTAAAAGACGGATGTTTTTCCTCATGGTTTACGGAGTAGTATCGGAGGAACCGTATACGATTTTGAAAATCACCCAAGAAAGTACAACGCAAGACGTGTTGCTTCTTTGTCTGCAAAAAGCTGCCATCACCCCCAACAAAGTTAACGACTACATTCTGGTAGAAGAAGTCGCGAGAGGTTGGGAAAAAAAGGACCATAACTTACCGGCCACACAACGCATCCTTGACCTACATGAGAGACCTCTACAAGTACGTTCATAGATGTTTTCAAAATATCCAATCCTCAGAGTAATAATAAGACATAGAGTTGCCATGCCTATTACCAATACAATAGGTACATGTATTTTGAAGCGGGTATCGTACTATGCTTTTCTGTACAATGTATGGCAAGGGGGGGGTGGCGGGTAATGAGGGGACATGGAGAGTATGTTTACATTTGAAGTAAGTTGGACCATAAAACAGTGGGGGTTGGTTTAGTAGATAATCGGAGGGACATTATATATTTATAAAATAAATCATTTATTAATGATTATGGAAATGAGGCCAGTTTTTCTACCACCTACTAGATTTTTATTCATGTATAGCTTTATAATAAAGCGCGTAGGTACTGGGTTTAACTTAAATTATTTCAAATGAAGTAATTCATAACAATAATAAATGTTAATTTTAAAAGTAATCAATTCTCAGATTTGATGAACAAGCGGTACGGTTTGTGAGGAGGTCCGATATATAAAGAATGTTCGATTATAAATCATGAATATTTATAATTCCGATTGAGGTTTGATATTATTATGTGATTTCATTCAAAATTGGGATCTAGGGGTCTTTGTGGACCGACATTATGTTTTTTTTTCAATAACTCATGCTGACGAATTCTATAATTACGAAAAATCATTAATGTAAATGAAAAAAACTCTATTAAAAAATGAAAAATATGTTTTTCATATGTGTGCCATAAGTCATATTCATTCTGTGATCAACAGCATACATACAATATTCAATAAGAAATGACGGTAGTCTTTTTTTTACCCTTTTTTGGTTGGGATATGTCAGATAATGAAACAATATAAACCCAGTTTTAAAAACTGTATTTATAAGAATAACATCAAAAAAATTATCATTAAAATCTTCAAAAATATCCCCTTTCATAATGTCGGTCAACAAAGACTCCTAGTAACCAATTTTGAATGATATAAAACCTCAATCGTAATTATAAATATTCATGATTTCTAATCGAAAATTCTTCATATCTAACCTCACAAACCATACCGCTTGTTTATAAAATCTGTTTAAAATCTGTTATATAAATCACAAATTTCTCCATCTGATTATATGAAGCAAAGTTCATTACTGTTGAAATTAAAATTTTATCATTGTTATGAATTAGTTCATTTGGAATAATTTGATTTTGGGGTTTTCATCATTTTAAAAAATCATACACATTATTGGGGTCTGTTCTTCTATGAAAACAATATCAAATTTCCCTTTAACCTTCGAAAAAATCTCCGAAGCCCCCTACTGTGAGTCGGAGAAGTTACTTCTAGAGAGACCCATGTCTCATTTTCATTCTTTACTTTTTTCTATCAGAATTCATCCTAACTGTACTATTCTTGTTCTTTCTTCAGGCACAATCCCAGTGGAAAGGAGAGGGCAGATTCATTCTCAAGAGGATGGGTGATGATCCCAGCAGCAGAGCATGGTTGTCTTCAATCCGGAGTGTAGCCAACCGGGAAAGAGAAGCTAGGAAAACAGACGGAGCTCCAAGCAATGCATGGGAGGAGAATGACACATTTCTAGTCTGTATATACAATGTTTCACCAGAAATACCATACGCCATCCTCAAAGTTCCATTGAACGCTTGCGCCCAGGACGTTCTGGCTCAATCTCTTGTGAAGGCTCGACGACTCGAAGATCCTATGAATTTCGTTATTGTGGAGGAGCTGGAATGGGGTGGTTTGAGCCACAATATTCAGCAACGCGCTCTGGCGGACGACGAGAACGTGTACAGTGCTCAGTCGCATTGGCAAACCATCGGGAGATTTATTATGCAGGAACGTGCTAACGCCACGCCCACGTCTCTGCGGAAAAACAGGATCACGTCCAGCCTGCGGTTAGCTACGCTGGACAGAATAAGCAGAGGATTGAACGTGGCTCGGAACGTCGCCTCCAACAGCATGAAAATGCCGGTGCAAGTGGCGTTGAGTGATCCAACAACTTCCAAATGGAAGAGCAAATCGGGGGATGATTCTAAAGGGAGGTCCGGATCCCGAAACAAGTCGAACTCGGATAAAGATTCGGCGGCTCCGACCTCTTCAAAGAAGGGTGATGCGATGAGGGAGGTGCACTCAGAGGGTGAGACATTGAGTGACGATGAGACGAAAGACTCTGACTTGATGTCGAGATTGAAAAAAGTGTCGTTACGAAAATTCAAAGAATGGAAATCGTGACTTCTGGAATAAAAGTGGGACTGGTATTAGGCTAATCACTACTCACGATTTCTATGATCACAGGGATATTTCTGCCGAGACTGATGTTTTTGGTCTCACAGAGGTAAATTGTCTCACTGAAACCTCATATCACTGAATTCACACATACTTTTTCTGATAATATTGAGTTGGCGTCTTTATTTTTATTCGTTCTTCTGTTGCCAAATTAATTGTTTTCAAGATTATTATCCAATAAATTTCGAAATGTGTTCTGATAAGAAAACAATTTTCAAGTTAAAGCTTTTATATTCACCAGTTTGTTAGTTTCGGTCTATGCGACATATGCGGGTGGTACCAGAGTTTATTTTTCAATAAGACATTTTCGATTTTTTAATCTCTCAATTATTGCCTTGAAATAGTATGAGAGAAAATATTGGTAAGAGGCAGATCAAAAATATCCATCATTTAGGTCCATTCAGACACACGTATCTTCACATTCTATTATTCAACCACTTGTTATTCCTTTTTTGCTTAGAAAGATGTATATATTTACCAGGCTATCACCAATATTTTGATTGACAACACAACTGAATATCTCAAACCTGTTTGAACAATAAACTCTTCCACGAAACATGTCAACAAAATTCAAAAAAGTCACACCCACCATTTAGTGTGAATCAGAAACTTTGAGTAAGTCTTTAGCTACAATATATTTACTATTTATTCTTCAAATAACTAAGTATACTTTATTATTTGTTAATCATTAAACATTTCCATAATATGTAATGGAATTGCCCAACTCTTGATGAAAATCCACAACGTATTGAAGTAAAACTGTGAGATAGTTTGCACATCGTTCCGAAGAGACCATGCTCGGTACTGATGATGAGGCAATCACCCCGAAACCGGTCTATCGGTTGGTCGGATCGACCAAACGAAATTAATTTCTGCTTTTCGTAGTGGAAAACAATTAATTTGCGACGAATCTTCCAAATCGAAGACGTTACACAGGTGCCTGATGGTTTTACTTCAACTCTCTGCGCGTTTTCTTTCTCTATTTCCCTAAGATTACTATAGCTGGGACTAAATCGAATCCGTAGCAGACGACTATGATAAGGACCTAGGTATATATATGCCAAGTGCATTTTCTCTACTTAGAATAAAAACAAGAATTTTCAACTCCAATTTTCTACGTATAGCTACCAAGTTTGTGATCATAGTGATCCACTAAGTGCATGAACATATAGTTAAGCTAAAGTATTCTGAAAAACCGACATCCATATTTGTGATTTTTCCATTTGATGTTGACTGCACATAAGGCCAAAGAATATCATTGTCGCCTGCTTATTTCAACCTACATAATCCAAATGTTTTTAGAAAATATATAGTTGTAGCAGTCTAGCATTGCAAGTTTCAAATTCTACGTGGACTCATGAATTATAATTTGAATTTTTATTTATCAGTCTTGCCATATCAATGTCGAAAGTCTTTCAGTATTATTTTGACAAATTAACTGAATTCACTGAACTTATACAGGGTTTGTTCTACGTCGATGTTTTATATAAAATTTAGGCAGAATAATTCTAACTTATAATGATTTTCGTTTGATTTTGGTGTTGAGAATAACCATTATTGAACGTTTTTAACCTAAACGAGAGTGATTTTTTTATATGTCTGTCTAGGATTTTATACATTTTATATAAGTGGAGAATGAAACGCTTTGAGAAAATTGATTTTTGCAAGTGTCCTCACTTTTGGCTATTGTTCTTGGGCACAATCATTTCATAGCTTTAAAGAAACCCCAGAAATGCAAATGTTTTTGCTTTCCTTATCGCTTTTTGTTATATTGGGTCAATTTCAAATCGACTGTTTTCTTCAGTCACCATAACAAATGGAAAGACAAACAAAACAAATCAACATTTCACAAATTAAATGTGAATCCACAGAAAGTTTATTTGATTTGTTGTTGACCTACACTTTGTTGAGAATATGTTATATGTTAAAATATTATAAGGTAATGAAATTACATGAGAAGCAAATAATATCAATAATATATATACATTCGAATAAAATTAATACAAATTTTGAACATTATACCATATCCCTATATTTCATTTTGTACCATAGCTTTTGTTTCTGTTTGAACATATCTATATTAAAATCAAATTTTACAGTATTTATAATGTTTAAACAAATATTCCTATTGTACATTAACATATTTGATGTTATTAAGTAATAATATAAATTATACGAAAGATACTATATACTTAACTGTTAATTTACAGTACAAATTTAAAAATTATTGTTTTTACGTAACATTGTTATATTTAACGATTTATAAAAATATATTGCATCAAATCTTTCATTTGTACATTTCTGTACCTTAATCTTCCTAGCAGTCAACACAGTAGTTTTTTCAATCCTTTTGTCAATGTTATTGAATTTGAGATTTTGATATTCGAAAAATCATTTTCTGACAGCTAATCAAATGAAGCAAATTATGAGTTACAAGCATGTGGAAGCATATATCAACAAAATTAAAAATATAAGTATTTTGTTGTGATAAAAACTAAATATACAGGAACCGGGTCTTTTTTCTGCTTTGAAATTGGTCTGACTTGTCATTTCTTTTAATGAATAGAAATGAAAAAAAAAAGAAATATACCAAAAGGTGACTTTTAGCAAATACTTTTGTTTGAGGAGAGGAGAAAATTATGGTACAAGAGTTCACACATAATGTGCCATATAACTCAAAATAAATGCACAATTCACAAGGGTTAAGAAGCAAAAACGCTGAAGTGACTATTCTTTTTAATTTTAAATCACAAAACAAAAGAGTAGGCTCACTTTTGCTTAGTGGTAAAATAGCCTAAGTGGAAATGCAACCTAAAGGTCATCTATTGTGTGAAACCAAACAAAACAGAAATACAAGACATACTGTCGCTGCTCATCATTTTGAAGTTCAACTCAGTACACCACTGCGGTTTTTCTTCTAAACAAATCAGGTTGGTATACCAATCCCTTAGACCTTAAAGGAAACAGAATAATAATACGAGTATATTTTCAACATTACGTTTAATATTCGATTCAACTGTAGGCTGCACTTTTGGCTCACATCAATCTGTTCGTACTTAGTTATGTTATAGTTAGTTTTTTTAAATCATTGTTTTTTTCCCTGCTATAAACATTGTATGTTTCTTGGGAAAATTAATTGTTATTATTATCAAACTTGACCATATAAGGCAAGCTCCCTAACAAAGCTGATGAGTTTATTTCAAGTTTCACTTGGTAAATGATATTCTGTGTCAGATGGCCAGAGTACAATTCTGCTAAACACTGAAAACGTGAATCAGACCACAACAGGTCAGGCACAAAGTATATATAGTCTGCTAATATCTTCCAAATAGAGACAACATGCACTATCTTCAGATATTTCATTTCTGTTTATGACATATAAGTAGGCCTGGTAAATTTTCCAAGAGTTGAAATTTTTTCACAGTATTTGTGAATCAAAACCTAAAGTGATACACAGTTTACTAAGGAATTTGACGTTGCCAATCCCTTTACATATAAATCAACGAAATACAGTTTCGCCTGAAATACCGTTACATAAGTTGATATCTCTGCCTTGGATCTGCAACTGTATTCACCTTCACCAGAACCTGAAATTCTTTTTAATCCATCTGTGATCCAATAACTCTTTAATGTTCCTCCTCTTGCAGGAGGGATTAGGGCTGTATAAGGCAAATTGTAATTGACTGTGTAGTGCAGACTGAGGTAGTCTTTCTCTATATACTAAAGAGCTTTTTCTAACCCATTTGCCGTACAGCTTTTTACCAGCAGGCAAGCTCCTTACGTGATCATTGATCTAACAACCATCACGTATGGTCCAAATTATATCCACAGTTCCTTATTCGAAACAACTTAACTGAATGGACATTGAAATATACAAAAACCTGTTTCTTCTATTCAATTGGTACTCCAAATATATGATATGGAATTGACTTAGAATTCATTTATAGAAATGCTACATGATATATGAAAGAGTTGCGCTTTAAAACTCTACTGACACTTTAAGACACTTATTACCTCATCAGCAACTTTCTGGATGACGCACTCATTTCAATCATAACATTACGACTTCGTATCACAGATGAGACAAATCTACTCATGTCATGAAGATTGTATCAGAAAGTAATTTCTAAGTATGATTTACACATCTTTGTTGAGAGTTTATTTTGAACTAAATTGCTTCCTTTCTCTATTTCCCTAAGATTACTATAGCTGGGACTAAATCGAATACGTGTGAATGTCTCTTCGTACTATCATTGTATTAAAAGTAGATTTATATCATCTATGACATGAAGTTGCAATGTTATGAATGAACTGATGAGTGCTTCATCTTGTAATGTTATTCAGGTAATGTTGAGGTAATAAGACGTGTTTCATTCTGAAACTTCAAAGTTCGCCATTGAGAATGATAGTGTTCCACAATAAAGAAATTTTATATTGTCACTCTCTCATTCATTATATTGTATAACATTTCTATGAATTAATGTTGATTCAATTCCATAATGAATATTTGGAGTACAAACTGAAGAGGAAAAGGAATCTTAATTGCTTCCTTCTCTTCTTCGGAAGTTTCCCACATATTTTTTTGTATAGAAAAGTAGAAAGCCAAAAAGCTTATTTCTCGATCACATATGTTTTTTCAAATACTGTTTAACTTACTGTCAATCAATATTTTAACAGATTAGGAATCCAAGTAAAATTCCTCAACTTATCTCTTTCGACCATCAATGATAATTGGTATTAGTTAATTGGAAGATTTGCTGGTTTATCATCTGTATAACATTGGATATGAATTATTATTCCAATAAACATATTACACTATACTTTATTTTTCAGTATATATTTACACTGCGATTATATTTCAAATGACACTATCTAAGAAACCTGAGAGCAAACAAAAAAAAGACATCTGTTTAAATGCTGGTTGTGAAAAAATACTTGCTTAACAGAGCATCTACATGTGGCGGACTATGATGTGACACACTTTCCACAAATTTTTAAATTCTCCCCAAGAATGTAATTAAAAACCAGATGTTACCAAATCTCTTCATCCTACAATACTTGTAGCTCCTCGAAGTGCCAAATAACCTGCTGTAATATCCATTGGTAAATCGATAATGGTAGCATATTCATCCTTATTCGCAAAACGTAACCTTGTCTGTGGGTCTGTATATGGGGCAGGTAGTCCTGACAGATCGGAGAACTTTTCTGGTGGTTTGAAAGATGGAGGTGCGTTTATAGAACTGTAGTGAATGGCATTTTCGGGCCACGGCAAAGCTTTTTCTGAAGCAATTATTTGCTTCAGGCCTTTCCAGGCACATTTTTTCTTCATTGCTTTATGTAACTGAAATGAGGATGATTTAAAAACTGGTTTTGGTTCTACCTTGGATTCTTCAACACTCATGCTTTCACAGGTTGTTTATTCAACAATTTTTTAGAGGAAAATCATTTAATACTTCGTATTTTAGTGGTAAAAATCGTAAATAATTTAATTCAATGTGAAAATACTAGATTAACCCTTATCAATATAAAATACACTCACAAAACAGCCACACTGTTGTTTTGTGAATACACTGTAAATATTTATGTTTTCTTTCTCTCTCTCTTTCTTTTCATCTTCTCTTATTTCTTAGCTTTAGATAGCTAGCTGACGAGTAGACACTTGAAAGAGGAAGCATGCTATATTTGTATATTGGCTATACTCGCGTTCAAATGTATTGCGAACTGTCGAATTTAATGAAAGTTGTTCTAAACACCTATCTATAATTATTCAGTGTAACATTCAACTAAATAGTAACAGCATATTCAAACAAAATGAAAAAAACATCTTTCTCACACTGAAATAGGCTCTTGAGTATGATTCATCTTGTGAGAGAAAATTCAACGATGGTGGGAATTTTTTCTAAACAGAGTTACTAGACATTCTATTCATATGTTTCACTATTATGGAGACTCATTTCCTGCATTGTAAAAATCTACTTCTTTGGGAAATGTGTTTATGGTTGCTGTTTTTTTTTCTAAGTGAGGAAAACAAAAGCACTAACTGGATTTGATGTTTGGATTGTTTTGAGTGTCATTGAAACCATAATTACCTCAATATCTATTAGCAATATCTCAATATCTATTAGCAAAGCATGTCATAGCCCTAACTCTAGTCAGAAAATAATAAAATCTTCTGTCTTTCTTTATCGAAAAACATTTCAACAATTCAATCAGTTTGTTCCCGCCATTAAAGTAATAAATATATTCCCTTCTTCCGTTATCGGAACAAAATCAAAATAATGAGGGCAACTTTGGAAATTCTTGCTGTATGAGAGTGCTGAGGGGTGTGAGGTCAATTTCGTGATTCTTTCGTTATTCACAAATGGGGAAGCATTCGTCTCAGAGGTGAGTACCTCTAATAACTGTTTAAAAGTTAAATTGTCGTCTGACCTCTCACCCTCCAGTGCCCTCTGACGGCTTCACCGATGGTGACCCTTTATGAAAGGATCTTTCCTGCCAAATTAATATTTTTATTTGGATCGTTTGATGACAAAATTTTTGAGAATTCAACCCTATGATGGGGGCAAAACAACCCAACGTAGAGTTTACCCTGCCGAACACGGGAACCAAGTTGCAACTGTGATTGCTTTTCTTCTTCTTTCATTTAATTGGTTCGACACTCACAGTAATAATAAGAGTTGCCATGCCCTATTCCAATACATTACATGTATTTTGAAACGGGTATCGTACTATCCTTTTCTGTACAACTCACTGGCGAGGGGGGTTGGCGGGTAATGAGAGGTAATGAAGAGTTTGTTTACATTTGAAGTAAGTTGGACCATGAAACAGTGGCGATTGGTTTAGTTGATAATCGGAGGTAAATCTGTTTTTCCGTCTGTCGCACCCCTACGAACGACAACCCTTAGAAGTCGAAACTTGTGCGAGCTAAGAATTAACGAGGTCTTACATTTTAACGTGTGATTCCTAACACGGGTTGGACGATAGCAAGTGGAAATCGATCGTTCAGACTAGGGCTTGAACCACCGACCAACACGTCAGTCAATTCGAGTGAGTAAAGCACCCACGTCGAACCGCCTGGCTATCGACTGTTTTGGTTTTTCTTTCTTTGCACGAGGCTCTCGAGTTGCATACAGACAATATTCAATAAGAAATGACTGTAGTCATTTTTTCCTTTTTTTGGTTGGAATATGTCAAATAATGAAATAATATAAACATAGTTTCAAAAAATGCATTAATAAGAATAAATAACATCAAATATATCCCCGTACATAATGTCGGTCCACAAAGATCCCAAGATACCAATCTTGAATGAAATCACATAATAATATCAAACCTCAATCGTAATTATAAATGTTCTCACAAACCGTACCACTTGTTTATCAAATCTGAGAATAAATCACAAATTTCTTCATCTGATTGCATAAAAGTTCATTACTTTTGAAATCAACATTAATCATTGTTATGAATTAGTTCATCTGAAATAATTCAATTTTAACCCAGTAAACCACACGCTTCATTATAAAGCCATACATAAATATAAATCTATATAGTAAGTGGTAGAAAAACTGGTCCCATTTCCATAATCAATAATAATAAATCAGCTTTCCTGTAGAAACTATTTGAACAAAATACATTTTCACCTGAAAGGAAATATTTTACAAATATATAATTTCCCTCCGATTATCAACTAAACCAACTGCCACTGTTTTATGGTCCAACTTACTTCCCGTAAACAAACAAAGTTATGAAACCGCAATGTAAGTATGGAAAAGGCCTCTCTATTCGACAACAGTTTCGAAGGAATATCCCGTCCTTTACTTCGGTGGAGTTTTTCAATTACAATGACAATAATCACACATCTTCTTCTCAATATTATATGTTAGCTATTATCACTGTTGCCAATAATAAAATGCTCAAATCTGAATGAAACATGTTGAAACATTTTTAGGTGAAGATAGTAAAAGTTAAATTGGAACCTCTGGCGCAGAGTAATTCCAAAAACAAACACTTTTTCCAACACCAGAAGTTCAATACTATTCTCGACGAGAGCCAGGCAAGTTGGCGTCTTTAGGAGTTTGCGAGAAAAGTTTCGAATTTCTGGTGATTAGGAATGGTACTTGTTTTAAAATCGAATATTAGGAAGAATATGTGTAATTACTGTGGTTAATTGCAAATAGAGATGGCACTGAACAGTTAAATTTGAAGAACTTGTTCGAACTGTTCCAGTTCTTACCGAAAACCTGTTCTTTTTAACCGTTCATGTTCACCTATTCTTGAATGACGTCTCATCTTGCGTCATGGTCATTTTTAGCGTTCGGTTCCGAGTGGTTCCGAGTTTCCGTACGTTTCCTCCATTCGACTTGTTGTTCTAGAGTTTTATTTCAGTAACAGGCTGAATTTTAGTGTAAAATAAATGAAAGATCAATCCCTATTCGTATTCTTTTTCAATCACAAAGAAACAAGTGCAACTAGCAACATCTGAAATTTGCAAGCAGGTTATTTCCTTCAAATTTAAAGCGTCATATGCTTATTAAAAAACACCCCACGGTAAAAATTCTACCCACTGAAGGAACAGTGAAAACCCACGTTGAGGAGAATTCACAGCGACAGGGACCTACAATTTTGCAACAGATAGGTATTTAATTAATTTGTTTTGCAGTTTTTCTGTCCAAAATTTCATGGTAAACAATTTTGACTCGTCGGTGCTCAGTGCAGCCGAGAGCACAAGCCACAGAGCGGTCCCGTCATCCAGTTCCAGCACCAACCTATGCAAGCGTCTTTGGAATAGCCACTCACCGTCTGAACAAGTTCAGTTCATTGAAAAGAACAGGTTCACTGAACAGTTGACTGATAACTGTTCCGAAGAACCAGTTCGGTTCTTTTGGGCCCATCTCTAATTGGGAAACTTCAAATCTCATAATCTCAAATTTGGTCATATAGCAGATATCTACGAAAGTCCAGAAGGGTCACAAAAATCTTTAATTTAATGTTTTCAAAATTCATACTTGTAACTGTACATGCACAAGTTATAACTGTGAGTTCACAGTTGTTCAAACTCCCCTTTCGCAGGTCTACAAAAACTTACGATCAAACAATCATTAATCCAAATCAGAAGAAAAATAGCCTTGTATATCGTCAATGAAATCTTTCATTATGCCACTATGGCTGCTGCAGAGGATGTTCCAGAAGAAGCTCCACAGAATTCAAAGCTGTACATTTCGGCTTGCATGTCTACAAGAAACACCAGATAGGATCAGAAGAGTTTTTAATTTATTCAAGAAACGCTTTATTGTGTGATTTTCACTTAACACGTGTTTCGCTATGCAATAGCTTCTTCAGGCGTGTATATAGGTACTAACTCTCGATGTACGCTCGAAGAAGCTATTATATATAGCAACATATTGCGTTTTTGTGAAACTGTTCAGTGAAAATCTCACAATAAAGTGTTTCTCAAATACGTTATAGCTTTCCATCAAGAATCGGCCCATTCCACCACATAGGAATATTTTTAGGGTCATCAAATGAGCTTCAATGAATAAATTCCCAGTATGATGTAAGGAAGTGATTAACGGGTTTTTTGAAATGGGACCTATTTTGATAAAGTTTTGAAGGCGTCGTGTACACTTTCGGTTCGAAAATAGTGAGGGGAATAATTCAACATGATCAAATTTGTGAGGTATAGCTCATAATGATATATAAATGAGTTTTTCAGTATCATTCATAACACTCAACTTCTCACTAACCAACTTTCCATTTTTGTTATGAAATGGAAATATTCTAAACTATTGTGAATACTATGAAGAATCCTTGTATGCTTACAAGTTCATTGATTTTGTAATTAAGTTTAATTCAATTAGGTAGGTATAATAAGAATATAGATATTTTCTGTAATCGATCACAGCTAGTCGTGTTCGTCTAGGTGTTCTACTGAAAATGGATGATTTACGTGAGTGGTTTTTTATTTCTTCTTTCTGTATGATAAAACATCATCCTTACTAAAATATTATTCAGTTCAATTAAATATTCAGATGATTTCTTTGAATTGATATGATCTTGAAGTTTACTTGTTTGAGTATTATTGAAAATATACCCGTTAAATGTAAAAGCGAGTACTCATTTGTAACAGGATTTGTAGAGGAGTCGAACTATTGCATTTGTATCGGTACCACTTTGACATGCATACTACCATTTGTCGGTTTGTAATCGTCGCATCAAAAGATTGTTAGTTACATAAGGCAACAATTTGTGAAAAGTATATGTATCGCGAATCTATGCCTGTTGCATACAGCATTATGTCGTACCTCGTTCGGTTCGAATCATTGATGCGGCCAGACTTCAAAATGCATCAGGAAACTACCGAGCCATCTCGTAAGGAGTCGAACATGTACAGTATTACGTACATTTTCATACAAAATTACATTTTGCTGTAAAAACGGTAAGGTAGAAAACTTTTGTTTCCGGCATTTTCACTGTGTTCCAATAATCGAAAATACATAGATTTCTAGTTAAAACGAGCCACCCTGTATAAGAAATTTAATATTGGAGCTGTGAGAAAATCGTGAAACACTTCAACTTTAGTTTTCAGGGCGACACTTTCCTACGTAAAAATAAATCCTTTCAAATAAGAATAATATTCCTCATCTTAAACATTTTTCATTTTCAACATTTTTGATATTAATTACATTCAACGATAAGGAATGCGATATTTTTTAAAAATTGTATTCAAATTTTGAACTGGAATGAAAAACTCAAAATAAATCACTTCATTGAATGTTCTAACTGAGCACTATCAGCTTGCTCACAATGGTATAAACGAGCTTATGTTTCCTCCCTTACATTCTGAAGTATATCAAGTGTTAGTAGCCTGGTAATTTCTTCTCGTAAATTATCTACAATAGTTTCCTGCTCTTGTAGACTATTGATTTAAACCATTCCTATAGCGTAGAATAAAGTCCAATGAAGTCAAATCAGGGAATGCGGATAGCCATATTGTAGAACCTCTCCTTCCAATCCATCGACCGGGAAAGTTATTATCGAAGAACTGTCGCACTAAGCAAGGAGTAGGAACTCAGTTCGACTGAGGAAACTAGTGTAGTAATGAAACTCGTATTGAAATAAAGTCTATATTGTAGAAATTTGTAATTATTATTATGTTGTTGATTTTCACCAGTGAAGGGCCAGTGTTTTCAAAATTTAAAGAAATGGTCCTATAATATGGCTTTCCAAAATTCTTCTCCAAATAGTTTTTGGGGATATTGAGGGTAAATTAGGCGTGCCATATTGGAATTTGTATCACTCCATTTGACGATTTACTTACCCATTCAGATGAAAGGTACATTTATTATGTGGTGTAGGTATAACAAAGCTGGAATATGTGTTCCGAGAGGATCCCACAAATTTTGATTATTTTATCGAAATCATCTTCGTCCAATTCATGAATCATTTTGATTTCGTTATGGTAGAATTTGTGTCAAGTACTGTGTATTTTTCATCATGGCCAACTATTGCTATACGAATACCGTCGTTATTGACTATTCCTAAACGGTCATGTCTATTATTATCGTTACCAGTTTCCATGGATGTATGTAACAATTTCCATACATATTTATGTCTTAGTTTCTACCCGGATGATTCTCATTGAAAACACGAGCGGTGACCCTTGCAGTTTTTTCACGTTTGTAGTACAAATCCAATATTTCAATACGCTCTTGAAGTGTATAAACCATTTTTTATAAAACAAAAGAAAATAAACAAAATAATTATTCGAGTTCCAACAGTGCAAAAATTAACACTAATAAAACTTGGCTGACTATTTTAGAGTAATTTTGAAACAAACTCAACAATGTCTTCAGTATGTGTTGAAATTTAGGACTATATGCATGTTTTGTTTACCCAAGAAATTTTCTCCTGTGAATTCTTATTTCTTTTATTTTCATAAGTACACACTTTCAACATTTCATATGGTGGGGTTATATATCCAGGTTGACCTTCTAGATTGGAATTGAATAAAAACTTGAGAGTATTTGTGACATCGTTGAAAGGCCTTTGAATTTACTCGGTCACTCTCTTCAGTTCAGTCGAAACTCATAATCCCATCATTGAAGGTAAAATACGGTGATACTGTATAATTTTACCAAACAATACCGACCTGCACAAAAATTTGGATTTACGTTTTACTTACTTACTTCAAAGTTGACTGTATACCGGGAATTGCTTTCAACTTTCAACCTTAAGGGTCGATACACTCCTTCAATTGTTCATTAAAAATAACTCCGGGAATTGATAGACTGACTTATTATAAGCAACGTTTGTTCAATGAAGTTTTTCCTGATAGTTTATAATTTTCGAGAATTTTATTGAAAAAATCTAAGTTAAAACTATTGTAGCTTTCAAAAAACAAATAGAATGGTGGTTTTGAGTTTTGCCCAATACAGGCAGAATAATACCTTCTTGTAATGCACTGTTTAGAATTGATTGAAAATTGTCTATTTCACTCGCGAATAAGACAAAAATATTGATTTTCACAAAAACTTCATAAAACAAAAGTTGAAACATTTTGCATCTCTGAAGGGGTCCCTTAGAATGAATTGAATATAATTTGAAACGTTGGTAAAAATAATAGTTTTCCTACGATTCTTCCTGGCTTCGAACGGGTGGCACAGGCCATATCAACTCTGCACGGATAGCACCGTTGATTTTGCATGTTTAAGAGAACTTTCAAAGAAACTGCTTAAATGTTGTTCAACGACGCATTCAGTCAAGATAATGGGGGCCATCAAATGACCTTCAGTAAATGAATTTCCAGTATTGTATACGGGAGTAAACAACGGGTTTTTGGAATGGGAATGGAACTTTCAAAGGTGTCATATACCGGTCTCAAAAATTTTAATTTTTTTCAATTATTCATTTCAGCTCATTTCGTAAATCTGAGACTACTTTCATGTTTAATTTTTAAAAAATTTGGAGCAATCCATTGCCGTATTTCGTTTCATATGGAAGTGTTTTCGTTCTTTTCATTCATTTCACGCAAGAGGTTCAAATTCTATTCATCAAATTAGGACTAGGTACCCTGATAGAGTCTTTTTTTCGCAGTCTCTATATTTTCGAAATATTAGTACCTAAGTGAATGTTGAAGAAATAACGTTTATAAAAAAAAGGAATTCAAATATTCCTTTTTTCCCAAATTACCCCAAAGAACAAAATTTTTGAAAATACTTTTGGTTCGAAAATATGATCAAATTTGCGTGAAATAGAGTATTTTCAATTAACACGCATTATTTCTGTGGAGCTGAGGTTAGGAGTGATATAAATAACATTTTCAATATCATTCGTAACAGTATCATACGCAACATATGGAAACCTTTAATCAAGCGGAAAAACGGTCAACTCCCACCAAACCTATAAAGAGTCATCTCTCGGAGGAATAGTCTAGTCATCACCCGAAGACGATTGTGGATACTAACAATCGAAACGTCGTGAAGCTATTCATTTTAATTTTTAATTTTATTTGTTCTTTCAGATATTTCAAATCATATATCATATTAGAAAATGGAAGTCCAAATCAGTAAAATTCAAAATGAGTTTATTGCTGGATTCAGACAAAATAGTCAATAACAGTAGGATTTCTGACTGGCCACTGTCAATTAAGGAAACACCTCCATAATATGGGGCTAATGGACACACCTCTATGCAGGAAGATGAAACTGCCAGGCACGTCCTATGTGAATGTCCGGAGTTATCGTCAATAAGAAAGTGTGTTCGGCGAGTCTTGGCCTACACCTGCCGATATAAAGGAGATATATCCTAGTGACCTGTCCACCTTCCTGGAAATAACAGGATGGACGATGACCTAGGAGGAAAACTCCTTGGAAGGATGTACAATGGGTAACTCACCCTCCCTACTCTACAGATACAGATACGCGCGACGCAACATCTTTGAGTATTTTATGTTAATGTTACCGTTTTACTTTCAGAACACATAATAGTGACATTCCACGATAGGCACCGAATTCTATTCAAAACTGATTTTTTTGTATTTTTCAATTGCATTTTGAGGTTTCAGGTCTATAAATTATATACCAATGGTATTTGTCTTTAACTATCTTGAATTCAATCAAATTATTCGCCTGTTTTTTGCACAATATTTTCTCTTTGCTTTGCAAGCTTTTTTGCCAAAAACCTCAATATTCAACGTGAATTGATGAAATAGAAAATGGGTTTGTACCTGTGGCCCCTAGTCGCCCAGATAGTAAACGTGCTACCTAATGTAGTTGAGGAATAAAGGCTCGGCTAGCTGGACTGGCTGAATACTAATTTTTTTGTCCGTTTCACAATATTTCTTTATCAGTGCCTGTGTTCGTGGTGTTAGGTGAGGTAGTGGGTATTTTTGCAAACCAATTTTTGAAAACTTTTTCTAGAAATCAATTACCCTAACACCAAACTGATATTTTTGCACTAGACGCGCGTTTCGCTAACAAGGTTAGCATCTTCAGGAGAAGCAAATTGATACTTAAACTAAAGACAAGGGTTAGCTGTTTATATACCTAAAGTTTTTTGGTCCGATGTGGACTTTGTTTGGTAAATGATGATTATCCTAATTGATTTTTCGGTAATTAACTAGTGGAACCACTACCTACAAATTAATTTGACAACAATAGATTAAAAAGCGGAAGACTTTGCTTCTGTCGGCCAAAAATATTAAAGATTCGTCTGCTGATTACCACGAAGATATGACTGCGGCTCTACTCGAAACCTGGTTCAGTGAGCAGCTTCTCCCAAATATTCCTCCAAACTCGGTTATTGTTATGGATAACGCTTCGTATCATTCTCGGCAATTGACTACAATACCAAACAATAACACAAAAAAGGCAGATATTGTTGATTTCATGCGAAATCATGACATGGAAATACCCGAAAAGATTCCAACAAAAAAGGTATTATTGGCGACCACAAAACAACGTAATTTCAAAAAAGAGTATATTATTGATTCAATGTGTGAAACACGTGTTCATATTCTCTTACGTTTGCCTCCATACTATTGTGTGTTCAATCCAATTGAAATGGTTTGGGCCACAATGAAAGAAAGCTTGCGAAAATGTAATCAGACACCGACTTTGAATGTTGTAGTCCTTGACAATATAAAGCGAGTGGTGAATGAAGTAGGCAATAGTGATGTGTGGAAGAACTGTGTGGCCCTCGTTATAAAAGAAGAGAACAAATATTATGTGAAAAGTTCCATGAATCCGATCGTTATTCAACCCGATGATGATTCCACCTCATCCGAATATAGCGAAGAAGAATTTTGATTTTTCTAGCAATTTTGTTGACCTCTATTATATTGTAAATATATGTTTGACGAGAATTCGGTGTGATTATTTGTGTTTTCATTGTATTTTAGAGTTTTCGACTCGAAAATCAACTACCTTGAATTTCGAAGTTTTTCATAATTACCCATGGTGGAAAAATTCAGTTGAGATAACTTTTTCATGGAGTGATCAATTGCTATGATTGTAAGAATAAGTAACTGAAAAACTACCACTGAAAAATAATATGCCGACGCCTATGTCGAGGCGGGAATTCCTTCTCTGTGCTGTTCCAATTGGTATTGGAAATACTATATCATAATGTAATCATACAAACCATAAATAGGATAGATTAGATTAAATTACTTTTAGAATACTGGATGTTTATATTTTCAGTCCCCGTTGTTGCTAAAGGTGGGTATAGATATGAAAATGGTTCAGTTTATGTTGGGACGTGGAACACTGAAGGCAAAAGACATGGAGAAGGACATTTATTATTCAGCGATGGTGTGAGATATGACGGATTGTTTGAAAATGGTTTATTCCATGGTCGTGGTATTTTAACCTTTCCTGATGGAGCCAAGTAAGAGTTATTATTTCAAGTATTAGATACTTGTCGCAAAATATTGTAATTTATTAATGGTAGATAATAACAGCTTCTGGTGTTTTTTTGTTTTGTGAACGCATATATCAATAAACAATATATATAATCAATCCTATCGAAAAAATAGAACATTGCAAATTATCACTTATATATTAATGATAACAATATTTTATTAAACCACAAAAAATTACATGAGTTAGGTATATTAAGAAACTATCAAATGAAATGAAGGAAAAAGTGTTAGGAATCACACGTTAAAAGGTAAGACCTCGTAAGTCCTTAGCTCGCACAAGTTTCGACTTCTGAGGGTTGTCGTTCGTAGAGGTGCGACAGCTGGTTAACGGAAAAACATAATTTAAACATATACGTGCATCGTCCATAATGCAATGCATCACGGAAAATGTTCTTCCACTAAACTTTGAAGAGGAAAAAAAGGAATAAAACTGTGACATGATAATGTTATAATGTAACATGTAACATGATAATGTTATAATATAAATACGAACAAACGCCTTACCTAAAGAATTAGTTTCATCTATTCATATCAAGCATTCACTTTCATTACAGTCGGCAAATACTCTTCATATTCAGTTAGAATTTTGTGAAATTTAATTGTTTGACGAAGTTAAAGACGTAATCATACTTTTGACAAATTTGGTATCTAAATGACCTCTTGAATACTTCTGTTTTGAATTTTGATATTGAAAGCATTTTCTTATATTGGATATTCAAGTTGTGAATGCCTGTACGATGTGTAATTTTTCTATGAAGATATGAGACTTTTTTGTTAAAGACAGCGTGAAATAACCTTCTTATCTCCATGTTCCAATCACACAATATCTTGAAACTTATATGATGTCAAAAATATGACAGAATTGACAGATACTTGATGAAAATCCATTATAACGTAGTAAAAAAACACCCTTTAATGTGACATTTCCCCTTGACAGTTTTCAAAACCGCATAACAAGTTTACTAATCTCACATTGAAATGTATTTTTTGAATATGTTATATGACCGACCATGCTTTTGGTGGAATGAAAGATTTACAACCGCCAATTAGGATGTCTTTTTTGGATATTAACTGTTCGTTGCAATACAGCCCTTTATTGTATAGCTCTGTTCATCCCCTTATTAAAGAAAACATACAAATATACAGGGTGATTCAAAAGTACTTTGACAAACTTCAGGAGGTGATTCCTCACAATATTCTAATATGAATTGTCCGAATAAATAAATGTCCGGAAACGCTTCGTTTCCAAGATACAGGATGTAGAAATTTTATTTTTATTTTCGTTTTTTTCAAATAACTTTTGAAATACTGAACTTAATTAAACGAAACTTGGGCTTCGTCCAATTCTGGGGTTTGGACTGCTCGTGGTCTTCCAATAATATCAGCTGCCCTCTTAAAGCTACCTGTTTCTGCCAAACGACGGTGGAGACTAGCAAATGTTGGAGCTGAAGGCAGTACTCGATTAGGAAATCGCTCCTGGTAAATATGTCTTGCTTCGCGCGCATTGCCATCCGCAAGGCNATTCAAGGAACGTATTCAAAAAAAACTTCATTGTGAAGTTTTCACTGAACAGTTTTACAAGAACGCAACACGTGTTTTGCGCGTGTCTTTACTCAGGTAAAGAAGAAGCCATTGTATGGCGAAACGCGTGTTGCGTTTTTGTAAAACGTGTTTTTTGAATACGTTAGAAATGCAAAATAGTCACTTTCACATTTTAACCTTACAGATACGAAGGAGAGTTTTTTCGAGGATGGTTTCATGGGTATGGCGTATTCTGGAGAGCAGACGGTACTAGACATGAAGGAGAATTTAGAGGAGGCAAAATATGGGGTTTGGGTATGTTGTGACTATTCCAAACTTGAAGCAATTTCGGTAATTTCTGTCAACATTATGAACAAATATCTGAAAAGTTGAATATAAACCCAGTATAGTACTGTCTAAATATTATTTGGGAAGGTGTATAGGTTATTCCAGGTTTTTATGTTATTCCTTTGAAACAAAATTCAGTATGTATTTATCCACGTTGTCAGTAACATTTATACGCTAATTTATTAATGTTGCCTAAATACTTCAAGAAACGAACAGTATATAAATTTTAAATAAAAATATACTTCCTCTCGATGACGTTTCAGACATCAACTCTGTTACTTTTCTCGAATACTTTCAGGAAACAACAAAAATTATATTATAGATCCCAGTAAAATTTGATATTTGGCCAATTTTTTTTCATTCCAGTGGGAGAAAACAGATGAATGCCTGGAATAACCAAGAATCTCTTTCAGTTTTCGTTAGAACAGTGGCTTTCGCGACTGAAGACATGATTAGAGAGAACAAAATTCAAGTAGGCCGTGGTCGAATGTAACTTATAGTACCAAACGTTTTGTCGTTTACTGAGGCAGACATACTCAGTGGTACATGCATTGACTGCAAGGGCGAAGGTAATATTTCAAAGTCTCAGTAACGACTGACAGGGGAGCACCGTGTTCACTCATTTTTATACCACCACCCCCCCTAAAATTATAAAGACGAGGGAACACGGAGCTCCCCAGTCAGTCGTTGCTTAGACTTCGAGAAGGTATACTGTCAAAATATCAGCATGATTTCTGTAAAGGTAAGTCGACCGAAACATACGATTTTGTCAAATATATCTACGACTCGCTATATGAAAAAAAATATGTCGAAGCACTTTTCTTAGATCCATCAAAAGCATTTGGTATTATTGATCTGAAGATAATTGAAAGGAAATTGTATTCCCTTGGTTTTCGTGCAAATTTATTGTCTGGCTGATGTCATACATGCGCTTTTGAAAATATCAGTTAAAATCGGAGAGCATAAATCTGAATATGATGAGATGGATCTGGGAGTTCCTCAGGAATCAATTCTGGGCCCGCTTATTTTGTTGTTATTCATAAACGATATACCTGACCGTATTAGTACAGATTCTGTAGTTCTCTATGTAGATACATTTTTTAAGGACATTGGCAACTGATTCAGATAGTCCTGAAGACTTACAAAAAATATGAATAATTTTGCAGAAAAATTCATAACTCATAACTCATATCGAAAGTAAAATGTGTTGAGAAAACAGTATTGATACCATTATATGTTAAATACCAATGTACTCATCGATGTTTATTATTCTCTAATCTACTTCCACATATCATATAACATCAACATCTGGGGATGCTCCAGTAACTCAAGCAGAATATTTGTTTTCCAAAAAAGATTTAATCGACTCATAGATGAATCGTGTCGAACATATTTTCAAAAATATAAAATTTTAACTATTTCATGTAAATATTTATATTTTCAAATGTATAATGTTATTTATTGTATGTATGAATATAAATTTAATGAATATATATGTGTACAAATCTGATAAATAGTGATATTTTAATATTGTTGATTGTTAATGTGTCTACCATCACATGGTTTTCATTTGTAACCTATATCGTGCTGTATGTGATCTGAAAGGATTGAATAATGCTATCAGCCCTGATTTTGTTTTCTCTAATCTCTCACTTTTTGTTCACGATTTTGCCAAGGTAAACTTCACATAGACATAGATGAAGCGTTCTTCAAACACATACAGAAAGAAAAAAATATACAGACAAGAATGCATTTGGAAAATCAATTCGAAATTATCCAATACTTATATAATAATAGTCATTCTTCTTTATTTTCCTTCTTCCTCTTTTCTGTATTCAAAATATTGAATTTTGATTTTACTGTAAAACTTATATTATTGTAGTTTCCCTGATGATGGAAATAAAATTTTCCGAAAGCTCGGACTAACTTAAAAGAGTAGTCATTTACTTGCTGCAATACCCCACTATTCCAATAGTTTTTTTTTTCAACTAGTCAGCAACGACTACCCTTCCTATATATATTCAGTTTCAAAAAATGTAAAATTAGTATTTTGGTTCTTCAGAGCTTCGCAGGTGAAAGTAACATTGTTACTATTGTTTTTATGTTCTCTGGTTCCTATTTTAGTTGTCATTTTTTTCCATCTCAATCGACGGAATCTTTGGAATGGAATAATAGAGAAAATCTGTCGAAATTACAATACTGTTAATGTGATTCTCGACCTGATGCTACCTGGATGCCAAAAAGTATCACCATTGTGAAATTCACGAAGAAAATCGAAGCATCATTTATTCAGATGAATACATATTGATAAAAACCAAAGTAAACCAACTCGATTTTTGGATTTTGTTTCTTATTTTACACTTCCCCTGCAACTCCTTCTTTGATTTCGAATGTTGCGCTGATGGATGATCAATTTATTCAAGCCATATGTGGAATTATTCTCATTTAACTATTTTCACGATCCAAAATATTTTCGAAAATGAATTCATAACTTTTTTTATGTTGGTAACCTCAAAAGGCAGTATATCTTTTCAGTTATTTCCATTTTAATTCATTGTATTTTACAATAACTAACCATTTTAACAATTCTTACAATAAAATAGTCACTCCACTTCAATGATATAACAATAAATATATTATGTTTTGGTAGATTTCCTATGGAGTCTATGTTAGAATTCCTCAATTGAAATATTTTTGAGCTTGTGACTCATGACACCGCCTTCCTTTGTTCTATGCAATTGAAAATCATATACATTTCTTGCGACATTCCATGTCAGTTATTGAAAATCGAAAATCATATCCAGAAAAGAGTTGCAATATTGCTGTTCAGAAGCAGTGCGTGTTTTAAATAGCATGTATCACTTCGTCCAATCTATGAGTCTAATTGTAACCTTTGTGTGTATACAGTAAGGGACGAATGTGGAGCTTCAGGTTCAAAGACGACCTTTCCATTAACTTTGTAATCTGCGTACTTGAGCGAGTATTGAAGTTTGAAACCAAGCTTTTCAGCTACTTTTGCAGAAAATTTGCCGGTGCAACCTATTGCTATGAACCCACATCCTCTTTGCCTAGCCAGCTCCCTGGAAAAAATAAGAAAAGAGTTCAGAGGTATGATCAATCATTCTAGAGATTTAAACAAATTGTCATTATTATTAAGAAAGTTGTAGTTTACTGAATTAGAGAAAATACCTAGCGTGAAGTCACAATTGTGGACCCCGAGTGGGGTTATTCTAATTAGCCAAAAGCCATTAACAAAACTACATAGAGTAATAGTCTAAGATCCGGTGGGAGATCGACCTTCACTCATCAGATAACTTAATGATACATATTTTTTATCATATATAATTTATTAACAAACATGCCTACGATAAGTAGCCTAATTTTGATGAATTTTTTTTCATCATCTTCACTCTTTTCATAATCAAATAAATTTCATCTTAACTGATAATTTTTAACACACAGAATATGCCTAGGTAGGCTTGCCTACTTATTTCTGTGCATGGCTACCTGGCCAGCCGATGTGACAGGTAAGTCAATGTAGGTAACTACACCGATCTGTTAACCAATCGAAATTGATATCATAAGTAAGATATTTCAATTAGTAGTGATTACTACAATTACTAAGTGATCAAAAATAATTAAAAGCAACAACATTCTCCCCCTCGTGATAAAATTAATCCATTTCCGTTAAGAATCTGTACGTACCACAAATTTTACGCTTCTTGAAGTAACACCAAATTTCAAATTTACATTAAACATGAATGGGATCAATTATGAAACAAATCAAAAGAAGGAGATTTTTCATATTTGACAATAGTTGTCACTCCGAACATTTTTTCTGAAATTCAATATTTGAATGTTCTCCTTATGTATATCTGAAATTCATTGATTTTTTCAATGCGTTAAAGGAAATTTTTTCTGACATCGAAGTTGATTATGACGTGAATAATTTTATTTTTATACTAGTGCTTCATTTTACTAGTTCTACTTCAAAACATCTCTGCAGAAAACTTCAATGAAAATTGCTTGCAGCACCCTCCTTTGTAAGGGAGTCAGCAGTCTCATTGCCTTCCAGGCCAGTATGGCCAGGAATGCAGACCAGAGATAATCTGTTTAGTCTTTCTATCGAGGAGAGTCGTTTTTGGCAATTTGCTACCAATTTAGACGTTGCTCGTTAGGAGCCAAGAGCTTCCAACGCCGCTTGACTGTCAGAGAATAATCTTATTGACTTGTGTATGAGGTTGAATTCTTCAAATCTCTCCGCAAACAATTCAATAGCGTAAATTTCCGGTTAAAATACAGTCGCATAGGTTCCTAGGCGGGTTGATATCTCTGTCCTGGGTTTGTGACTGGAAACACCTGCACTAGAACCGAAAGGTGTTTTTGATCCACCTGTGAACCAACAACTAACTGATCTTAATATTTCCTTCTTCCGGATGACCCAGTCCTCTCTACTCGGGAACAGTTCGTAGTTGACAGTTAGAGGCATAAAGTCAGAGGTCATTTCCAGAATTTTGTGACTTCCAGTGTCAACCAACAGTCTGTTGTACTCTCCAGAAAAATGTGGAAAGGAGATAGATCTAGAAGGATTTCCATGGCCGCTGACGGTGTGGTACTGATGGCACCACTGATGGCTGGACAAGCCAGTCTCTGTGAGCCGGAGAGCTTCGCCTGTAAAGCCTTCGGCCACCAGGCAATTGCACCATAAGTGATCATTGGTCTGACAATCATCACATAAATCCAATGGATTTGTTTGGGACTTAAACCCCAAGTTTTAACACAAATCCTTCGACATGTCCACAGGGACAGTATGGCTTTGTATGAAACTGTTTCCAAGTGGTCGTTCCAGGTGAGTTTTTTATCAAGGATAATGCCAAGATTGTTCCAAATGGAATGACCTCACCATCGAGGGAAAGTGGCGTTAGATCATCCAATTTTCTCTTCCTGGTGAAGGGGATTATCACAGCTTTGCTGGGGTTGACAGACATCTGTTAACTCAGGCACCAACTGTGAACAACATCCAATGTGCTTCAGAGGATATTACAAGCTACCCTTCCCGATGTGGACCTTGCCAAGATGACAAGGTCATCTGCATAAGCTTGCAGATCTACTTTTCTTCTGTCGAGGGTATCAAGCAGACTATCTATCCGGAGCGACCACAGAATGGGAGATAGTACCCCACCTTGAGGGCAGCCCCTGGTGACCCTGAATCTTTCCTGGTGACCTTTCCTAGTCAGAGACAATCCTATACATTTGAATAGTGCATTGTGAAATAGTCCTTCAATATCGAGAAATACAGCAACCCCAATCCCCTTGTTGTCAAGGGATTGTGGAATTGGCCGCGGTGGTAGTGCACCCGACTCACGATCGGAAGGCCGTGGGTTTGATTCCCTCCTCGACGAGATATTTTTCTCGAGAGAATTTATCTGGTTGAAGCTGGGATGATTCTGCAACCGTGTTAGGAATCACACGTTAAAAGGTAAGACCTCGTTAGTCCTTAGCTCTCACAAGTTTGTCAACTTCTGAGAGTTGTCATTTGTATAGGGGCGACAGCTGATTAACGGAGAAACAGATTTTAAACAGATTTTTCAAACAGATTGGGTCACTATACAATAGCTTCTGAAGAAGCACGTGTTGCGATTTCCTTAACTACATAGTGTAAATCTAACAAAATGTATTTCAAGAGTTTATAAAATAGTTTTTCACTACTATTTCTACTAATTTAACACATTGTATGTACCTCGTTTTTGCCAGAAGTTTTGTAGCTATTCCATTTCCTCTATGATGTTCCTCCACGGAAATTACTTGTACCGATACACCTCTATCGCAATCAGGATATAACGCGAACGGATCACACTGTCTGTCTGCATAATCCAAAATATCCACGATTTTATCACACTTTTCATCTCCACAAATGAAGGGCTCCTCTTTACCTCTTTCCACAATCACATTCAAGCAGAGACCTACGATCTTTCCACGATGAACGACCATCAAATTTATACCATTATGAAGGTTCTTCACAGAAAATTCTTCTAGTGGTTCACAACTAGGACTATCCTCTGTTACTAGCTGCAAATAAGAGTTTAATGGCTCATCCTTGAAGAAAATTTCTCTCAAGTAATCTATGATTTCGTCTTTGTTCTCTTCGGTGGCGAACTGGATTTCGTAGGCCGGTGATGATTTCACTGAAGTCAGTTGACACTTTGGCTCTAATTCTGGTAAAAACTGTAATGAAAAAATCGAAGTTAGGTGAGGTTCAATTAATACAGATTTCATGACCATCTATTATAGCTTTGAAATCACATTATTTTTATAGTAAGATGTAAAATTATTCATTATTTTGTTTTATAATCTCAAAATTCATAATTTTTTTTCGGGAAATGTCTTAATTATTCTAGACTTGAAATAGAATCTCTTTTCAATTCTCTTACCTAACCTAACCCAACCCAACCCTTATTGTATTGCTTCCCGCAAGCGGCGTATAATTTCTAGCCTAATCTAACCATCAATTTATTGAATAATTTCTAATCGTGTGATATTGTACGCAAATATAAGGTTAACATTTCATTTTGTGGTGCCCAGAAGATGACTTCATAAAAGTCAACAATGGCAACAAAATAATCACCTAAAAATTGTTTTAAGTGAAGCTTATTGTTGAAAAAGCTTCCAGTTTACAAAATGTCTGTTCATATTTTATTCCTCGATATCATTTCACTTATTTTTTCATTTTTGTTTCCTCAAATGTCAAACCGGTTGATACTTTTAGACAAAGGAAGTACGACTGTTCATCAAAATAATTAATTAGACAATAAAATTAATTTTCCTAACACGTTACCTACCTTATCTGATTCTCTCTGCATCTCAAGCAGTATAGTTTAAAATTTCAATTAATTCAGTTTCACAAGAACCCACCGACAATGAGTAAACACCAACTGTAACTACATGACTTTCAATTATTTGCTTCTAATTTAAACAACCGGTTTGTGCAGCCACGTTTGCGGTATTTATTATCATATTCAAATACGAAACAGCACGGGAAGATTGTCGGTTAATCTTGATTTATTCATGAATGAAAATAAATTTGAACAGTAATGTACTATATCGAATGTTGCTTACACAAAAATTGTATTCTTTAAATGGAGAGTGTCTTAAAGTCAATCTATTGAAACCACTTTTTCCACACCAGAACAAAAGTACTGACTATCGATTCTATGGGTCAAACTAAGCGGATTTTAAACCTTTTACAAAGAACTAGACAGAAAAGACTATTGTGTCGCTCGACATGCCTTAAAGACCTGCCAAGGAATACGTGAGAAGTGTTTGGAAAAATATTGTATAGCGGGTGTAAACCGATTCAGGTTCGCCTCTTTTTTTTTTGTCTCTCATGGTATCGAAGTGGAATTTTGGTGGTTGAATGGTATCACAATTCGAATTAATTGAACTGAGAATATCATTTGGAGCATTTTTAGTGTTAGGAAATTATTTAAACGGGACACCCTGTATATTTTTACATTTTTTGATTCAACAGTTATTTAAAAAATATATCTACTAATATCGAGCAAAAATATTTTTTTGTGGAGGAAATCAGAGTTTTCATCGAACTTTTTTTGGATTTTTTCACTTCTTACGATTAGAAGAAAAAATATTCTGCTTATCAATAACTTGCCATATTTCATGATTCTACTGATCATAAAAAGAACTAAGAAATTATTCAGATAGTTCTGTATCCGTAGAGTAGGGAGGGTGAGTGTTGGCCCACAGCACTTAGGTCACATGTGATCCATTGTACATCCTCCCAAGAAATTGTCCTCCTAGGTCGTCGTCCATCCTGTCTTTCCCAGGAAGGTGGAAAGGTCACTAGGAGACATCTCCTTTATATCGGCAGGTGTAGGCCAAGACTAGCTGAACACATACCCTGTTATTGACGATAACACCGGACACTCGCATAGGATATGCCTGACAGTTTCATCTTTCTGTTCACACATCCTGTCTAGAGGTGTGTCCACTAGCCCCAGGGAGATCCTGGTAAGATTTCATCCTTTGATTCCATCCCTTCTCTTTAGGGATTGAGCATGGGTGTGACGTTTGGCTAGTTCCGCAATTGTTGAAGTCATCAGGCCATAGGTGTCACGGTCCTAAATTCTTAGTTCAGCCGCTTCCTTGGCTAAAGAGTCGGCAATGCAATTACCTTTACTCCTATCATGCCCTTTAACCCACCTCAGGATAATGTTATTATCTACCGAGGCTTTGGCTAAATTTTGGTGGCACTCTAGTGCCACATTGTCTGTTCATGGCTAATAGGTCTACTATCAGTGCAAATTGTTATGTTTTTGCCAGATGCCAGTGATGCAATTGAAGCCAGGTTTGTGTTTAATAAACCCTACAAAATACAAATAAAACAGAACACAGAGTCAGATGCCACAAATGCAATACGCATATATAGAGACAGCTCAAAAACCAAAGAATGCTCAGGATCTGGAGTATACTCCAGATCACTAAGCCTAAGGATTAAGTGGGAATGGGAAAAAATACCAGAGTGGTTCAAACAGAACTGATTGGTTTCTCGATCGCCACAAAAGAAATAATCAGGAAAGGAATTTCTGGCAAAAACATAACAGTTTGCACTGATAGTAGACAAGCCCTTGAACAGACAACGTGTTACCTCATGACTAGTACTAGAGTGCCACCAAGGTTTAGCCAAAGCCTCGGTAGATAATAACATTATCCTGAGGTGGGTGTATCACCAACTAAGTTGGCGTGTTCAGGTTGGTTGGAGAATCGCGCGTCGAGAAGATTGCATTTCTGGTGTTTGGGAAAACTTCTTGTTAATGAGTTATTCTCCACCAGGGGTGCCGGTTTCACCTTTCATTTTTCTCAAAACAATAAGTAAACTATGCTGAAAAATTATCTTACTTTGCTTTGTCACCATCTAAAAATATTTTCATAAATAGATTGGTGCGATCCGCTGTGGGACTTTTTATATTTTGAAAAAGGATTTAAAAATTCTTATCTATGAACGTTAAACTTTCTTAATTATCGCCCTGTATTCAAAAACTTGTTTTAATTAAACTCACCCCCAACTCACTGTAAAAGTTTATCACTCTCATAACTAAATTTCTTGCAACTTTTGTAATCCGTACAACACTCGAACGCAACAGTTTCGCCAACTGAAAATGAAATATGAATAAAAGTTCATAAATTACCCGTAAGCCTACAAGTCTGGTGAATCATATATTTTGATTCATGGAAACTATAAAACAAACAATATCAATGAGAGGAAGGAAATTTTTCGTGATTATTTAATGGAACATTGGCCTCATTAGCAGACCTTGGTAAAATTCTCTGATTTTGTTTACCAAGCAGTAAAATGAGTTTTCAAGAAATGTTGATAACTAGAAAATAGCGGAGTTTGTTTACAGCCTGAGTTTTTATAGCCATGAGTAACATTAAAAATAAACTAGAAAGTGCTACGAATCATTAAAACAACTCATTTTTCGAAATGTCATCGTCAATAGATGAATTTATTTCTACACACAACTCTCTCAAAAATTTGCCTGATGTTATTTGATATCCATTTTTTGTCTGTTCATTGAACGAAGAAAATCATTGAGTATTTCTAACTTTCTTCGAAAAAAAAAATCATAATTGCAGTTCATTATATAAATATATTTTTCTGAAATATATTTTTGAATCCTATGTTATACGTCCATTACTTATTTGAATTTTTTCAATTGATTTATTCGTTTATTTTTCAATGAATATCATTTCAACATTCAATTACAAATTTATATCTAAGTATTAAAATTTTATTTTTCACATTGTCGTTGGGATATAATTATTGAACTCTTCAGTGGTTTACTTTGTCTGTTTCAGAAGAAAGGTGATTTTTTTCTCAAAAAATACTTATTTATTCATTAATTTCTATCTCGTCCCCTTCAACGTATTCCCCTTTCAGCGTTTTTTCTAATTCTCAAAGCAGTTTTGATATGTACTTTTTGGTATGACCTTGGTTTCTATATCCTCAATCCTTGCAAATTACCGTCCTTTCATGTGTATCTCCAATATTGGTAACATGAAAAAGTCGCAAGAGGGCAAATCTGGTGGCTAAAGCATGATTACAGTGTTGGTTTGGCCAAAAAATTACGAACAAGGTAAATTATCGTTATGCAAAAGCCATGAATTGTTTTTCCACAATACCAGGCGTTTTTTATTGTATTGCTTCCCGCAAGCGGCGTATAATTTCAAGATAATACTCCTTATTGACCGTATGACCATGTGGCAGGGACTCCTGATGCACTACGCCACAGTAATCGAAGAAAATAGTGAGCTAAACTTGGACATTTGATCAAACTTGGCCTGCTTTTTTGTGTTTTGGCTCTCCTGGGCTCTTCCATTGGAACGATTGGACTTAGATTTAGATGTCATAACCATATGCCCATGATTCGTCACCAGTTATGACCCATTTAAGCAAATTTGGATCGCCGTTGACGTCATTCAACAATTCCTAAGCGATGCTCATGCGACTGTCTTTGGTCAAAATTCAGCAATTTTGGAACGAACTTCGCTGCCACTTACTTCATGCCCAAAATTTTCGAAAAAATTGCATGGCATGAGTCAATCGGTATGCCAACATCCTCAGCAACTTCTCCAATAGTGATTCGACGGTTCTCCATACATTTTTTTGACTTTCTCAATATTTTCATGGGTTGTTGATGTGCTGGGGCTTCCAGGGCGAGCATCGTGATTCACATCTTCTCGACCTTCTGTGAAAAGTTGTATGCCACTTTCTGACTCAGAGTACAATCACCGTATGTCACTGTCATCATTTCAAGTGTTTTTGAGCACTCAATTCCATTTTTACACAAAATATGATACAAATTCTTTCATCCATTATTTTGATATCAGGAAATCACGGAACACACAAAACACTTCCAACTTTTATGTCTCTCACCAACAAATTAAACATACTGAACAGCTGAAAATGTGAACATTTGTTCAAAACGAGTGTACCAACAAGAAAACTTTTAAAAAAATCACTAATCGAGTTTACGTATCCTGCGAAATTTGAACATTCACTTCATTTTATGAACAGCAGTACAACATCTTTTGGCAAATTATCACCCTATTTGGGTTATTGTTTTCACTATTCCAAAAATTTCACGTCCACCACCTGCAATTGATAGTATACGGCTGAAACTCATTTTCTACTTCAGGACTACGAATATTAAACACTTTTACCCACCAAAAATTCAACACGGCTTGCGGTCTGAAAGTGTTATTCCAGATTTGTTTGTTAACATACCATGAATAAATTTTCTTGGATTCTTCAACATGTCTAATTTAGAATTCTCCATTCTCGCCATTATTCATGAAATTAGGTAATAACCCTCTTAACTGCTTAGACCCAACCTCACACCCACGCTCATTCGACTGTTTAATTGCTAAAAGGGACTAATTACTTTTGAAATGGATACTGGGATGCCAATCCTATTATGCAATCTCTTTTCACCAACCATAATCCATCCATCAACTTTATGCGGAGGATGAAAATTGTACAAGACAGAACAATAGCTAAATCGTCATCAGGAATCGAAATTCCTTAGCAGCTAAATTCTAGGAAAATCTTGAAACTGTTGCAGAAGAGCAAAATGGTGAAAACACAAATTTTTTATACCCTCGTCTATCACAAGTTGCGCCAAAAATATCGCTGTAAGTGTAAATATACATTGAATAAAATGGATAGATCACGTGACCTAACGGTGTGCCATCAAAATATTCAATGTCTCAGTGATGAAATTCTACAGAAAGATGTGATTTTTTATGCGACTTTTAATTTATATCACAACACTGGCAAAATGGTGATCAACTAGAAATAATGAAAGTGAAAAATTTCAGTTTATCTTCTTCCTTCTGTAGAAATATAAAGAAAAACGGAGGAGTAGCAATTCACAAACATGACGACCTACTGCTGAAAATATCTGTGCTTAATTTGTCTGGCGTCTGTGTAGAGGAAACCTTTGAATGCTGCGGTATTAAGCTGGCAAAATCAGGTATATGTCTTGTATGTATCTAAAGGCCTCCATCAGGTAATTTTAACACTTTCTTGAACATTTTTAATGGATTACTCACCCTATCATCCGAAAATGAAAATAATAATAATAAAATTATAGGCGGGGATTTCAATTCAAATTTTATGGTGGATAGTATGAATTTCAAACTATTTCAAGACCAGCTGGCATGTTTCGACATGAAGCATACGATATCTGTTNATTTCTCATCTAAGTACACTACCTCATAGGTGGCGTGGAAACGTGTGCATTTAATGACGATTACAACTTTTACAACTTTTTGACTCGTCGTATCTCAGAACTGGTGGCTCTAAGAAAAAAAAGTATTGATACATTTTTTGTAGAGAATTTTATGATCTACAAATTTTTATTTAAGGTTATTTTATGATAAAATTTACCGTTTTCCTGAAAATCGCGAAAAACCAATTTTTTCGAGATTTTTGACCTCGAATAATTTTTTTTCCAGGCATCGCAATCATTCGGAATTTCAAAATCTTATTTTTAACTATGTTTTGAACAATTACATGCGTTTGCAGCTTGTTGTAACTGTATGTACCTTCCAATGTCTAGATTGAACGGATTATGAGAAAACACTTCTCCTTCTTCAGAACGAAAATGCTGTCTCTCAACGCGCGTTCCGCTAACCAAGTTAGCATCATCAGGAGATCATTGAGACTACAGCAGTGATGATAATAACTTAGCAAAATACATGTCGGGACACAGTATTTTTTGTTCTGGAGAGGGAAAAGTGTTTTGAATATATATTCATTCCAGTCCAGACGTTCCAAAGTCTACTTATCAAACTGTATCTGAAGACTGTATCATACTAGATATTAAATATGATGTATTTATTCATAAATATAGGATCTTTCATTAAGCGCTTTCTATTTAAATGAAACACAGTGTGAGATATCATTGAAAGTTTGTATTCGTTTGGAAGACCTATTGATGCCCTTATGCGTTCAAATGTCCATCACGATTTCTCTGGGAGAAGTGCATCCGAAACGTCCAATTTTCCATGACTCTAGCGCATAAATCAGGCTGAATTTGATCGATGGCATGGTTTATGTTGACTTTGAGGAAAGTTGTGGTTTGTGGCTTATTCGCATACATATGCGTAAGATCACCGCCATGTGAGATGACCTCAGAATATCCAATACACGTAGCGCCGTCCTGTTGAAACCACATGTCTTTGGTGTTCAGATTATCCAATTCAGACTGAAAGAAGTTGGCCTATAGTGCTCGCCCTTGACAGTAATGGCCTGGCCAAAGTCTTTCTCAAAGAAATATGGACCGATGACGCCGCCATCCCAAAATCTACACCTAACAGTGACTCTTTCGAGAGCATCCCTCTTGGATCTCATGTGGATTGGTATCATCCCAAATTGGACAACTTTTTTTGTTCACGTACCCATTCATCCAGAAATGGACCTTATCACTAAAGATGACGCCGCCAGCCCAAAATCCACACCAAACAGTGACTCTTTCGAGAGCATCCCTCTTGGATCTCATGTGGATTGGTATCATCCCAAACTGGACAACTTTTTTTGTTCACATACCCATTCATCCAGAAATGGACCTTATCACTAAAGATGATTCTTGGATGAAAATTAGGGTCAGTTGTAACTGCTCCAGAGCCCATTCAGCGAACACACGTCGTTGTCAATGGTCGTTTACCTTCAGTTCCTGGGTCAATTAAATTATGTACGGGTGCAGACCCGAGCCACGACGCAAAATTCGCCAAGTTGTGGTCTTCGAAAGGTCGAGTTCTTGTGAGCGACGCGAAATCCACTGCCTCGGATTCTCCTGCATACTCTTATAAAGACAGTAGCGATGTTTGACAGATCTTGCGTTTCGTCGACGTATGGGTATTGGTCGAACCAGTGGACTCAAATGTATCCTCGGTAGGACGATTATAGCGATTGTAAAATGGGCGAAGAGCGCGTTACGTTACCCAAACAGTACACCCATTTTGATAAAACTATTTTATTATTTGTACATGTTGTTGAACGCTGTATCCATCCAAGATGATTCAGTAAAACAGACTGAATAAATGACAACTAATTTGACAGGTGTAACTTCAACAAGTCCCGGAAATCCCTGTTGAAAGACCCGTTATATATGATATGAAAATAAATAATATATATTTACTTTGTAGTTACGTATGTTTCTCTTCTCGATACAGTCTTCAGACACAGTTTGATCTCAGTTAGAGTATTGGTATATGGGATAATTTTCTCCCGCTTCGGACTTTGTTGTAGTTGTTGTAGTTGTAGTTGTAGTTGATTATCATTGCACCAAAGTTTGTACACGATGGCAGTCTGTAATTTTATCGATTTTATAATATAGTTTAGGTCGTCTGCAAATAGTAAGCTAGTAATATTCAAAGAGGTTGCCAAATCCTTAATAAAAATTTGAAATGAAAGAGGTCCAAGATTAGAACCTTGGGGTACCCATGATGTAACTTCGTACTGAGCTGATTTGAAAGATTCATATTCGACGAAATGTTTTCTGTTAACTAGATATGATTCAATTAGAGGAAACAGTTTGTTAGAGAGTCCCAATTTTGTCAATTTGCTGAGAAGAACATGATGGCATATTTGATCGAAGGCTTTTTGAAAGTCTAAATAAAACATCGACTAGTTTTCGCTTGTCCAGTTACTTACGGAGATATTGATTTAAACATGCAAGATTTGTCATACAAGATCGGAACCAAGGCAAGTGTTAGGTGAACATGAAGACAAAGAAAATGAAGATAGAAAAGATTGGAATTTTTTAAGGAAGTCGTATATCATAATGAATAATTACTAATCATCACTCAGAATGATTAGATAACAAAATTAGAATCATCCTTGTTGAATTGAAAAAGCTTTCTCTCAAGAGGTCGTTGATATTGTATATATTGTTTAATTTTAGATAAGTATATTTTGTTGGTAAATAATAAATAATACTGTCTGATTGACAAAATATGTTTCTTTCCGAATCCGAATTATCATAGTTAAAAGTTTCAAAAGGTTGATTTGTTTCGCTAACAATTTTATCAATCCTTCTAACCATTTACTGATCATATTCGCCTAATTTAGTTTGACTGATAGTATAAATTAATGAATCCTTATTGACTTTGACAACAGCTGCAAACATTACCAATGACAGAAACAATGAAGTTTTTCTGACGATTACCAATTCGCGTGACTTAACAATTTAGTGAATACTCGTCGTACTGTGAAAACCTAACGTGTACAAAATAAAAATTATAAAGTTGACCGGCCAGCAGCAAATATTAACAATGATGAACAGCTATCTTCAACGTAGGTGTGCAAAATGGCTATCAGAAAATCCATATTACCGTCTACGTCAGAAGCGTTGCGACGCAGGCGTCTAGGCGCTCTAGGAACCGAAGAAAATACTTCATTTATCAGCTGTCGAGGCATGATTGTTGGTGTTTTTCTTTTGCTGTCCCTGCTTACCGCAGGGACACTTCAGTTTGAGTTCAAACATCATGACAACGAAGAATTGCTACAGGTGTTGCAGGAAATCAACGGAAAATGTCCGAATATTAGCAGGATCTACACGCTGAGCGAGAATTCCGTCCTGGGGGTCCCGCTTTATGTTATTGAGTTTTCCACAAAACCAGGACATCATGAAATAAGTGAGTAATTATTCATGAAGTTAATTAAAAGTGGTTTCTGGAAAATAATACCCATTATGTATTCATTTAGGGGCTGTAACTCAATACTGATGTTATGAAATGAATTAGTAGTTTTCAATTACCATAACTTGATGTGGATAGATATATTATTTAATTTGTTCTAATTAATGAATGTTTTGAGAGAGATAATTTATTTTTCAAAAACAGGTGGCTAGATCAAAATTATTGGGTTCATACCCAACAATCCATGTTAAGAATTTTTGTAAGTACATTTATCATCACATATAAAATACTGATGATGAGTATACATATACGGAATATTCTACTATTGATCTAGTTTATAACTTCATTCTGCGGATATCTTTTTGAAAATCCACTCTGAGCTATTCTTAAGTAAGAGGAGCAGGCATATTTCCACGAAATCTGCCCGAACATGCTAGATGGGATTGAAATCGGGACCCTGTGCTGGCCGTGAAATTTGGATGATACCAACTTCATTCAAGCCCCGACCATATAGGCGGTATGAGGCATGTGTTGACATGCAATAGTGTGAAAGTTTCTCTAAAAAATTTTGCAGTGTCTCATAAATATACCTAACAGCAGTCAGAGATTTCCCAAGGACAATGTATAATCCTGTACATACTTCCGAAGGTATACCAGCCCACATCATAACTGAACCCCTTTGAAAACTAGCTCTGGGGCTAAAAATGCACCTGGCAAAGTGTTCGCTAGCTCTTCTCCAGACTCTTCCGCAGTCATCCAGGGAAAGTAAACAACACTTTTTCCACATCAAAACTAAAGCACTTTCTCTATTTCTCAAATGAAACAGTTTCAATCGTATCATCTTCTAATGACGTTAACTTAGTCAGCGAAAGAGAGATAGTGCTTTAGTTTGATGTGATTTAATGAATTAATAATAATAATGAATAATAATAATGTTTATTCAACATATTGATCACATATGTATTTAACAAAGATTCGGTAAATAAACGTAGGCATCACAGAAGCAACTTTTTTGAAAAAATGTTCCTTGTACGTGACATTGCCAAATTCTAAACTATTACTAAACTAAATAATATGTATGTAAGAGTATTCTATACAATGAATAGATATAAACTGTTAACTATCATGAATTGATTACAATACAATGAACTGATGAAAATAAATTAGCATGATGAATTGAAAAACTATATACATAATATGAAACACATAAGGACATGATGGGATTGAAATCAAGTATTTTTCATTGCGTTCATTCTACAGGTGGTTTTATTTTTTTGAAACTGTGCTGATGAAACATAGTTAGATCAGAATTCCTGGGCCAATTTTTCACTTCTTTCTTGAATTTGGCTTTATTTTGTTTATTAATGAGTTGTATTTTTTCCGGTACTATGCTTCAGGTCTTTGTGCCAAGATAATAATAGTGTCTTTGACCTACAAACTTTTGGCATCTAGGTTCTAAAAATGTATTTTCTTTTCTACGGGTATTATACATGTGTTCCTTTGGTTTTATTTTTATTTTGTTCTCAACGACTTTCAGAATAATCTTCTGGCAGTATAGCGTCCGTGTATCTAGGTCATTACTTTCTTCAAATAAGAGGTCACTGGAGAACGTTCTACCTTTACCTAACAAAATTTTTAGAAGTTTTTTTGTGAAGTATCCAGACATCTCAAGTGGGTATCCCTAATACCTCCCCAACCTATAATACCATAAGAGAGTTGCTACTGAACCAAACCATAATATACAGTAGTCATATAGGGAATTTCGAACCATTATTTCAATAGTTTGAAGCGAAACAACAATCCTCGTAATTTTTGAGTTAGATATAATACGTGTGAATCCCATTCCATGTGTCGATCGATCATTAGGCCAAGGTATTTAATTGAGGTACTTACTGGAATCGATAAGTTTTGTTTGATAATTAATGGATCTATGTTCGGTAGTTTATTGTCATGTTTTTTCTACGTTTAAGGTTAATTTGTTATATTGAAACCATTTCATGATGTTTTTGGAATCTCTTTCTGATTTCATCTTGAGGTTTTGCTATGTTTCTGCATTATAAAAGATTGCTGTGTCATCAGCAAAACTGAGACTGTTTCCTGCGGAATGCATTTTTAATAAACTATTTATATAGATAATGAATAGTATTAGGACCAAGACCGTACCTTGCGGAACTCCATATGTAATTGATCTCGGACTACTTTTTTTCATCGATGTCAACTATTTGTCTTCGATTATTGAGATAGGAATAAAACAGTTTATATGCTCTGCCCCGTATGCCGATATTTTCTAATTTCCCGAGGAGTCTTTTATGGCAAACAGTATCGAACGCTTTCGATAGGTCAACAAAGTTACATAATGCAGGTTTTGATAAATCCAACGTTTTGTAAATTTCTAATGTTGAAGTGCATATAGCATCCTCTGTCGACCTCCCCTCTCTGAATCCGTACTGCTGTTCTGCCAGTAGGTTGAATTTTTTAAGGAATCCATTTAATCTAATTTTAATAATTATTTCTAAAATTTTTGCTACATTACAAATGAATGTAATTGGTCTGTAACTAGCAATCTCAAGTCTATCTCCATTGTTGTATAGTGGTTTGGCGACACCAATTTTTAAAATATCAGGAAAAATTCCGTTTTCTAAGGACGCGTTGGCAATGTGGGTGAGAAGGTCTACAATTAGCTCTGAAATATTTTTTAACATTTGCCTATTTATGCCATCATTCCCTGGACTTTCATTTGCTTTTAAATTCTTTATAACGTTTGAAACTTCCTCCGCATTTGACGGATACATGAATATACTTTTGTTATGACGTTCTATACTTTCCTCAAACACTATCGGTGTGTCAGTTTTGTTTGCGAGTTTGTACCCTACTTCGCTGTAGTGTTCATTAAATGCATTTGAAATTTCTAGCTTTTCATGAATCATATTTTGGTTCTCCAATCTAATTTCATCAATATCTCGTTGTGGTCTCTTTCCGTTACAGACTTCATTCACACATTCCCATAGAGCTTTGGACTCATATTGATTTCTCTTTATTTCATTTTGAAAAAAAAACGTTTTTTTGCTGCTTTAATGAGGTTTCTCAGTTTATTTTTACAATCATTAGAAAGTCTTTTAATTTGTACATCGTCAGGATTATTCCGTGAACGTTTGTTTAAATAATTTTTTTGTGATATGAATGTTAATATTTCTTGTGTTATCCATTTCTTCCCAATATTAATTTTGTTTTTGACTCTTACTGGAGTGGTATTTTCATTAATACAAAACTTCAATTTGTTGACAAATATTTCACACTTGATATTAACATTATTCTCTTCATAGATGTTTCGTATTGTAAATCTAACTTCAATCGCGGACAGTTGATGTATTTTTATATTCTTTTCATTGTGTTACTTGTCTTATTACCCCCTACTTCTACCATAGGTCGATGATCACTTATCTGATCTTGAGAAATGAACGACTCGATCTTATCGTGAAAATGTTTATTGGTTTTACGGAAGAAATGGTTTAGACATGTAGAGCTATCTGGCCGTGTTACTGAATTTATATATGGAATGTACCCAAAGTACTCTAAGTTGCTTATATATTCTTCACTATGATCAATTTCTGTTAATAAATCGATGTTCAAATCACCTGTTATTATATGAAATCGCCGTTGTTGACATTTTGCAGATAGTTGAAATTAAATTCCACTTGCTCAATGATTCAGTCGTTACAATTGGTAGAAATAAGTAGCTACTGAAAAATTGTCTTTCCAAAATATACCTTTTTTTGATGTCAACGGTATCGACTGCTTGGTCATTAGCCTCGTGTTCTGTGTGTTGACCTTAATAACTTTCTAAGCTACCTAGGAAGCGTGATAGGTATCCGAAGTCCTTCAGTTATGTAATGTTACAGAATTATCCTTACTTCAACCTACGACATTTGCCATTTGTAGTTGTGCGCTCATCAATAATTATTATGTCATGATAGAAGCAAAATCAGTGATAGATACAGGCTGATTCACGGTGGATGGCACATTAGACGTTTCTGGTGAACNGCTAGAGAATGTCCGAATATGCCCTCCATTAAATTTTCAAAGTGATCCGTTGTCTGGTTCACCAGAAACGTCTAATGTGCCATCCACCGTGAATCAGCCTGTATATATTAGAGTGTTATTCATAATGCCGCAAGAGAGAAGATGTTGTGACGATACATATTTTTGTTGTTACAATCAAATATGAGGCATGCCTTTTATATAGGACAGACGAGCCGAAGTTTCAACCAGAGATTCGAGGAGAATTCGAGAAGTAACAGACTGAATAAACACGATTTCAACTCCGCCAATCATCTCATAAAAAAATTTACAATTTCACACAAAATTCGGGAATTCTACACATTCAATCAAAAAGTCTGAAATAAAATATATTGGAATCCACATAAATCAAAAAACCTCTCGGGAGAACCAAGATAACTTTCAATTGAAACGTCGTTATACAATTGTTTTGGTATTTTGTGGTACCTAACGAAATAGTAAGATTAGTGGTTCACTACAGGAGTCACCTTTCCATAACATCTCTTTTTTTTTGTTTTTCAGTGAAACCGGAATTCAAATACATTGCTAACATGCATGGTAACGAAGTACTAGGAAGAGAGTTATTGCTGAAACTAGCTGATTATCTTTGCGATGAGTACATGAGCTCCGATCCAATTATCAAATCTCTGATTGAGTCTACCAGGATCCATCTAATGCCCAGCATGAATCCTGATGGATGGCAAGTCGCTACTGATACGGTATGATAACGATTTAGGTTAATGAAACATTCATTAGAGCATTTGAGGTTGTGTGGGATATCATATCGATTGAACAAACATCGTTGATTTGATTTCTATATATGTGGTCTGTGCTGATAATAATGCTTGTGTCAATATTATTTATCCATTTCGGGTTACCAACCATACGCTGATCGTAATGATTATTGAGTGGAAACCATTTGGAAATATTTAGGATGGATTAAAATGAGTCCAAAAATCATACGGAATAGTTTCAAATGTTTTAATTTTTGATATTGATTGAATCTAAATTCGATCTATAAAAAGTTGAAAAGTCAAACTTATATAGATAATCTCTGGAATCCAAATCACTTTGATCAATGGAATGTGATTAAAATAGTTGAAATAATAAGTTACGTAATAAAAAACCCACACTCGATACATGATTGGTTCGTTTACAAACGTAGTACTTAATTCAGTGTTTTTTTTTATTTCGACTTACCATCAGGTTTCCGTTCATAGTCCCAGGATCTAACTGCTTATAGTTTTTGGTGATGATTGGTTGTGAAATTCACTGGTTCTGTTTGATTACACAACACAACAAAAAAATATTTTTTGAATGTTTCCTACACTAAATTAGTCAATTTCTACTAATTTTGGGGTGATTAAAACGAAAATAACAATGAAAAATTTTTATTAGCTCTGGTTTTTGAGATACACAGTACTTAATCTTAAAGAGTAGTTATACTATACGTGAAAAGTGAAAGTACATAAAACAATATTGTTATGTTTCTTTTAGAATA